CTCTCAGAAGCCGAATTTCTTTTTGCTCTTTTTTGCAATGGCTTCAGCATGATGACTACATGCAAACCAATGCCTCAGATTTCGTTGTTTTGAATTTTATAAGTTTTCGGAGCCTCTTTTGGGCCAATTTTTGCCTAGTAAATGCTTTATAGCGCGACCTGGGCGATCGGGCGGCTCTAGTTTGATACACCATTCAATGCAGAATTTTCTTGCGCATCTTTCTACAGTAATCAACAGAGCCGCCCGATCGCCCAGTTCCGGACAGAACGGAAAAACTGTTTTGTGTACGCAATACACCTATGTTCCGGGCATTTTCGTGCTTTCCGATGTATTAGAGAAATGATCCCCACTCCAAATTAGGTATTGACACAAATTTTCAGAAGATTCTGTCAAGTAGTTCTCGAGATATTTTTTCGGTGTCGGCAACTTTGAGGCCCATTTTAACCCCAAAATTAAACTTTTTAAACTTTCAAAAATATGCCACCCGACTAATTCAACCATGCTCTTTCAGATGGCGTCAAAAAAACAGGGTCGAAAAAAACTGTGCCAAGCCTTGTTCGCGTCTGTCGCAAACGGCCTTTTAAAAACTAGGGATTTTTCCATTAAATTGACTTGGCCTTTTCGTATTAATCCTGTCGAAAGTGTGTTTTGTGGCTTCACGTCTTTCCCAAAAAATTTCCCTTATCTGTAAAACCTTTTAAAGTGTCGAGATCACATGGAGTTACACTGAAAAATCGGTGAGGCAGTAGGGATGATAAGGAAAAATAAACATAAACGCTATTTTGAAAATAATTTTCTCGTTATTGGCGACTTTTACGGCAGGTTTATCTCGGTAGAAATTCGCTTAAATGGCATTTTTCTGCTCGAAAAGTAACAATTTGACCCCTCGCGCTTTACGCGTGGTGTTTCCCCTGGAGTCTGAACTTATTCGGGACGCACGGCCGGAAACGGGAGCGGCTCTCGTGCGGCACGAAGCGCAAGTTCTGGGCTCTCGCTCCAGGCGGTCACTCGAAATTAGCGGACCGCCAATTCCAGGAAATAACCTTGCCCTTGGCGGCTTTGCAAGGATTTTCAACACCAATGTCCCACCGAGCACCAATGCCCAAAAGCGGAACTCGCGAACTTGTGCTGATTTTTCCCCTGTGAACTAGATGGGCGGCCGATTCCTTAGGGTCTCAAGGGTGTTCCACAGATGTTTGTTGTCATTTTAAAAGGTCTGCTACATTTGATGGAATGCCATTTTTGGATTCCAGCCATAATCCCGACAGCCAAAATGCCGAAAGCTAAATTCCTGACAGTTTATTGGCGTTAGCTCGAAGCTTGGATCTCCCTTCCTTTTAAATAGATCTTCGGTATTATCGGTATCTTGCCTGCCCAGATTTTTCCTGCCGGGATTTTGGAGCTGTCTCGCCATTTTGGGGTAGGTGTCAAAGAGCGGGCGGCTTGCTGGCCAGACTCCACTGACCTGTCCGGGTTGGGACCTGCTGGGGGAGATGACCCCCTTCCTTCACGACCCACCCCATGGCCGCGTGGCGCAATGGATAACGCGTCTGCCTACGGAGCAGAAGATTGAAGGTTCGAATCCTTCCGTGGTCGAAACATTTTGCTTTTTCGGGCAAGAATGGCCGGCTTTCTGAACGGCCGCGCGGTTATTTCTGGACCAAGCTAACCTGCAGGTTTGGCTAAGGTTTAGATTATTTGGCTCAGGTTTCGCTTAGACTTAACCCGGGGCTTAAACTTGTATCAAGTTTTCTATTCCTGACCTTGAAAAATTCATGGGAAGGCCACCGTTCCCAGATCTACACACCGCCATGGCAGCGAACTTGGCGAACCGCGCTTTTCCGGGTTTTGCTGCCCGGGGCTCCGTCTTGGAACATCAGGGCACGGTTTTGGCAAGCAGCTCGGGGTTCTCAAAGCACGGTAATTTCCTAGCTAGCGCCATAGGGTACGCAATCTACAGGCTTGTAAGGTCGTTGACCGTAGGTATTTTAGAGGTCCTGTCCCGTGTCAATAAAGCCGTTTTCGAACCTCTGACACTTTTTCATACAAAATTAATCCGATGAAGCACTGAACCATCCTTAAACCCTACGAAAACCATGCGGTTTAATTTTTTTTTATTGCGATTTATTACGAAATTACGGCGTCTCAACAAAGCTTGAAAAAACCTTCAAAAACCTTCTGCTTTGATCCGCACTTGCCCTCCAAAACCGATAGCAGGCCGATATTCCCGTTCCATTTAGACCCAATTCCGAAGATCAGCCCCCACACTTGACTATTATACCGTAACAACCATAGATACCGTAACCCGAAACGCCCATAGGTCGGCACCAACTCACGGTGCTCAAGTTCCCGGAAGGCGCCGCAAAAAGTCCAGGAAGCCGCATTTCAGTTTCGCGCTCAGCATACAACATGGCAGTTGTGGATCGTAGTGGGTTTGCTGGAAATGTGACAGGCATGTGGTGGGAAGCCAAAAGTTGAATAGGTGGCTAGGCTTATGCTTAGGCTTAGGCTTAGGCTTAGGCCCAGGCTTTTGTTGCTTAGCTTAGGCTTCGGCTTCGGCTTAGGTTTCGGCATAGACTAAGGGGTAGGTTTATTCTTGGGCTAGGCTTGGACATAGCTTACATGTAGAGGTTGTCAGGTCACAAGCTCCAAACCGGCTAAAAATTGGTGTAAAAATCAAATAAAATACGGGGAACGCGATGCGATAAAAATTATCTGCTAATGGGCACTTTTGTTTAATAAACTTTTAATTTTAAGTAAGAAAAATGAAGGTAAAATGGACTTTCAGCGGATTAATCGGGCTGTCGGCCTCGGAATAAATGTTTCGATCGAATTGCCACGGAAAGTACGACACTAGGTACCTTCCCACACCCGGAAAAAAAAATTATTTGAAAAAATTTTTCCACGCAAAATTTTGACGACCGATCAGACGGTCGCCTAGCTTTGGCCACTAGGTGGGTTAGCAGCTGCTTAAAATAGTTAGTTCTGACCCCAGGTGTTTAAAATCCGAGCCCAAAGATTCCAGATTCCGATAATGACTGCCTCTTTACAATACCTGTACAAAAAGTAATCTGTATTAACTATCCTGTCGATTTTTATGGAGTCGGAATAGGTAGGTAGGCCCCTTTTTTGCAAAAACTTCCAAAATTTTGTAATTTATTTTTTGTCGAGACGTCCGCTACTGATTAATAGGACCGAAAAACATTATAAAAACTATTCTAGACGCGCTCCCTACAAAATAAAAGCAGAAACGGCAAAAGGCAAAAAAAAGGCGGGAACCGAACCCATGACCTTTGGCCTACTATTCCCCGCACCCTACCCCTACACCACCCGGTCGACGGACAGGGCCCCTTGGGGAGGCTTCAAGAGCTCGCGCCTGCGCGCCCCGGTTCTGGCCAGGCTCGCTGCGATTCTAGGTTAGTTTTCCATACAAAATCTTAAAATGAAAAGTTTATTAAACAAAAGTGCCCATTAGCAGATAATTTTTATCGCATCGTGTTCCCCGTATTTTATTCGATTTTTCCACCAATTTTCAGCCGGTTTGCAACTTGTGACCTGACAACCTCTACATGTTAGGCATAGATTTGACTTAGCCATAGCCTTGGCGTAGCTTCAGCGTACACTTAGACATGGGTTTCGGGATAGGCTTCGGGATAGAGATCGGCTAAGGCATGGGCTTAGCTTAGGTCTAGCCTAGGCGTAGGCTTGGTTTAGCTTCAGATAACATGTGTATGGCTTAGCTTTATGCTTTGGTCTAGCCCTTGCATAGCTCTAAGCAGCAATCCAGAACCCACTTTTTCCCTAAGTTCGGCAACATCCCCCAGTCGGGCGCCTTTTGAAGATCGCTCCCCCGGGGGCTCCCTAACGTGGCTACCCAATCCCGCACAATTTTGATCCACGTGTGGTACACGCCAAGGCGTGTTTTTTGACGTCGACAGTCGCTTCCCCGCGGCACATTTTCGATTTTTCGCGCGCCTTCCACCCATGGGGCAGCCGGCTGTAATAAATCAGCCAACACAAAAATATCTGGAACAAAATCTCGGGGATGTGGGAATGTTTTTTGGGGGTTGTGAAACGGTAGGTCTGGCGCTTGGCGGGGAGAACAGTCCGGAATCGCATGGGGAAAGGAAAGATCAGACTTGAATTTGGGTATTAGCTAGGAGGTTCAGCCTTGACAATTCCGTCAGACTACGTGAAAATACAAAAAGGATCCAAAGCTTAGGCCTAAGCCGAGGCCTAACATTAAACTTAAGCCGAAGCCTAAGCTTAAGTAGGCATCTATCGACCGGCAAATGTCCGATTTTCACAGTGACGTCTGCCCTTTAATTGACGGAAATTTGAAAACTTCTCAGTGCCTTCAAATGACTCATTTTTTCGTTGTTTTTGACAAAAAAAAATCGTTCATTGCCCCTCCGCACCGCCAAAATGTCAGCAGATGAACAATTGCTCCTCGAATTCCAGACAAAATGACCTGTGGGTAGGGTTTCGCAAACCTGACTTGGAGCCTTCCGTTAATGAACCCGAAAAGCGGCTTAACGGGCAACGTTTCAGAATGTACGCCCGCTTTTCCGACATCGACAGGGCGCTTCCGGGTTTGCAATCGGATGCGTTTCAAAAGCAGGTAGCGACATCTAAACAGGCTTAAGCCAAGCCTAAGCCAAACCTAAGCCAGGTCTACGCCAGGTCTACGCCAGCCTCTGTCAAATCGGACCTAACTGAAAAACATTCAGCTCAAGGAAATAGCCCGTGTCGCTCGAATCCTGCGGAACATGACCTGCGTCGGAGATTTGGATAACGAATACTGTAATTTGAAAAATTGCCACGATTTTCCGACATTTATAGATCCCCAGATCGATAGTTGCCTTCGCGAGAACCCTAGCTCGGATGCCGCATCTGGAATTCAAGACACAAAAAGGAATGACTGTATGGGGAACCCAGACAAAACACCCGCTTCATAAAGGCAATTTCGAGGCCAAACTCTCAGCCATTTGATTGAAATCATGGTTTCAAAGTTGCTATTTGTTGCGGTTTTCGCGTTCTCGGCTTATGGTAAGGTTTTTGTGGCAAAAATAGGACAGATTTGTTCCTTAAGCATTTCCCGATGTCTTCTCGGCGCATACTATTGGTGAAAGCGGGCCCTGCGGGTATGGTTTCTTCTAGTAATCCTTGCTAGTTTACTTTAATTGCATAAATTGACATTTTTTGATTTGCTGGTGCTCCAAACCAAAAAAATTATTAACTTTAGAAATCTGGCCGGTTTGACGAATTCTGAAGACAAAGATGTGGCCCGTGTGGCTGGGATTTTAGTGAAAATGGCCTGTGACGGGAATTTTCAGCTGCAGCATTGTAAATTTTTTACAAAAAAATGAACGTCAAAATTTCTACTGTAGATGCTGAAATCGACAAATGTCTGGCCGAAGAGGGCAACGATCAAATGAAGGGGTGTTCTGCCATGGCGAACATGACGATTTGCGAGTAAGTGACGGTTAAAAAGCGTGCCGAGGAAGAGAGAGAGAGAGAGAGAGAGAGAGAGGGGGAGAGCGAGGGAGAGAAGGAGAGAGAGAGGGAAATGAAAGAAATTTTTAGCGAAGGCATCGAGCGTTTCTCGTGCGCCATCACAAACTCTGCCAAAACTTGCGGTGCCGCTGAAGAGGATGTAGGATATATGGCCCGCACTATGCAGCTAGGGGTATGGTAATTGGCCTTATTACGTACGAAAATTGCTAAAAGCATTGAATTTTCCGTTTAGTTGCTGCTTCTCGGAAAGGATGAGCTGCCAACGGAACTGAAAGACTGCTTCGGCGCCCTTATGAAAATGTTTGAGGCCAAAGGAGCCCAATAAAATTTTTAGCTGTTTTTTCATTTAAAAAAAATCGCTTAGCCACCTTTGACGTTGCCACACACTGATAAAATTGCAAATACAAAGGACGTAGCTTCTTTTGCATGGTCTTTCAAAGCACTTTGATACGGCAAATTTATTTCAATTAATATCAAGCGCATCCAGCATCGCCAAAAATTCCTCCTTGCAAGGTTTTACAGCTTCCGGGACATCGTCAATGTCGACAAGCCACTAAAATTTGATCGTCAGGTGGAAATCGGTGACTTAAAATTACCCTAAGGTAGACAAGGCGAGCGGCAAATGCCTCGTCTTTTTCACCGTCGCCGCACTTTTTGGTATCTTTCTTTATGCGCAGCTTGAAGGCGTTGCCGATCTGGCTTAGGATCTGGGTTCCATCAGCATTTTCAAGTTCTCGCTCTCTTGCTCACTCGATTTCTCTAGACCACCCAGACTCACTCGCAAGTCCCAGCTGCACGAGGCCACGGCTTTCGCCCTTCACCCAGCTCCAACCAGCAGGCCAAAAACTGTTGGTCTGGAATTTGGAGCGGAAGCATTGTGCAAATTTGGCGACCAAACATTTTGGTATGCTGTTCCCCACGTCGTCACACACGCGCTGTTGCAAAATCTCGAAGGCACGAGCCTTCCGCTCATCCTCATCTTTCTCGAGGGCTTGGGAAAAGCGTCTCAAGGTAGATGAGTTCATTTGGTCGCTTTAAAGACGGGATGGATGATGATAACTTACTTGCAAATGTCTCCAAGGCTCTCTATCCAACGACCATCTCTACTACCGGCTGAAAAACAATTGTTTTCGCAGTGTTCGAACCTATCGTAGACAGCCACAATTAAAAAAGCCCAAAATAAAAATGGAAAATACATTTGGGCGCAGAACTAAAATTTCAAATGGATGCTGAGAGCCGCTAATGGTATTTTGACTGTTTTCCCATGAAGCATTTGATTAAATAGTTGAAGCAGCATTAACTTCACATAGGCTCTCTCGCTCTCTCTCGCGCTCTCTCTCTCTCTCCATCTCTTTCTGATGTGGTTGACGCCCGTCACAACACTCTCCATGCTCTCGTGCCCCCCCAGCCCCTCCTTTATACAATTTCCGATCGATGATTTTTCGTGTGCTATCTAAGTACTGGTACATCCCGGTATTACTCTGCCTCGGACATTGTGAGTCCAATCCCCTGCTCTGATCCCAAGATTTCCCAGATCTTTCTCGTTACGGACTCCAGAAGCAGACAGAGGAGAAGATCGGGATCTGCCAGTTTGTTAAGATATAGCTAGACACCAAACAGATATTTGGCGTCTTTCAGGCAGTTTGCCAAAATCATTGAAGAGGACGAAAACGCGGCCAAGGTGCGGGTTGTCGAGGTTTTGCAATCACGGGCCTGTTTTGCCAATGGCGTCGCCGTAAGCTACTGTAGGTAACTTTCTGGCAAATATTTCATGCTATGCAAACCAGGTCCCTACAGAAAAGTCATAAATTAAAATTGCTATGTTATAAAAGCACTAAAATTTAGATCAGCACCTTTTTGACTGCTGGTCAGCGTTGAACAAACAGCGAAAAGCCTGGCCCCGTGCCAGCGGGACCTGCGAGTGAGATTACCCTATATTTAAGGTACGATTACTGTAATTATTTAGAGAAATTACCCGGGACTACCGTTTTCGATTCGACAGAGACTCCGAGCGATGCGGTGATCTGGGATTTTTGGCCCGATTGACGCAACTTGCGTTCTTCGAGAAAGTCATCGATGCCTGGGGAGCCCCATCAGCCGTTCGAAGCTGTCAGGGACAGATCTTTGAGCTGATTGAGGCGCTTGACAACGGTTCTGTGATTGATGGCAATTCCAAATAAATTAAAACAAATAAAGAACCTCGATGTTGCTTGAGAGAGAGAGAGAGATAGAGAGATAGAGAGATAGAGAGAGAGAGAGAGAGAGAGAGAGAGAGAGAGAGAGAAAACGAGCGTGATAGAGAGAGGGGGTAGAGAGAGGGATTGCGGTGTTTGTTCTGGTTCAAAAAACAAGCAAAAAAGTTTATTATAACGGACAGCTTGTCCTCTGACCATTTTGTGCCCTTTGAAGCCCCAAAATCAGCGCCGCCATAATTGGCCGCGGGCCGAAAATACCCGCAATATAGCCCAGGCTGGACAGGAGTCGCCTCAGCATTAGTATCGATTCAATTGCTATGGAGTGGACGGTAGCCTTTGCCGTCATCTTCATAACTTCAGCATTGTTCGGTAAGTGCGTTTCAAATTTTACAAATCCTATACCGTTTATTATCACACATTCGCTGGCGGCTCTGCTAATATCTTGGAACAGGGGAGTTGCGAGTAAGTTGCTTAAAGTTAAATGATTCAGAACATTTTGTTTAAACTTCGAAATTCCATATAAAAAACTCAATCCATCGAAATTCGAAGAATCGAAGTTTCTTACTATTGAAATTTCATACTGCCGAAATTCCAAATGTCGAAATTTCATAATCTAGAAATTTATTGTTCTACTGATTCGTCGATGGATTTCTGTAAAATTTCGACACTTATTTTTGGACAAGATAAATCTCGACATTCTGACGCCAAATCTTCAGAAAATGGCTTTATCAAACTTTTTATTTGCGAATTGAACAAAATTGTTATAAGGAACCTTTATTTTCGAGACCTTATATATCTAATGATTTCCAGAAACTTCAACAACCTCATCGAGACCGACGAAAATGCCGACAAAGTCCGGGTTGTCGAGATTCTGCGGAAACACGCTTGTGAAAATGACGAGATAATTATACCAAAATGTGGGGGCTTTGTGAAACTGGCAGACCGAGACTCTGAATTTTATGAATCTATCACCAACTCCTGCAAAATTCAGATAAAAAACTTTATGATTGCTGGGCGGCGTTGGAGGAAAAGCGGAAGCCTTGGCGGCGCGCTAGTGGAACTTGCGAGTAAGTGCAATATATCTTGCATCAAGAAAATTAGATGTTTACACATTAATGACACTTCCAGTGAAATAAACGCCGCCTACAAATCCCAAATCCAAAAAAGACGCCAAAAAATGCGGTGCCGGGGATGTCGATGAGGGATTTGTGGCGCGAACAACACAACTAATGGTAGTTTAAATTTCGTTTAGTTTTGATTTTTGTATTTTTTAGTTGTTTACGAAAGGCATCGACAACCGAGGGACGCCAGAGGCTGTTCGGAATTGTCAACAGCAAATTATGGCATTTCTGGATGAAATTGGGGCAAAATGAAATAAATCTTGCGACGCCTTTGAAAAGAACAACACAGTAAAAGTAAAAGAGTGAGATAGAGACATAAGCAGATAGACATTTTTTATTTTATAACACCTGGAAGGCTTGCATAAATTTTTTAGAAAGAGAGAGAGACAGAGGCAGAGAGAGGACGAAAGCGAGAGGGAGCGCGAGAGGGAGAGAGAGTGAGCGAGATACTTAGAATTGGTTTCATCTATTATTTTCAGTGTGTCGGAAAAACCCAAAAATTTCTAAGGAGTTCTGAATCACCTTATCGGCTGATTCACTCATCCATTTTCAGAAAAATTACCAAAACCAAGAAATTCTATAGACCTTACATATCTGTGAATAGACGAGAAAATCTTAAGAAATTTTGGGACATCTATAAAATTGAAACTTTCTATAGCGAGTTATCATACGCGAATATGGCCCGGAAATTCGTCGCTCTCTTTCTCGCCTTGCTAGCTGGTTACGGTAGGTTTCAACTGTAGAATGCCAAAGACACTAAATATGTAGATATTTCTCGGAACCGTATTGAAACAAAAAAACGAATTTTTCAGGATATTGATAAAAATTTTTTTAGTGGCCGCCGATCAAAGATGCCGGAAAGATTTTGACATGTGCTAGTGGGTTGTTTATTTAATTTTTAGAGCTTTTTTCGGGAGTTAGTAGTATTATTAGTTTTAATATTAAAGATTTCAAAATCTTAAAATTTTAGCCGTCTTCAATGCATCGTCGATAGCTATCAGGACTACACGGAATTGCCGCGAATCGCCAAGAAGCTGCTGGAAGTCAGCTGCTATACGCCGGGCGGCATTCAACACTGTAATTTTTACAGGGATGCCCAACCTTTTCGGGGCTCAAAAAGCAAAAACCATGCCGCGGGTGGGGTCGAACCCGGGACCCACGTTTTGTAGGCCTAGATGCTATCCATTCGGCCATAGTGGCAAGCGATTGGGTGGGATGGGAACGCCACAAGAGGGAAAAGGGTCCGACTTCTGTGCGGCTTTAGGGCCCATTGTTGCACAAAATTCGCGCGTCCTTTGCAGGGACGTAGCGTAATACCGGCCCCGGGGGCCCGGGCCCCCCCCCTCCCCCGAAATCGGCCGGGGCCCGAAAATTTCATAAGGGGGGACCCTTATGATTTTTATTTTCTCAAAAATTTTGCTGCCTGCGGCGCTATTTTTACAGGTTTTTACCGCTATTTGTAGAGCTATGTAGCCTTTTTCCAAAATTTTTCGCCTGCGGCGCTGTTTTCTCGTTAATTTTTTGAGTTTTCGGAAAAAAATTTTTGGGGGCCCCCCCGAAATTTTTTTCTGGCTACGCCCCTGGTCCTTTGTACTGCCCCGGAATACATAACTATATATTTGCCGGCGAAACATTGGGTATCCCTTTAAAGATTACCCCAGGTTTATAAGCTTTCATTTCAATATCACGAAAAAAAATATTTTTAGACACCCCAATTTGGGACGCTTTGGCACAGACATCCGACCAGGACTTTCGGAGATGCGACGGGGAGTGGCCGAAAAATTCAACGGATTGCGGGTGGGCGTTTTTAGGAAAATTTTGTACTGTAGTGTAACGTAAAAATTACATTTTTTGGGTAGAGTGCTGCGGGAAATATTAATTTAAAAAATGGTTAAGATTCAAAAAATCCGTCAAAAAATTCTTTTTTTCGATGCAAAATGATCACCAGGCTTTGGCAAGTCGCTGGCACCCGTTTTATCTATAGCAATCGCGCTGAAAACTATATTAAAATATGTGCAAGTGCAAATAGACTGTAGTATTCATTCCAGTCAACTCGTCGAAACGTTCAAGTGCGGTGCGACGGCCGTCGCCAAGAAGGTCGGCGGCTGCAACGTAGCCGATTTGCCGTACGTCGTCCGCTATAGCCAATTGGAGGTATGGAGAATGGTTTTATTAAAGGGCCCTATACAGTAACCATGAACGCTGCCGTAATCTTCATCATTTCTTACCTTTGGCTTTTTCAGTTTGCAGCCAACCTGGGCAACCGGACCGTCGATTCGATCGAATATCCGTGCTTCAAAGTCATCTGGGATGCGATGGAACAGATTGCCGCTAAAATATAATAATTTTTCAGCGTTTTTGTTAAGAACCTTCTAAAAGGCTACAAATAAAAGGTTGCGAGCCATTTCTACTGTTCTGAAGCTGAAAATAAACATTTTCCGCATTAGACGTTTCTCTTGTACTCTCTCTCTCTCTCTCTCTCTCTCTCTCTCTCTCTCTCTCTCTCTCTGTTTCTCTCTGTCTCTGTCTCTGTCTCTCTCTCTCTCTCTCTCTCTCTCTCTCTCTGTCTCTCTCTCTCTGTCTCTCTCTCAGGAAAGGCAGTAGCCAAACAAGGAACGATTTTGTAGTTTTTTTTGTTTTTTGTAGTTTGAACACGGGGATTTAGGTAAAGAGAAGAAAAATATGTTATTCATTTAAACATCAACACAAAATTGGTTAGTGGTGGAGTTCTTCGTGCATCTCAAAGAGCTGCTCACGGCACCCCTCAATTGGTGCCGGCATTTCCGCTTCGTAGCTCTAGACAAAAATTATAGTGGGTCGAAATTTTCTACGTAAACTAGCGCTCAAAACCCACTGCGTAGTGGTCGCGGAGAGCGACATAGATGAGGTCGTCGGCAGTGCCGCAAGCCGATGCGGCCGTCTCGAGAAGGCACTTTGTGACCGCGATCACTTTCCTGAAGGCGCTCAGGTTTGGGGTTGGCTTTAAATTGATTTTGGTTAAATTTAAATCATTCAACTGAATGGTTTAATTAATAAATCAATTAGGCCAGGCCGCCGGGGATCTGTCAAATCTTGAAAATCTGAAGCTCGTTTTTCACAATCCCGAATTCTCATACTTTCCAAATTTTCAAATTTCGAGTCACTTGAATTTCGACTTTCTGAACCCAGGCATTTGCATACACCTAACACCAGGCCTAAGCCTAAGCCTCACCTGCAAAGGTCGGTTTCTCCAGCGGTCCCGTGCACGCAGCTCGCTGCCACAGCCGTGTCGGCCATTTTGGGCCGCAGGCATCTGTTCAATTCTTCATCTGAATTTTTAGCTAAGGGTTTCTCCATCGGAATTTTTACCATCGGCATTTTGCAAAAGAATCCGTACAAGCTCAATTCCATTTCAACGACTTACATTTCGGCTTTGTTGTCCCGTCTTCCTCGCAAGCCATCTTGGCGAGACGCGCGGCCATTTCGGTGAATTTTTGGTCTTTGCCAGAAGCAGCTGCGTCGTGGTATGCCCTAAAAGTCGAATTTTCTTGTCATCTTCCATCGCTACTCTGAGATGGCAAACGATTGCGAGACGGGACCAAGTCTATTTTTTGTAGGATTTTGAGCTGATTTCGGATCCGGTTTTAAATTTCTGGAATGGGCTATTTACGAAACTACATTTTTTGACGCAAACTACCCAAAATTCGGATTGTTAGTTTTTAAATATGGCCATTCCGGAAGATCCAAAAGCGGGTGCTTGATCAGCACTGGGGTGTTATTCCAGAAATACGGTATTTGCCGGAGGTATTTGGTCAATAAAGGCGTTACTGTATTTCGAGGTACCGTACTCGCAAGAATCCCCAGCGACACCTGCTACCGAAGCAACATTGAGCCAAGATGGAACGGCTAAAAAATTGGATTAAGAGCAGAAAGTGCCGCCAAGTCACCAACAACGGCACCCAGCAAAAGAGCGAGAATTACGGGAGACGGCTTCATCATCGAACGAGTGAGGTTTCCCCCTGTCGCACATCTTTTATGCCCTGCATAGGGCGGTTTTGTCTATGCGGGGTGAGTCAAGCGTCTTCCAAGACACCCTTCAAAATCCAATTAGACCACTTTGGGTCGTCGTCTGTTAATTTTGACTGCCGGGGTCGCGAACTTTTGATTTGTCTGCCCATCGCCGGACCGTTTTTTGATTAAATTTTTGTTTATGACTATAAGGCCACCCCAGTCGGCCACATCTTGCAATCGGAAAAGCGCATATATTTTCGCAAAATGTGGAACTAAATTTGAATTATATAAATATGTATGCAAATTAAGCAATTTCGAAGCGGCCAGCTTGCTGCCACCATCGCTTTAATTAAAGCACTTTATTCCACACAAGCACCCTCAAAGCACTTTATTTCAAAGAGAAATACACAACTGGGTGGCCACATATTGGGTTACTGTAGATAGGGACAGGGCAGAATCGAGCGTATTCTGATGAGGTTCGATAGAATGGGGGGGGCGACGATCGAGGAGAAGTCGTCAGTGGTGCGGTTGCGCCGACCATCTGGTGCCTCTTGATGCGACGCCACACGCGGCACCTCACCGGCGGGTTCATCGGAGAATCGCGCTTCAAAGGACGTGATGAGAGGGGGAGAGAGAGATTCTTCGATTGTCCGAACATCTAAAAAATCCGAAGCTACAGCAGGGCGAGGAGGGGAAAAACCAAAGCATGATATCGACATTCTTCTTGCCGACATGGGTCGAATTGCGGCTCCTTTTCACAAGAAAGGGTATTTAAAGGGAACGCTAAGGCCCAGAAAAAATTTAGTGTAAAACGGACTTTAGTTCTAAAATTAGCAATCTTCTCTGTTCTCTCCTGCCTTCTCGGCTCATTTTTTGCAATGGCATTTCCGGTTGGCTCGGTGCCAAATTTAGTTGGGCCCTGATAGAACTAAAGAAACCCTTTAAGAAGAACTAATTTTTCTTATTTTTGTATTTCCCGTTCATTTCCCGTTAATTCACTTCACCTAATCCTGGAAAGGAAAGTGTTTCGCAGAGAAAGCTGCTATTAGAGAACGGCAACATTGTTGCACGAGGTCATTGCTGACCGAGAGGGGTGGGGAGGGAGATTTCGCTTACGCGATCGTTTTGCCCGATTTTTTTCCCAATCCCTTACACAACTCTGCCATTGTTAATATATTTCCATCATGATGCATCCTTACCTCGCCCTTTTTATTGGGATTTTCATCTACAGGTATTTAGGATGTTTCGCGAGATGCTTTTAGATTTGGCTGGAATCCTTCGCTAGATAAACTCCAGGAGCCGAAGATTGAGATCTGCGAGTGGGTTAATTGCGTTGTGTGATGCGCCAGACGGGGTCGAGACGCTAGTTTGGATATCGTATTGCTTCTAATAGAAGCAATCTTCACCATACTAATTATTGAACTCAACAGATCTATGCAAAAAAAAGAAACAATCGTAGCGGTCCACAAAATATTTACAAAAATGCTGAAGTTCGTTTGTAAAGACTTTCGGTGCAACCTAATAGTCCTATTATGTTATTTTTTTTTGTCGAATTCTAAAATTTGCGCATTTTCTTGTATTTTGAAATACGGCCGGTTTTTAGGAGCTTCACGAAAATCATCGAAACGGACGAAAACGCCGACAGGGTCCGCGTCGTCGAAATTTTGCGCACTCGTGCCTGTAACGATGACCATGACCCTCTGACTCACTGGCTATTCCGGAGTTTGGATAGTGGCTGTAAGTAGCGTCTTCGCATTAACGGCAGCAGAGTTTTTCTGACCCCTAAAACGCTGAAAGATTTAGATCAAAAGCTGCACGATTGCTGGAGGGCGCTGGAGGCCGAGCGGAATCCCTGGCCGCGAGCCAGCGGGAATTGCGAGTAAAATTCAAAGACTGGCTTGACAAATTAGGGACTTATTTTTAGCGAAATCACCCGAGAGTACGCGTCGCGTGTCAAGAGGGACGCCAAAAAATGTGGTTACGGAGAGGCCGATCAGGGATTTCTGGCTCGATTGACGCAGCTAAAGGTATGCCAACATCGTGTTTCTGTTTTTAATTTTTGAGCGGCTTACAGGTGCACGAAAACGTCATTGGTAACGGGAACGCTCCAGCTGCAGTTCAAAACTGCCGGCAGGAGATCGTGGAGGCGCTCGCCAGACTCGACCCAATCAAGCAAGAAAACGGGTTATAGATCGCCAAAAATGGAATAAAGATATGATATCTACTTCGCCCACACGCTCTCACTAGCTCACTAGCTCTCGCTCTATCCATCTCTCACGCTCTCTCTCTCACTCTCTCTCTCTCTCTCTCTCTCGCTATCTCTCTCTCTCGTTCTCTCGTTCTACCTCCTCCCTGTCTCTCTCTCACTCTCACTCTCTCTTTTTCTCTCTCTTTCTCTCTCACTCTCTCTCTCTCTCTCGCTCTTTCCAGCTCCTGCAAAGCCAGACCAAACGACCGTAATTTTTTTGATTTTTGGCATTCGCCTTGGGGAAAAAAATTCGGACAAACGACATTCTGTGGGAACGGGAAATCTTTAATCAAAATGTGACCGTTGTGCAAACAAATTTTTGATCCCATTGCCGTACTTATACGTGCCATGGTGTGTGTGCTGTGATTGGGGTGAGAAATGCTGAACTTGGTGAATTCGTCGGGGCACATCGGGTCCGCATTGTGGTGCTCAGGCAACGGAAATGTTGAGAGTCCGGGATTTTCGCGAAGTTTTAGAGGTTATTCTGATAACTACGGTCTTTTTAGGTATCTATTTTAGTTTTTTTCGCTTTAGTTATTTGGGTCGGCCGCGTCATTTTGCCGTATGGTTCTCAAAAACAAAAAAAAAGATTGCTTAAACTTGGTCGAATCTAGTAAGTTCGATAAGAATTTATGAATTTAGTAGGAAGTAAGTTTAGCTAAGCGAAGTAAAACTAAATAATAAAGTTTCCGTTGATTAATGAGCTTAATTTTAGCCATAACTTTTATTCTGGGAGCACTACCGGAGTGGGTCATACGATTTATACGATTCTATGTGAAATTTGATCAGGACAAATTTGAGGCATACGTGCAGGGGATATACTTTGGGAGTTCAGCTGCTGTAAGTTCATTCTCGATGGATTGCCAGGGCTGGGATCCGAGAAATATGCTCCAAAATAAAGTGCAATTTCCAGATATATTTATTAACCCTTATCGTCAGCCCGTTGGCCGTCTATTATTCCTTGGCCAATAAAAAGATCGTATTGCCAGTTCGGTGTGTGCGAGTGCAATTATAAGATAGGTTCCTAGGCTTCTCCTCGCTTCCGTCGCGGCTTCTAGGGGAGTCGCCTGTCTCGTCGAGTCGATTTTCTGGATCGGCTTGTGGGTTTGAGCTTAGTTTTTCATAAGCCTAAGGCCAATCTAATCTGTATCTCTCTGCTCAGACAAGAATATAGTTGGTCGAACAAAATCATTTCCATGAGCATATATTTGCATAAATTCACTTCCGACGACGTGAAGACGCTAACGACTTGAGTCGTAGCCGACTTGCGTCGTCGCGATTTCAAGTCGTTCCATCCGACTGATTTCCCTTCCGACTCAAATCGTTTGGCGACTCGCGTCTGGTGGCGTTTTGAATCGCGCCGATTTTAAATCGCAGTCCGGTTTTAAAGGCATACGATTCAGTTCATCAGTCGACTCCAGTCGTTTGCAAATTGAATCGTTAACATTTCAATCCGCCCCTTCCGATTCATAATTTTTGGACGCAAGTCGGTGCCGACTCAAGTCATATAACAACCCTAGTCCGAAGCCTAAGCCCATGCCTAAACCCAAGCCTAATATGCTTTTTAAAGGGCTTAAGTGCAGTTTACCCGCCCCCCCAGCCGGCACCCACCTACCGTATCTCGGCTCACTGTTCATCTACAGGTGTGTAAAGTATACCAAAATACTCGCCAAAGCAAGACGAACATTTTGGCATACTATACACACCTGTAGATGAACAGGGAGCTGAGATACAAAAGTTAGGTGCCGGCTGGGGGAGAGGGGGTAAACTGCACTCTAACCTTGTAAAGTTCAAAATCTAGAAGTGTGACCGAATATACCTACCGTAACCCCGCGGGTGTTGAATGGCTGCTCGAGATGGCGCAGGCAATGGTCTACTTCGGCTTCTCGATGTCCGTAAATATGCGGGCTCTCTCGGCGGGGATTCGGATAGCGCAGTACTTTGTATCTTTTGGGTAAGCTTTCGCGTTCTGAAGGGATCGCGAAGTCACTTTGCAATGGATTTTGCATGTTCAGAGTTTCTTAACGTTTCTTCATCTATGACTTGAAGGCTATGGATCCCTTAAGGAGTTTGCGCGGCCGCAAGACTCGACGCGAAAGGCGTGAATCGTCAACGCAATGAAACGGCGTGCGCGCGCGTTGCGATCAGCAAATCCATAGCCATGCCTTGAATCCCCTTAATCCCAAAAAACACCGAATTTCAGCCGTTTCCTCGCCCTCGCCTTTGATGGTCGATATTTCCATATGAGCGTCAAGCTGCCATATTTGCAGCTACTACTACCGTATACCATTGCACTATTGCTACGACTCGGCGCGGAATTCAAGGCTACAAACTACACCGAGTGGCTAGGGTATTTGGATGCTATTTTGATTGCGAATACCGCGGCGATTGATATCGCTGCGTATCGGAAATTAAAACAGGTGATTTCTAGTGCAAATGTGTTCGGTAAGGATCTTTTTAAATGGAATCGGACAGTGTTTTAGCGACGATCTCGTTGAAAGTAAAATAGAATATATTTCTAATTTTAGCACATTGCAAGATCACCAGCCCAAGCCAGCTCCAAGATGCCACTGGCACTAATGGTAGGCCGGATACCTTTTTTGGGATTTTTTGAAGTTTTCAGCTCGTCTTCTCATCCGCCGCCTATTTTTTTCGTGCTCCGCGCTGCCGAAACGGTCCCAATCGCGCTGCGAATATTTCTGGGCCCTAAAATAAGATTTATCGCCAATATGGCCGTGCTGCAGATCGGGCTTTTTCTGAATTTTCCGTATACCTCGTGAGTTATAATGCAAAAATTTTGAGATGGGATTTTTAGAATTTTAACGATCATTTTTCTGCGCACGCCGAAGCAAGAGCACAACTCGACATCAGTACGGACTTGCTCTCATGTGGCCAAAAACCGGAAATCCTCTACAAGGGCCACGTTTCCGATCGATAAATTTGAACACTAAAATGTTTTTATTGACCTCTTGATATTTTACAGATTCTGGGTAGCGAGCAGGGATTATTGAGGACGACCTTCAAGGTCAATCCTGATCGATGTCTCGCGCTTTCAAATATTTCTTACATGTTTTTTCTGGGCAATTAGCAGTGGTTCTCACCTACTCGTTCTCTCCTGTAATACAGTAGATTTTCCCTTTTTCTTGCTTAAGCTGCATTCTGATTTCTGCGTTTAAAATAAGTCCTCGTTTAATGGTCCCGCACGCAGTTTCTCACGCAAATCTTGCCATTTACGATCGGGCCCTTGGCAGTGGGAACGTAATATGTGAAATTTGTTCATTATAACCGAGCATAAATCCAACCGACGAGTGCAGGAAGGTCCGGAACGAGCAAAGTTATCTGTACTGTTGAAAAAATAAGGGGAAACGATGGAAAAATTTTAGCTTTAGCGCTAGAAGGCCTGTACGTTTTCGAAATGACGGAGCAGCGTGGCCCTGCAATTAACAGCCTAAACAAAAATAGTTTCAAATCGAGTTTTCGAGGTTCGAAATCGAGATGAAAAGACTTGGGGGAAGATGGTGAAAAGCGCGTCGCTGACAAAGATACTGCCATTATACAAATCAGGCGAAAAAATACGCCAAAATGTCCGGGCGGGTGGGGATACAATTGGGTGAATAACACGCGATACACCTAGACGAAGTCGTGGTTCCCATGAAACCGTCGACCTTGGATAAGGTATCGTTGGTCTCCTCGAAATGGGACTAAAAATAGCTCTCGCGTTTGTGGTATTTGCCGGTTCTTACGGTGCGGCGATACATTTGTACAGGCCTTAATAAACTTTGACGCAAGTAATTCGGCATTTAGCGGGACCGCGACACGCAACGCGCACGCTACATGGAAGCTTTCAGGGACGGTTCTTATTGCGCGACACAAAGGCTTGCGGGTTGCGCGTCGCGGCGTTGAAAAGTCCAACGTAAATCTATAGCCTGTAAAATTTTCATAAATTCCTTAACCGTGTTATGTCATTTTCCAGCCGATCCCACCCCGGCGAAATGCGACAAAGTGGTGCCGATGTGCAAGTAAGTTTTGGGCGCTGTAATCATTACGTTTACAAACTGAGACTATAAAATTTAATGACGACGAACAGATTTTATTGTTTTTGGGATTAGATACTTCTCCTGTGTATCAACCACGTATCCAAACACCGAAGGCGATCGCATCGCCACAATTCTCCGCAACGTCAGCTGCAATGGAAAATTTCTGTTGCCAATAGTGAGATGTGGGTAGACGCATTAACTGTTAGAAAAATTTAACATACAGGGTGTCCCATAAAAAAAGCACCCCTCCGGCATTTCGCCGTATTACATCCGATCGGTCCGAAATTTGGACCAGAGGTGTATCAGACCCTAAATAACCACAATCCTGACTTATAGCCCGCCAGCTACAGTAATCTTCGAGATACAACAAAAATAAACTTTATTATCCGTTTTTCATATGGTTTTCGTCGAAATCGACCCTTCGAATATTAAGTGAAAATGAAGCGGCAAGCCTGCTTTACCCCTAGAGATTTTTTTCTGATAAAAATTAGTGAAATAACCGTTGATTTCAACAATTTTTGTAACCCAAAGTCACCCCCAATATTAAACGAAATTAGGGATTCGCAGCCGGAAGTCGATGCAAATCGATGCAAAGTCAAAAAAGATAGCCGAAAAAACTATTAAGAACCGCGTAAAAAAACAGTATTTTGACGATAACTCGAAAACTACTGTAGCTATCGGGTTAAAACTCAGGATTGTGGTTATTTAGGGTCTGATACACCTCCATTGCAATTTTGGGACTGTTGGGATGTAATGCGGCGAAATGCCGGAGGGGTGCTTTTTTGGGACACCCTGTAGATCTTTTTTACTTTTTATCCTCTTCAGACGAGAAAATTTGGAGCGCTTGGGGAGAACAAGATCTGGAGGGCGAACTCGGAAGTTGCACAGCTGGGGCGCCGAACGACCCGGCCGATTGCCCGTATGTAGTTTACACCTTGAAGCTGGATTCAAAAGTTGCACTGAGAGCGTAAATCTGATGCTTCAGCGCCGTCATCGCCACTTACCAATGCGCTGTATCGGCAGTAGCTAGCAAAATTGGTACCGGCGAGAAGGATGCCCCGTTCATCGCCCGTCTCGTTCAATTCAAGGTACTTCGTCGACTATACTTTTTCTGGCCCTAATGACTTTGATTCGAGCCTAATCAAAAATCATTTCAGATCGCAGCTGAGCTTTTGGCCAGCGGCGACAAAGAGCCACATCCGCCCTGCATGAAAGCATTCTGGAATGCCCTAAATGAAATTGGGAACCATGCGCAAGACGATAACGTGAAGAATAAATAAATAAATAATTTTTTTTTCGTTGTATGACCGCGGTTCACAAAGCATGCTTGGGTCGAAAGGGTGAGCCGGGGTCTCTCTCACTCACTCTCTCTTTCGCTCTCTCTCACTCTCTCTCTCTTTTTCTCGCTTGCTCTCGCTCTCTCTGGCTCTTGCCAACGCCTTCATGTTTGCCAATGCTTGACGGTAAGGAGCCTGCACCTAAAGTTTTTGAAGACTATTTGATCGAAATGCTGGAAGAAATGTCGGAGGGATTGAATAACTAAAAAATGAATGCTGGGGTCAATATGGGTAATTTTTCAAATTTCTTTTATGTCGTCTTCGAAATAATTTTTTGGATAAAATCGCATTCTATTGTTTGATGCCTTTTTTCCAACCCGTCAAATATTAAAAAAGCTAATAAACTTTCTAAAGAAAAAACGAGCTGATTCACATCAAATAGCTAAAAAGATCCAAAAAGCAATTTGAATAGCCCACCCCTGATTCACCGAGCCGTCGAAATAAAACAAAAAAAACTCACGATTTGTATAGGCTGACTGGCTTAGAATTTAGTGAATAGAAGGGCTCGACACTAGTCAAAATAACCAGCCCTATAAAACTGCGAACTTTCCGAAAGGGTATCCTTGAATCGTCGTGGAGATGCGCGTCAGAATCGTTCTGGCCTGCCTGGTTGTTGGAGCGGTGTACGGTACATTTTCCAAGTTTTAAAGTCTTGAGTAATTCGAGGAAGCTTAAGGTTTTAAAATTGAAAAAAGATATCTACATCCCTTTTCAGCTCAACATGAGCCAAGAAAATGCCAACAAGGACTGCCGATGTGCAAGTAGGTTTTTCTAGTATTCTCCGTGGTGAGAACGAGGTTTTTCCTTTATTTGCACACCAAAACTTTCAAAACTGCCTAACGTGTGAGGACTTTAATTGTTATTTCTAATTTAAATTTTCCGACGTAAATCGACACTTTACATGTACTCTATTCCAATATAGGGTGTCATTTATGCTATTTTATTGGTACACCTAAAACGCAGATTCCTGCGCTGCCTATCGACCGAGTATGAGGGCACGGCCACCGACCATGTCGCCACCACATTACGCAACATCAGCTGCAACGGGGAGCTGCTGCTCCCGATTGTGAAATGTTGGTTTTACATGCCGAAATAGTATTAAACACGCTATCTTAGACTCATGCAAAGTAAAAAGTCCAAGGTAAGTTTTAAATTCTAGTCATAAAATAAGGGATAATCACATATACCTGATTTGGAGAAATAAAGGAGCCCCTGACGCTCAACACGCAACTTCTTTTAGACGAGAAACTCTGGAACGGATGGACCGACAACGACAACCGGGACCTATTCAAGGCATGTGGCTTTGAGGCGCCGAAAAATTCGACGGAATGCCGGTATCGGTTTGGTTGCTCTCTCTCTCTCTCTCGCTCTCTCTCACTCTCTTTCTCTCGTTCTCTCTCACTAGCTCTTGCCAGACCGTACATCGACTTTTACCAATGCGCCATCTCGGCCGGTGCAAAAAATTTATGGATGCGGGGTGAAGGATGTCCCGTTCATCGCGCGTCTCGTCCAACTTGAGGTAGAGTCCGGTCATTAAAGCGTCCGGAAGAAGTGTGAATCGCTTTTTCTGGTCACTGGTTATTTTAAAATCCATCTGAAAGTGTCATTTGGTGTAGCTGTCCAGATTTAGCTTCATAGGTACCTTAACTTTATAGGTTGCTGTCGACAGCCTGGACAATGTTGGCGAGCCGCATCCCTGTTTGCTGACGTTCTGGGAATTCTTGCAGAACCTTGGAAGCAACGCGCAATAAGCTTCATTATCATCGCTTTTTTTAACTTGTTGACGAAAGGACTGAATAAAGCTTTATTTCCAAGTGGTTAAATATTACTACTGAAATAGTGTCTGTGTGTTTGTGTGTGTGGTGCCACTTTGCATGCAACTTCCGTCAGGGGGTCCGGAGGATATCTCGAGAGGGAAAGGGTTTTAAGCAACGTATGATCCGTCATTAGGTGCGTAATGGCGCTGAGATGCCTGCACACACATCAGATTTTGCAAATTATGCTATTTTCGACGTTAAAATCAAGTTTTTGTTAGAAAATGGAGCACCCACTTTGTTAGGAATCAATTAGCATATGCCGGAAATGGCGCGAGCCTATATAATGGGCGGAGGGAGAGATTTTCATTTTTTGTCATCGGAATTCGCGCGAATTATGCAAAATGAAGCATATTATGACGCTAGACGGGGGCCAGGGTTGAAAAGACGCGAAGCGGCTTTTCAACCCTGGTTATTACTGAAATTTGTTTCACAAGCCGCACCTATTTTTGCGCTTATTCCTGTAATGCTTTTCTGCTCATGTAATGCCACTGCATATACCACCTCTGCTTTCAGGTCCGTTCTTCTGAGGCCGAAAATACGATAATCGTGGATCGTTTCGGTTTTTGTTATCCCATCGATGTGCGGAGAAAAAAATAGTAAAAAAAAGCTCCATTTAGTTAGACGGATCAGTCAAAACGCCGACACTGAAAATGCCGCTAAGCCAAAATACCGGGAGACTAAAGAATGAAGTTTTTGTCGTAGGAATTTTGATTGTCGCTATTTAATGTTATAAGAATTTTTGGTCGGGGTTTCAGCTTTTCCAGAAAGACTTCACTTCAACTTTTAGGAAAACAATCGATACTTATAAGTGCGGAATTGTTACCGTAGCGGCCAACGCCGGAAGTGGGCGAGCAGATGAAACATACGTGGCGCGGTTGGCGCAGTGGAAAGTAGGGTCAAAACGGTGGAGGGAAAAGATCGTAAATTTAGTTCTTGGTCAACGACAAAATTAAATTCGAGCCGCACTACTGCACCAACAACAGCCTTGAGGCTTTGGACGCAATGGGTGCCGGGATCATAAACTGAATCTCCTGTTTTGAATAAACGTTCTGTTCTGTTCTCCGGATTCAATTAGCTACAGCATATTTTTGCGTTTAAACGAATCTATACAATTTTTTCTGAAATGGCCTTTTTATTTTCAAAAAATTCTTTGGATTTTTGAGTGTCCTAGTTACAAAGCAAAATATCGACATTCTGTGCCATCTTTCTCGACACTATCAATTTCGACTTTTGGAAAGAAACCCGGATTTTGATGAATTTAATAGTTTTGAAAAATGTGCTTTAATTGCTGCCTTTGAAAAGCCTGTGCTCCCATTTTCCCTAAAATTTCATGCTCCTTGTTATGTCTCCAACCTTCCAGAAAAAGACAATTTTGATCTAAAAGTGGCAGTTTTGGACAGCCAAATCATGAACTGAATCATTTCGTTTTCGGGCATTCAAATTAGTCGATTTTCCGCTACTTTCCGAGCACAGACAGACGACACGCAGCCATAATAATGGACTGCATAAAACGGGCAATTCGATAGGCCGGGCATCAAATCACGAAAATGAATTCGGTTGTCGTTTTCGGGCTTCTTGTCGGGGCAGTTTTTGGTAAGTTAATGGTATTTAGCTCGTTTATACCTATTTTGCTAGCTTGGCCCGCTTGGCATGGACCAGAGGTCGCTGCGGCTGAGGGAGGGAGCTGCGAGTAAGTGGAATTTTTGAAGGTTCGAGAATTTATAGCCAATAAAATCTATGGCCACAGCCGTCGCTCTGCCTTTAAGAGGCTAATCTTACGGTTAAAAATTTACCACCACGGTCGAAAGGAGATTCACGCAAGATTTCTCCGCGGCGAATACCTGCCTAGAAATCCCGGATTTAATTTCTGTTTAACAATAATTACAAAAAACCAGAGGCTACCATCTCGTCGCCGAAGAAGCCGCAGATCCAAAAGTTCGCCAGGTTGCCAAAATCCTAGCCGGCATCGTCTGCGACGCCGACGGTGACACCATCAAAAAATGTGGGTTTTCAGTGCGATTATGCCCTTTTCATTTTCGAAAAATAGCCGGCGTCAATGTGGGTAATGGCTTTTAGATGATGACCTTGGAGACTGTGTTGCCGAGCTGGACCCGGAGGATCCGCGTCTTCTCAAGGGTTGCGCCGCGGTTGTTGACGACGACGAGGGTGTCTGCGAGTGAGTCCCAGACTTTGAGGAGAGGGGCTAGTGGAAGTGGTTCTCGTGATTTTTTACTATTCCTAAACGTGTAATTTTAACCGAAATGTAATTTCTTGTCTTAATATAGCTATATTTTGCTACAAACAATATTAAAACACTTTCTATTAAGTTACTAGGCATCTAGACCTATACAAAAAATTCGATCACTGTGTCGTAATGGAGGTTTTCCCCTTTACAGAAACACTGCCCAGGCCATCCACTGCCAGTTGGAGAACACGTTGTCTGTCTGCGGACAGCCCGACGACATGACCTTCCTGGCCCGCTTCATGCAGATTGGGGTGAGCTTTTGGGCTTGTTACTTGCATGGAGAAAACCGACAAACCTACAAACAAACAAACCCACGCCTACAAAATTTACAAACCTACAAAACCAAAAAATGTTCCTAATTTAGTGGCTCGTCGTGGAACACCCTGAAGAAATCGCGGAATGTGCCCCCGCTATCCAGGCAATGTTCGAAAAGGCTGCGGCTCAATGAAGATGAATATTGTTTGACTGTGATAAATTATTGATTTTGATACAAGAACACATACGAGAAAGAGAAAGAGGGAGAGAGAGAGAGAAAGGGAGAGGGAGGGCGAGAGAGAGAGCGAGAGAGAGAAAGAGAGAGTGAGAGAGAGAGAAAGAGAGAGAGAAAGATAGAGAGAAAGAGAGCGCGAGCGAGGGAAAGAGAGAGAGAGCGAGAGAGTGAAAGAGAGAGAATAACGGATAATCATAATCTTTCTAAAAGCCGTCGGTGTGGTGTGCAGTGCAAATGTAAACTCGAAAATTCGTTTCAAACTGGCAGTCTTTCTAAGTTTTCTCGTTGATCAAAGATGGTACGTACCCTATAGATGGATTATGAAATCGTAAACCTATCGTTGCCCCTGAAACGCGTCAAACCAAGGAAAATGTGCTGAGTACATAATCGTACTGAATTTTGAACTCGATTTTAGAATCGGTACGAAATCCATTGATCGCCGTATCCGTCGCCATAGGTCATTCATCTAACCTATATTTCAAAAATTTTCGAAGTTCTTTAAATTCTATCTTTTCCCAACTATGCTACTCTTTGTATCGATTTTTGTTGAAATGGCGGCCGCTTATATTGGTAACTTTGGAAATTGTTTTTTGTCAAAACATTAATAGCTCCCGAAAAACAAGATCCGGCGGAAGCATGTAAGTAAGTTTTTAAAAGTTTTTTACAGTTTAGGAAAGTCAGCTGTCAGTTAGTGTTCAGAAATGTCTGACACAATTCCTGGTACTGGTTCATTACCGGGTGGGGGGTAAAATACGCCCCTAATTGACCTATCCAGAAAAGAAAGGGGTGTGGGCGTGTCCCGCTACCCCCCCCCGCTAACGAAGCAGAACCCCCCCCCCCCCAATTCCTGCTTTGTGCACCCTTTTAGTCCACTGTACTGTCAGAATGCTTTGTTTTAGATTGTTCGGTTCTGCCGCTAATAAGTTGGGCAACAAGCCGCTAGTCGAAGCGGGGAGGTACCTGTTTGCGAAGGCCTGCGACAAATGGCTGCAAGAAGACCCGAAATGTGGGCGCTTAGCACGAAATGTTCGATTCATTAAAATCCCCGACCCTAGCACGTTTAAATGGCTCCGAAATTCGTGGAATTCCAGGGTGATTTGGGCCGATTTCAGTCGAAAACATCGACAAGTGCCTTCTGACAAATTTCAACAAACCGGCAATGAGAGAGGGCTGCACGCCGACAAACGGCAGTTCGTTATGCAGGTTGTGCGATTGGCTATGGATTAGGTTCAGGTTTTAGGTTTACAAGGAGTGCTTTTTTGAGTCATCGGCAAAACCTTACGAGACCTAGCTCATTCGATAGAGAATTCACTTCTGAACCAGGCTCCACTGTTTATCCTTGATTTTACAAAATTTGAAACTGCACCCGAAAGCGTCTCGTTTTGCTCGAAGGGCACTCATGGTATTACACGGCACCTAGTTTTTAATTTTATAAAATCAAAGACGGCTATGCCGCAAAAATAAACAGCGGCATTCTGTTCAGAATTCAATTCTCTATCGAATGGGCTAAGCCTCGTAAGGTTTTGCCAATGACTCAAAAAAGCACTCCTTGTTAGGCTTACGCTTAGGCCGGCTTAGGCCACTTAGCTTTAGGTTTAGCTGAGGCTTAGCTTAGGCAGGCTAGGGCAGGCTTAGACAGGCTTAGCTTTGGGCTTGGGCTTAAGCTCAGGAATGGATTAGACTTAGGCTTAGGCTTAGGATTACACTTACTAGTTAGTCTTGGGATTAGGCTCAGGCTTAGTTTTCGGAATATCCTAGGCTAGGCTACGCTTAGCTTTGGGCTTCGGCTTCTGCTAACGGCTTATAACCTATTAACCCAAATTCCCAGCGCCCTCGCCGAGATGATGAAGTGCACGGTGCTAAACATAGCCAAGTTCTGCCACAGCGAGCAGGAGCGGATATACATGGCAAAGCGGATGCAGGTTACGGTAATTTTCGAGCTATGTGTCGCTATATGGTAACATAATGGATATTTGATGTCATTTGAGTTAATGGATGTCTAGTTACTCACGCAAGTCAACGGGAGAATGCCTGCTGAGTGTGTGAAGCCGGTGATTGCGCTGTTGAACTCTGTTGAGAACGAGAGAACAACTCCCGCACCACCGACACTCGCGCCAACAATGCAAGGCCCTTCGAAGGACTACGGAGATTAAGTCTTGATAGGTTTTATAATATATAGTCCGATATTTCGATAAATAAACGCATTTGTAAACACAACTACATCTACAGAATCATATAAGAATCTCTGCATTTTCGGAACTTCGAATTTTCCTTTTAAGGACATTTCAGGAAAAAAGCTTCCGCTTTTCCTTTTCTGAATTGTAATAGCTCCTTTTTAACGTTTTTCTTCATTGGCCTTTTAGCAGAATTGACTTTTTCTCCCTTACACTTTGCTACCCTCAACATCTCGAGAGATAAATATTTTTCCGAATATATTAGTGAACCAGGGTCACAAAAGACCCCAAAAGCATTGTATACCCTTTGCGCGAGGCAACAATTACCGCAGTTTTGGACTTCTAGGATAAACACCACTTTTTCCACCTGCCATGATTGATCCTTTATATAAACGGCCACTCTGGGCATGCTGGAGAAAAATGCAATGTCTGGCTACGAGGAGCCCTCGATTTTAAAGACCTATTCGAATTTTCTACTGATTGTTGGAACATCGATAAATCTTGGCATGCTTCTCTTGATAATTCGAAACCCATCTGAAAAGGCTACCGCATATCGATGGCATCTGGCATGGTATCAGGTAATTTTTGAACGTAAAGGCTGAACCTATAGGTTAGAAAGGAGCATCCAGGCTTTGGAGGCAAAAAGCAAAAGGTTTCTCCCCGGCCGGGAATTGAACCCGGGTCTCGCATGTGACAGACGCGGATACTCACCACTATACTACCGAGGACACGGGTGAGGAGCCTCGGGGAGGGGCTCAAGAGGGGTGGCAGGCCGCGGGGCCGCCATGGGGGGAAAGGAGCCCCATGAGCCAAAAGCGAACTTGACAACGATGAAAATGGTTCAAACCTGTTGAAAAAAAGAAAATTTGCCGATTTTTCAAAGCCAATTAAATTCAGGTACCTTGGGACACTATAAAATTCTTGTACGCCTTTTTATTGGAAAATTAGCGTCTGAAATTGCTCGATCTTTAAAACTTACGCTATAAAGATTGAAAAACAATTTTTAGTATTTTTCTATAGTTTTACGTTTATGTTTTTAGTTATGGGCAATCGTAATGGAACTCCTCTTCCACATGGCACTCCCCGAGATTTTGCTGCCTGTTTTGGCCGTCAGGATTCACGGGGTTCTATTCGAATTTTTGAGCGCTCGTGCGATGCTTGTAAGTTTTAAAAGTTTTACTATATGGATTACTATACTATTATCTAAAAATTAAAAAACTAAATTAATCTTCTATATTCAGCTGTTGTTGGCGGTTAGTGTAATTTCGATGCTCCTCGCCACCGCTCAATGCTTTTTCTATCGGCATTGGCTACTGCTGACGGAGGACAATTTTTTCAAGTAAGAAAACCTTAACAAAACTTTACAGTTTGTGAACAAAATATTACTAGATTAAATTCCTTTAGAAAATGGCCAAAAACCGTCTCCTGGATCGGGGCTTTTCATTATTTGTTTGTAAACGTCGTGGGAGTCTTCGTGCTCATGTTATTGCCAATTGATTGCACCGTAAACTCCGGGATGCTACAAGAGACGCTAAATGTAATTTTCAGCAGAGTCTTAATAGTAATTTGAAATACTCTCAGGCCCATCCTACCTTCTTCTACCTCCAAAACCTTACAAAGATCTGCGCGAGTGAGATTGTGCCAATATGGCGGCCATATGTCAATTTCTCCACCGTCGCTGTGCTGATGTTTTGCGACGCGTTTTTAATTTGCTACATTGTGCCGATTGTAGGTTATTTTGTGGCATTGTAGGTACTAAATTATGAACATTTAGACGATGCTGCTGCTCTGGCATTCATTCGCACTTTTGTCCCGCCAGAATACCTGGATGAGCGTGAAAACTAGGAAAATGCATCGTAGATATCTATTGGTTTTGCTGATCGGGGTAAGATTTTTGAGTTTATATTATAGAGCAGATGAATCAATTGATTTGATAGCATACCGGGTGTCCCAGCAAAAAACACCCCTAGCTCGGCGCATTCAATGGCAAGTTTGCAACAATTTTCAAAACCCTATTTTTATCTAAATCCGCTATTTTACAAGCCATTTTGTAAAATTCCGGTTTTTGAAGGTTGCATACGAGCCAATTTGCCGCAATTTCTCCATACAAAATGACCGAAAGCACCCCTAATTAGGTACAGAGGCCGCTCCCTGATTTGGTTCGTTTAAATAAAAACATGATTTTGAAAATAGTTGCAAGTTCATCGGTTCAAGGGCTTTCGAATGCTCTAACTATCCTTCCGATCCGAACCTTCTGCGCCGCGTTAGAGGGGGGTTTTTTTTATTGGGAAACCCTGTGGGAAGTGTACAAAACATATTTTTCCTTACTAGATTAAGCAGAGCGAACACAGAAAAACTCCTGAGTTACTGATTTCTTGTCCCGTTTCAGGTCGTGATTCCGCTCATTTCTATGGGTGCTCCATACCTGGCCGCATTTTTGGTGACAACTTTCAATTTTATATTACCTCAAGGTATTTTGATTTAATAAATACCGTTAATAAAACCTAGTTATGTTAGTCTTTTTTCTCTAAACCTTTAATAGTCGGAAATATTACCGTTTCAGCCCTCAACAATTTCCTCGTTGGCTTCCACTCGACTCATACCACCATGGCTTCTGTTGCCCTATTTTTCCTAACACCGTCATATAGGGAATATCTGTTCGATGTGGTGACTGGAAAACGTAAGCTCTCATTGTCAATTTTAATTTTATTTTAATTTTAGGAAGACGTCGCACCAGCAGCAGCTTCCGATTGCCCATCGTCTACAAAACAAGGACGATAAATCATTTTTAATGCCAAACAAGCTTGTAAAAATTGTACAGATTAGCAAAGGTACAGAACACACTTTGTTTTGAATAAAAGGAAAGAATCTAAAAGAAACGTCGAGTAAGGAAACTCAAGTAAAGAACCCTCGATAAGAGCAGCAGAACACATCGATAAATCTTTGACTAATCGTAAAGTGTTTTCACACGGGATGGAATTCCATTCGGGACTAAGCCTATCTTGTGCGGAATTTTTCGCTGACTCCCAATCTGTTTTCTAAATCTGCTGAAGAGCCCGCTTTAAAACGTTACAGCTACAGGGTGTCCCAAAAAAAAAAACGAACCATCTGGCATTTCGCCGTGTTACATCCAATCGGTCCCAAAATTGGACCAGAGGTGTATCAGACCCTAAATACCAACAATCATGACTTATAGCCCTGTGGCTATAGTAGTTCTCGAGTTATAGCAAAAACAAACATTATTTTCCATTTTTCATAGGGTTTTCGTGGAATTAGACCCCCTAAACATTAAGCGAAAATGATCCAGTAGGGCTTCTTTACCTTAAGAAATTTTTTCCAGAGTAAAATTAATTAAATAAGCTTCGATTTAAGCGATTTTTACAACGCAAAATTACCCAAGATCTTGAGCGAAATTAGGGATTCGCAGCCGGAAGTCGATGCAAATCGACGCAAAGTCCAAAAGATAGCCAATAAAACTGTTCAGAATTCTGGAAAGAACAGTATTTTCGTTATAACTCTAGAACAACGGTAGCTACGGGGCTGTAAGTCAGGATTGTTGTTATTTAGGATCTGATACACCTCTGGACCAAATTTGGGACCGATTGGATGTAACACGGCAAAATGCCAGATGGTTCGTTTTTTTGGGACACCCTGTATTTTTCTTACAAAACGGCCCAAAAGAGTCGATTTTAAATCCCTCTAAAAAGCTTGTAGAGTACTTTCTGGATCAACACAGACCATATCCTGGGTTAAAAAAACTAAAACCTTCCGGCGAAGTGAAATCTACGTTGTACGAAACATTCCACTTCGCGAAAAGTTCGACACTGTGGAAATTTCCCTAGAGAATTTCTCTAATTTCTAGTGTTATAATGTTTTTCAGCAATCAAAAACTGCTCGAGAACACTACAAAACAGGTGCGCAAGCAAATAAAAAGTAGGTTTTTCCACACCCCACAAATTCGTTCATGGTGTTGTGCATTAAGGTCCAGGGGTTTAAAATTCATTTATTTCCGCAACAATTTAATTTATTTTAATGTCCAGAACCATAGGGTATCGGCACTGGGTAGGGTTCGGCGGTAGGAACGGGTTCAGGGAAGCTAGGAGTCGAGCTCTGGGCCGGGGGCTGGTCCGGCGCGTGGAATGAACGGTAGAGGCGTTTGGCTAGCTCCTGGTAACATGCAGCCTCCTCCTCGCTAGGGGAGAATCTCGAGCGGAGTGAAAGCTGAAATTAACGCTAAATAAGGAAAGTAGGGCACAGGCCTACTTCAATGATAACTCCCTGGGCAGCGATTCTGATAGTTTGAGCTGGATTGGGGCAGCTGCGAGAGGCGATTTTGATGTAGTTCCGGTACAGAATATCTCGATCTCTAAATATTAGCAGTTTTTCTTCTGCTAGACGAAATGCGACCTGCAGCGGAAGTTCTGGGCATCCTGTTCGAAAAGGGCGTTGAGAGGGGCTCCACCAGCTATGAAGCATTTGGTAATATTGGCATCTGAAACAAAGATATTGGACGAACTGGATTATTGCATACACTCGGGCTTTGCTTCCTGACTATTGCAGAAATTCCTTTGCAGAGCGAGCACAACTTCGAGCGGGACAACCGACCAGCTACAAAAGATTAAATAGATACCACTTTGGAAAGCACGAACTTGCAGATTTCAGCGGCGTGTAGGAAGGCAAAATCATGCTAAAAAGAATTAAAAAGAATTGATTAAAAGAATAAAAATTAAATTGATTAAAAAGATTCATTAAAAATCTGGACAAGCTTACGGAAAAAGTAACGTTCGCCTTTTCCGGCTGTTCGGACGGCTCAGTAGCGATGGAAGCTGAAAAGGTTTGCATAGAAGCTTTTTAAATCTACACCAAAAAAATTATATAAAAACATGGGTTTAACTTTAATGCCTACCGGAGCTAACTATGCCCAGAAGAAGCACTAGGGCGACGAAGGACTTCATTTCCGGGCTGGAGATTTTAGGCCAGGAATGGCTAGGTGGGTACCTCTCGAGGCGCGCGTCTTTATTTATACATCGCGACTGCTTTGAACTTCAATAGTTTATAACTTCAATAGTTCGCAACTTTAATCACCTTTTGGCCACAATTATTTGGTTCTATAGAAAATCTTAGCCTCATGTATAGTGAAAATCGCAGCCTATTTATTAGATACTAGCTGAAAAGAAACGAGTCAGAGGCTTTCAATAGCTGATTTTTGGATTCGAATTTTCAAAGAAATCAAGCATCCTTCGGCGCCACGGCCATATTCAATTACTCTCTCCTTCTTTCGCTGCTCTCCGCCCCCCTATCTTCTATCTCTCACTGGCTCACTCACTCACTCACTCACTCTCTCTCTCACTCTCTCTTCTCTCTCGCTCACTCTCTTTCTCTCTCTCTCTTTCTCTCTCTCTCTCTCTCTCTCTCTCTCTCTCTCTCTCTCTCTCGGCATACCAAATCGCAATATCACAAAAATTACTGAACGCAATAATACCAAAATTATTGATGCAACCAGCGCCCAAAACCCGCTTCGCGGGCCTTGGGCGCTGGAATGCGGCCTTTGCATGAGAAATTTGACTTTCCGATAGCTTGGGTGCTTCGGACTTCTCTCTTCATCCGACCACACCCGGGCGTGCAACTTGCAAGAATGAGGAAATTTGTATTTTTTGGAATTATGCAAAGTAGCCCTCCCTGGCGCCGGACACACACAAATTTACGCGACCAAATTATATAAGGTAGGATGCAATGCAGCGTACCATAATTTTGTCACATTTATTAAAACGTATTAAATTAAATCAAACCAGGGTTGAAAAGCCGCTTCGCGACTTTTCAACCCTGGCCCCGTCTGAGCCCATGAAATTCTTCACTTTGCATAATACACCCGAACTGCGATTAAAAATAATGAAAAACGCTCCCTTCTCCCCGTTATATTGGCTCCCGCAAGTTCCGGTGTATGCTAATTTTTTCCTAACAAAGAGGGTGACGGAGTTTTTAAGAAAAACTTCTTTTAATGTCGAAAACAATCGATTTTGAAAAATCTGATATGCGTGCAGTCATCTATAGACCATTACGCGTCTAATGAAGTATCAAACACCTCCTTACACCCCTCCCCTCGTGAGATACCCTCCGGACACGCTGACGGAAGTTGCATGCAAAGTGGCACACACACACACACACAGACACTATTTTTTTATATATAGTAGGATAACTACGGACCAAAGTAAAATACATCACGGAAGAATCAGGGTGTTGGGAGTACTAAAAAATTTACCATGCTGACGCATTACGGCGTGTGAAGAGATCGCGCAAAGAGCAATATAGCTGGCAAGGATGGCTACGGCGTGCTCATACCTACGTACTTGCGTACCGACACACAATTCGTTAAGGCACATAGTATACAAAATCTATTAAGATTCCTAAGGCACTACGGCATGTAAAGGTGTCGCTTAAGAAGCTGTAGCTTCAAAACAGTACGGAAAAGCTAACAATTCCTGTACTACATACGTGACAACATCCAGTACAAGTTTGCCTAGCTACAGGCAAACCGAGATCAAGCCCACCAGGGTGCATTGGACAGTTTTGTGCTCACTGTTTTCACAGCTGGAACCAAAAACGCGTGGGTTGAGCTCTTCCAAAAAAGCCGGGCACACCGGTTCTCTCGTCATCCCGGTGTAGAACATGCAGAATCCCGAAAAAGCCGACTCGCAAAATTAACCGCCCCCCTCATCATCGCCTCATACTACGCGACGACATGATGCTAAACGTAGACTGGTCGAGGCTGTTGTTTATTCAGGCTTCGGCTACTACAGGACCACCGGGGTTTTGTAAGGTATAAATTGGCAGTTGGCCCTGTATTCGATACCTCCATTCGAACCCGCCCCACTCGAATCACCAAGCATTTCCTAGAAAAATGCTGAAGCTCGTCGTCGTCTCGGTCTGCCGTAGGTTTTTGACATTTAGAAAACTCTCCTATTTCCTACCGTAATCGGTTTAAAATGGTGTAAAATAGCAAAAATTACTTTTTTTATTATAAGTATGAAACTTGACCCAATTACGCGTTCCAATTGCTTAAATTACATTGTTAGACTGTTTTTACCTGCTTTTAATAGATTGTAAAAACTAAAAATATCCAAAATGGTGTTTTTCGTACCTGTTTTGGTACCGGATTCGAAATCCTTACGCAATTTCTATTTATTTATTAGAAAAACTATGCAAAATTTCATTTTTAGTAGCATTTCCCATTTTTAATTGACTTGAAATATCGACAACGCTCAAAAACCGTCTTATCCGGCAGCGTCTACAAAGCTTCACATAACTGCAGTATTTCTAAAATAGCCCATTATTTCTAAAACCTTTCGTAACCTTATTTTTAGTCCTCCTCACCGCCCAGGCGTGCGTCGACAATTCGTCGAAGTAAGTGAAAATTCTTCGCGATTTTTAAGCCTATCAAGCCTGCGAAATTCTAACAGTCGACGCTTTGCAGCTGCTACAACTGGGTGCTGAACGGTTTCTGCTCGAGCAGCTTCTACACCACCGCCTACAAGACCACCTACTGCCCGGCCAGCTGTACGTCTACAGTACACCCTCGGAATTTTAAGTTTTTTAGGCGGACTCTGCGCGTATGTCTCGACGACTGCTTCATCTGGTTGCGTCGACACCAATGCCAAGTAGGATTTGAAGCTGTAAAAAAGTTAAGGGCGAAGATGTAAATTTTAACCTTGAAACTTCAACTAAAAATTTAAAGATTTCATCTTGTTCTTTTTTTTTAGCTGCAAAAGCTGGGCCTCCCAATGGCTTCTGTTCAAGCGCGCTCTACACACCAGCCCAGGTAATTAGCATACCGTGGACCTCAAATGATTCCTTTTAGAAAGCTGCCTACTGCGCTGGGACCTGTAGCACGTGCACCGCGTCGACCACTGGTAAGAATTCACCGAAAATCATTAAAAATGCTTTTTCAGCTTCTTCCGGATAACTTTGGGGCATCTCTTCTGTCGTTTTCGAACTCTTCCCGCGAACTTTCAACTCAAGCACTTAACAATAGCTTCGTAAATTGGCCGAATAAAATTGCGAAAATTATTGGAACTATTAGGTTGGAACTAAAGTTCGCGCAATATTTTTCTTTCTTTATAATTTTCGGACCGGAAAACGGGCAAGAACCAAAATGTTTTTTGGATGACCGGATGTGCAATAAAATTCTCTATTCGATGTGTGGGACGGAATCGCGTTGCTTCCCTATTAGAATTTTTTAAAGCTAGATTTAAGCGAAAATGAAAAATCGCTTCGGCCCGCCTTTACAAAAGAAAATTGGCTCCCTTTTTAGGCTAATTCGGCACGCAGCCGGTAGATACAACTTATTATTATATTGATGATCAATTCCTATGGTGACTTTATGGCGGTTCGGAATGATGTCCGGGTCAAACATTTGAAGTGCCCTCGAGAGAAACGCAAAAATCTTAAAAACTACTGGCGCTAAAAACCTGTAATTTTGATCCCACATACTCATGAACCCAATAGATATATGCAATGAAAGAATATCGGAATTTGGCCACTAAATTTTCAGAAAGAAATTTCCAATGTTCGATTGCGCGAACTTATGTTCCAACCTAATAAAAACACAAAACTGACACGACATTACCTACTGACTTAACGGCGTCGAGGAACAAAAATGCCGACAGCTAAATACCGATCATCGCAAGTCTCGATAGCCAAATTAGTCTACCGCCCGATGAATACGCACAACTCGTCGTGGAACAATGGCTGCAGGGCGATCGTGAAATACGCTCGATCGCTTGTGGCTCGGAAGCTGAACCGGCTGGAGGCGTCCACCTTGATTTCTTCGAAAGGCACGACAAGCTGGAAATGCCGGAGTATAGAAGGACGTTCTACCGCATGCGAAATGGAGAGGTGCTTCTAGCAGACTATCATAACCTCGCGTGGTACCGTCGAATCGAAATCTATATCCCCGAGTCAATGCCATTTAAGTGCGATTATGTCACGAATCGGATCAGGGATTTTGCGCGAATCTTAAATGAATAAAGTTTTTGATCAGATGCTATCCCACTCTCAATATTACGTAAATTCTACCACAGAATTCCATAAAATCTGGTGCGTTACTTGACATCTCTCTCTCCCTCACTCTCGGCACACTTTTTAAGGGTCACTTACTCGCAAATCGTCATGTTCCCCTTGGCGGAACACCCCTACATTGTATTTACAAAGAATCCTCATAAAACATCTTCGCGGCGAATAGATACCCCAATAACGGCCAATCATGCGCGGATTTTTGGACGCAGCAGGTCATGTAAGTTAGCCGCAGGGCAGGCAGATACATTCGATGCTATGCACCCGGGTTTTGTCCAGCAGTCTCTCTCTTTTCTCTCTTCTCTCTCTCTCTCTCTCTCTCTCTCTCTCTCAGCCATTTGCCTTCCTGTTGCTAATTTTGCCTTTTTTGCCTTTTTTCCGTTCAAATCCCCCATTTTTCAGACCATGGACTTCTCCGCGTTTCCCCTTATTATCCAGCACCAAATCCTCCGCAACATGGACATTACCGACTTCTTCAAGGCGGCCATCACGAGCAAGAAGATGTGGCAAGTGGCCAAGGACTGTCGTGACAAGCGATGGGATGTCAACCTCTGCTATCGCCGCGCACGTACATTTTATACTTTATCTCGCGACCCGTACCGGGGAGACCAATTCCACCTCGATAATCTGGACACGTTCAGGTGTCTCTTTCATAATGCTACCCTTAAGCAACTCACTCTTTTGTGCGACATCCCCGTGGACATCGATGTCCGGTGCGATAAGTTGCACGTTGAGTGCGACAGCATCACGCGAGCTCTTCTAACCCGCTTTAAACCGACCGGAAAGTACGAGAAGGTGTCGTTTTTCAATTCTGCAGATCCAAGCCTGCCTGCCTTGGTGGACTGGCTGAATGAATCGGTGAATTTCGTGCAAATTTGGGTACCTCTCGATCGACCGGAATATCTACGGCTCAAGGTGCCAAATATCTCGATAAGTGTGGACCGCTTCCGCGGTGTATCTGCTCCAGCATACGCGCAGGTTCGTTTTTAGGTTTAGATTTTGGAATGTAAACATAGGTAGGGGTTTATAACGTTAAAATTTCGTCCTCACGGAATTCAGGATGTCGACATTTTATAATAGCGTAAGTCCTATTATCGAAAATCAAGATTAGCATAGTTTGATAATATCGAAATTCGGAATGTCGGCACTGATAACATCAAAATTTCGAACATAGAACTTCAGACGACATTCATAATGTCGAAATTGCAAAATGTCGAAGTTTATAACATTGAAAATCAGGATCAGCATAATTCATTCAAAGTTCATGATGTCGATATTTATAACATTCAAGTTCAAAATGCCGAAATTTCATAACATCGAAATTGAGACGGCATTCATAGTGCCGAAGTTCACAATGGCAAATTGATAATGTGGAAATTCAGCGTATCGAAACGGCAAAATCTCGTAATGTCAACATACAACATAGCAAGTTTGGTCCGATATTTTGGTTTTTTTGGTACTATTAATTGATTATGGCAGAAATTCGACATTTTGAAATCGGGGATTGGGCACTTTCGGCACTATGAGTTTCGAATAGTTTCCAAGTTTTCCACAGTGGATGATGACAGTCCGATAAAAAAATGCATTCAGATGATTGTGGAAGAATGGCTACGAGGCGAGCGCCCAGTCCATCGGATTGGCGTTGATTCTCGAAAAGCTCAGGCTGCAGGTGCCCAACTTGCATTTTTCCAACAATATCCGACACTCGACGTGCCGAGGATAAAGCGGAGCTTCTACCGGATCAAGCGCAATGATGGACAAGTTCTCATCTTATCGCGGAATGGCTTCCACTGGGAGCGAATCGAAATCACAACACCTGATCTGACACACCTCGAAAGTGATGTCAATGGAATAATTAGAAAATTTATTCAAGCAGGTCAATGAATAAAGGGTTTTTGCCTGGAAAGCCGATGCTGACTAAATTTAAGAACAAAAATAACCAAAAATTGCGCTAGTCTACATTTCTCTCTATCTTTCTTTCTGTCTCTATCTCTCTCACTCTCTCACCATCTCTCTCTTTCTCTCTCTCTCTAACTTTTTCTCCACCTCCTCCTCTCTCTCTCACGCTCTCTCGCTCCCAATATCTCTCTCGCTCTCTCTCGTTCTCTCTATCTCCCTCTCTCTCTTTCTCTCTCTAACTTTCTCTCTGCCTCTCTCTCTCTACCCCTCTCGCTGTCACCCCTCTCACGCGCTCGGTATATCTCTCGCTCTCTCTCTCTCTCTCTCTCTCTCTCTCTCTCTCTCTCTCTTTCGGATTCTTGCTTATTTGATCTATGCCTTGAATGTGGTGTGGAACATTAATCCCGAAAGATTTCTCTGAAACCCCGGCAACAGAATGGCGCGGGAGAACACTTTGCACCTGCCGCATGCAGGTAAGAAGTTTCCGCTACACCGGAGCTTCACATCTTTCGCATCACCTTTCCTACTCACGCGCTATGAACACCTACGAGGAGCCCTACATTTTCAAGGTGTATTCCACTGGAATGCTCATCATTGGGGTACCTATTAACTTCACCTTATTGACGCTGATCATCACCCAATCGGCGGAGAAGGCGAATGTTTACAGGTGGCATTTGGCGTGGTATCAGGTAGGGCTTTTTTAGGACGTAAGAGTGAGAGAGAGCGAGAAAGTGAAAATGAGCCTGTGAAAGAGGGAAAACGAGAGAGAGAGAGAGAGAGTGAGAGGGAGAGAGAGCGAGAGAGAGGTAATTTGCCATAAATTCCTGTCCATTTTCTTAACGACCGATCGCCGCTGCCTAATTTGCCGCGACCGCAACACGCAACGCGCACCCTGTCCAGCCTAGCTGGCGAGACCTAACAACGGAACCGCCGATCTCAACGCTTCCCAGTCCCTTTAAAAAGCCAGCCTTTAATTGTCCTTTCTTTTTCTAGGTGTGGGCCATCGTCATGGAGCTGCTATTCCAGACGGCGCTGCCTGAATATTTCGTCCCTACATTGGCTGGCCGAGTCCATGGGTTTTTATATCGCATACTCTCAGCTAAAGCTATATTTGTTAGTTTACGGGATTTAAAAGCAAGTCATAACCCAAATCTAGGCTCTTGGTGGTGTCGCCGTAATTTCGATGCTGCTAGCCACCGTTCAATGCTTTTTATATCGGCATTGGCTACTTCTGGATGCAAACCATCGATTGAAGTAAATAAATTTGTAATGCATTTCATGTATTTGATTTAAGGTTCTCTTCAAGGACGACGTTTTGGATAGCAGCGACTCACTATATTTTGCTGAACGCTTCGATATTGTGCGGTATTTGCACACTACCGCTTGATTGTTATCCGGGATCACCGTTATTGAGGAATATTGTTACGGTATGCTTATGGTCTTTATGTCGCTTCTTTCTTGCTTTCTCTATCTTTCTCTCTTTCTCTCGCTCTCTCTCCCGCGCTCTCTCTCCCACTCTCCCACCCTATCTCGTGCGCTCTCTTTCTCATTCTCTTTCTATCGTATTCGCTTCCCTGCTTGCTCTTTTTCTCTCTTTCTCTCTCTCCCTCTCCCTCTTTTCTACTCCACTTTTCAGTTGTCCCCAAACTTCACCTTCCTCCTCGAACTTCCGGACGTTTGCGCATCCGGCATCACCCCGATATGGCCGCCCTATATTGGATTTTCGGGAATTGTCTTGATCTTGGCAGTCATTGCATGTTTCATCGGATACCTAGCGCCTATGGTAATTTTTTGGAAGCTATAGACTTTTTACCTTTTAGTCAATAATCGGGACCTGGCATGCTCTAACCATCCTTGGAAATAGTAACAACTACATGAGCGAGAAGACGCGGATGATGCATCGGCGATACTTTCGAGTGTTATTTGTTGGGGTAAGACTGGGTTATAATTAAAGGTATGGGGAAAGCCATGCCTATGCGTGTGGGCCGAAAGTTCTGTTTAAAGTATACTTTCAATACTTTAGATGTCAATCCCGGTGCTATCACTCGGTTGTCCTTACATGGTCCTTGAATATACCATGTACTTTAACGTTTTGCTACCTCAAGGTTGGGCTTTTCTTGGATCAGTTTTACCTTTAAAGCAAGCTCTCATCAATTTTCTTGTCGGCTTCCACTCGATTCATACCACGATGGCCTCCATTGCCATTTTCTCGTTAACCCCATCATATAGGAATTACGTTTTGGGATTCTTCCGGCCAAGAAGGTAGATTAATTTTGGAGATCTGAAGAATTCGCGCATTTAGACGTTATCTCTCACCCCATATCACAAAGGTCAAGCCCGATGGGAGGTCCACTATAAGGAGAATGGAGCTGGAGTGACATTTGATAAAGCATGTCGAGACTTTTGATATTCAAGGGGAATCTACCCTGATTGTTGATTGGGCCTTGACAGAAATGCGCGGGCGCTGTTGCATGCAATCCAAACTTTCGCTCTCTAGCTCGCTCCCTCTCTTTCTCTCTCTTTTTCTCTCTCTCTCTCTCTCTCTCTCTCTCTCTCTCTCTCTCTTTCACACTCTCTATTTCTCTCCCCCACAACACAACTTCCCGATCTGGCGCCCCCCCGCCAGCGTACCCCCGGAAGTAGTAGATTAGAACTGATCCAAAATATACATGACACAGTATGCTCGACATCGACACCGCTTTTTTAGTAAACTTGTACCTAGAAAGTAAACAAATCGAAATCCGAGATTTTAAAAATTGCGATGACGATCCCGGCCGCCTCCCTCGGTGCTCCCTATATAACGTTAGAATATATCCTGTATTTTGACGTGATTTTCCCTCAAGGTGATTAGCATAAAAAAAATTATAGTTTTTAAGGTGTTATAAATTTCTTTATGGGCTTCCACGCGGCTCACACGACACTCGCAACTGTTGATATTTTTTTTACTAACTCCCTCGTATCGAAATTTTATTTTTGCATTTTTTAATGGCAGAAGGTATGAAAGTTTTTTATAACAATGTCGAATTTAGGCGCTATATTTCACCGTCGTTGACGCGCGTTTGGCCGGAGATAAAATCTATTTTTCGGCCAGAAATTATGTATTATTAACTTAAAAATTCAAAGAATTGTTGATTTTTATTGTTTTTACCCATAGAATTTTTGAACGTTTTTGTAAAGTTTAAATAGTTTGTTAGTAAAAATTTTACAATTAAGTCATCTTCTAGTCACAATTTTCAGACCAAAATCATATTTTCATTCTGACGACGAAACTGTCCAAGAAATGAAGTCACCCTTTCACCTGTAACGCCGAAAAAACAGAGCAGGATATGTCTTTTACAACTTTTTACAAGCCTTTATTACCTTGGCAGATAAAAGTAAAAAAAAGAAAAAAGCTTTTAAAAAACCTCTAATTTCAACAATTCCTCAACGGTTTGACGACGTCGGATCAGGCGTGGCGCATCGTTTTCGACGAGTACTTCCGCAGCTAGGGGTCTTGTGTTGTAATTTGACGACATCGAGGCACCGTAGGCACCGGTGGTGTGCACTATCAAGAGATCGCCAACCTGAAGAATTCTCCAATTCATTATTCATTTTTGGATCTGTGCTCGGGTGCCTAGCTCGTTATAAAAATAGCTGACACCTGAAACGACACAAGCACCATTCCATTCCGCTGCCAAAAACACTTGTCATCTCATAAAAAATAGCAGAGACGATGCGGTGCAAAAAAAGCAGAAGTGATAGTCAAAACCATAGAGTCCATTGCTCTGTCATACATAATTTTCTGTTAAGTATTTATCAAACGATTAATGATTTTTATTTCCCCAATGAAATCAGCTGGAGATTGCGATTTTAAACGACCAGCTTAAAAACCGGGGGAGAAAATTAATCCTGCCGTCTACAGTAGCTCATTTTAATAGAGCACGAAAAATAGCCTACATTTTCTTTTTTAAATAATTTTTTGAGTCGAGTTTTGTCGACGAAAATTCGAATTTCGGGTCCGTTGGCAATACCCTTCGCCAATGGGGGCCTTGCCCTGCCACCTCTCTTGAGCCCCTCCCCGCGGCTCCTCTCCCGTGTCCTCGGTAGTATAGTGGTGAGTATCCGCGTCTGTCACATGCGAGACCCGGGTTCAATTCCCGGCCGGGGAGAAACTTTTTGCTTTTTGGCACATTGACGTTTTTGCGTTTACCTTTGCTTCTGGAAGGCTTCTCGTCGTCACCACTCCGCCCTCTTCCTGCGTATAGACATCCCCGGACTCACATAACGGGCCGGCGATGGCGTACTGAAATTCGAGGTAGTATAAATTTGTGCAGAAGCTATTTTACCTCAATCATTTCTCCATTCTGATCCGCATTCAGAATCGAGATTTCGTGGTAGCTTCCGTATAGCGCTGGGCGCATCAGATCACTGAAGCCGGCGTCAATTAACAGGAAATCATAGCTGCCCGGACGTCTTTGAATTGCCTAAATGCCGGATTAGTTTTTTTTAAAGGGGCAGGCAAGGCTTACCATAGATTCTATTTACTATGAATTTACCATGACATTTGCCCTACCTGTCCCTTTAATTAAATAACAAAAAGCTTCTTACCTGAACCCTCGCAATCAGCATTCCCGATTCAGCCATCAAAAATCGACCAGGTTCAATTTCCAGGCGAATTTTCCTGTTCAGAATTCCTTCAATGTGCTTTCTGGCCTCATCCCAGATAGAGAAATAGTTATCAACATTGATGGTGGCATCTCCGGCTTTATACGGAACCGTCAGCCCCCCCCTCCAGCCGAAATGGCCTCCAAATCAGCGAGTTGGGCAAGGTCGGCGGACTTTATCAGCTCGGTCATTGCGTTGCAGACCTAAAAAGACACTTAAAGGGCACGTTCAGGGACGTTTTTTGGAAAAAAGCAAAGAGCTTTGCCGCGGCCGGGGGTCGAACCCGGGCCCCCCGCTCGGGAGGCGCGGATGGGTACCAGTCAGCCACAGCTACAACCTGGCGAGGGGCCGAGGGGTGCCTCACCCCGCAAAGGAGGGGGAATGGCCTGTCACAGCACGGGCAGTCAGTGCGCGCGGTCCCTACGTCCATAGGGTGTACACGTTGGGACGAGTACACGGCCCCTCCCTGAACGTGCGCTTTAAAGGTTAGGTAAACGCTAGAATCGACTCCTCCTTAAACTACAGGGTGTCTCAGGATTATCCGGACAAACTTTCAATGCCATTTCTTCCTATTTTTATCCTATTTTATGCGCACACCGTGTAGCTCCTATCAATCTTGGAGGTAGTTTTGAGGCGCTGGCAAAGAAAATTGCCCGAGGTTCCAACATATAGTTTCGCAAAAAAATCGAAGAAGTTTGAACCTAATTTCTCCCATCTGGCAAACGCTCAAAACGCATGCTGTTTCCGACGCTATAAAAAGCTTCAGTATAACCGGAATAACGAAGAAACCACAGGAAGAGGTCGGTAATGATAAGTCCATGCTACGCACGGCCCAAAAATGCTAAGTTGACCCTAGGAAAAAATCAGCAAGCAAAAAAGATGAATTAATGGCACGCGCCGCCGTATTTACCCGGACAGATTTGGCCCGGAGGAACCCTAAAAAACCCGATAGGTTACTTTTCAAATAATACAAAGATAAATATCTACAGTAGCAAGATGTACAAGCAATTTAGAGAAAGTTAACTTTAATTTGTGAGGAGCTTGAGCACGAGCAACCTTCGAAAAACCCTTATCAGCAATGCAAAGGAAATCGATATTAAATTCGAAAATAATCATTGACACGATCAAACCTTTGCGCAAACAGGTCCGTTTTGCCAGAAAACATCATCTCTTGCCTAAAAAAATGTCGGAACACTTTTTGAATCTTTGCTCCAAGTTTGGCGGTATTGAAGAGGTGCAAAATATTACTGCGTTCTTGGCTTGATTCTGAAGCCATTAATGCGCCTTCAAATAATTTTTTTTTGCTCAGGACATTGAAAACGCCTCAAAAACTCATATGAAATACCTTAGGTTGGCAGAAAACAGCGGTAAATTCGAAAAATTGACTTTTTCGTTTTGTCCGGATAATCCTGAGACACCCTGTAGGTCTCGACAACTCGAAGTTGAGCCGTAAAGCGTAGTTCCATACTTATATATTATTGGATGTTGGATACGCATAACACGTAGCTGTCGAGACCTAGTCGAAGCTAAAGGTATATTCTCGCACTTTACCGCCCCTTTAAATAGACTATAAGTCCAGATTTTACCAATTGTCGACTTCCTCACCTCTTTCAAGTGCGAATAGTCGACCCCAGAGCCGATGTGCATATGGATTCCAACGAGTTTTAGCCCGAATTCCGCGGCGATATTCAGAACTTCCGGAAAATCCGTGACCCAAATGCCGTGCTTGCTCTGCGGGCCGCCAGTGTTGGTTTTTTGGCTGTGTCCATGGCCAAAACCTGTAAAAACTGATCATAATTCTTAGCGTAGAACTTAATTTATAACTTAACGCAACAATTACAATGAATACAAAAATTAATTCGCGTTTTTAAATGTTTTTTTCCGATGCCTACTTACCCGGATTAATGCGAACCCAGACGCGATTTCCGGGTGAATTCTGCCCGATTCGGCGCAGCATGTCAAGAGAACCTAAAGATTTAAGGTATACAAATGGTGACAAAATAGTGTACCCGCATTAATGGTAGCTTCATGGTCCTTCAAAAATTTCAAGGTATCCAAATCTACGAGATCTGCCGTGTAGACGACTTCTTCAGCTTGGCCGGGCTTTGCTAAAATGTGATATTCTAAGGCTTGAAAATTTTCATTTCACGGGCTTACAAATTTGGCTTGGACTCAGCTTCATTTCAGGCTTGGCTTAGGCTTAGCTTAGGCTTATCGGCTTAAACGTCGACTTAAAAAAAGCATGCTTACTTTTTGGCTCGTAGCCAACCTTGAGCGACCTCTTAAATTCCCCAAACGACACGGCATCCACAAAGACTCCAGCATTCTTCATCAACTTCAAAATGTTCAAGTTTGATGAGGCTTTCTGCGCGAATCTGATGACGTCAAACCGCTTCAGCTGCGCAATCTTTTCCCGGATTTTCTCGGCTGAATAAATCCAAGTGGGTGTGCCATGGTTTTCAGCGATTTCTTCCAATAGTTTAGGGTTAAATTCGTGGGCCATCGCGCTGAGAATACGAGACAAATCCGTCAAAAAGGTGAATGTTCCTTATCAAACCCGGGGAAACACATAAATGCCCAGGTTCGGAATGGCAGGCGGCCGGCTTTGATGCGTGAGTATTTGGTTTTGGGGCTAAAAATCGGGATAAAAGATTATCAGAGTATCGTAGGTAAACTTTAAAACGCATTAATGACTATTAAGGGTAGAAAAATTTCTACAGACAACCAAAGCGTTATTGTCGGCATTAATGAATCAAAAATCAGGAAAACATTCGGCGCAAACCTGGATTTTTTATAAAAAAACCGGTGTGTTTTTCCATTATTATTTAGCTATCATTGAGCCCAATAACTTTACAAATTTTTACTAAAAAAATGATTATTTAAGGTAAAATAATTCTATTTTTTCCGAGCAAAATTGAGCAAATTTCGAAATTTTCAAACTCGTTGCTAACTTTTTAAAAACTTTTTGAAAGGTTTTGGACTTCAAACGTAACTTAAAATTGACTAAAAACAATTACTAAAAACAATAATTTCATCTTTAATTTATCTTCATTTTCCAGAATACGAGACCGTCGCTTTTGAAAAATTATGGAATTCATGTGGAAATACTTAAATTTCGGCATACGATTTTCAGGACTATACTCTTTCCACATAGAACGATACTCGTTCAGCAGTGATCCTGTGATAAGAAACCGTGGCCGACTCGATATTCGACGCGACAAAAAAGGCGGGGCCGGCATTGGGGGTGGATCCAGGGTGGGTTTGATTGATGACACCATCAATTTCCCCGTTATAAAGCGGGTTCGGTCGAACCCGCACTCTCATTTTCTCTCACACGTGGCTCGTCACGGCCCGGGAAACTGTCCGCACCCACGGTCTTTTAGGACTGAAAATTCCATATAAATTTTATCACATTTTAAATCAAGTTTCACTTAACTTCGAAAATTAATTCATCTTCCAATTTGATGCATGCAATAGGTTGCAGCCGTGTAAAATCGTGAAATAACGATTCCACCAACATTTTCCTAAAAAGACCATTTTTTTGTTGTTTCTTGGCTCTTTTAAACAAGATTTCGGTAAAATTTAAGTTTTTATGCCTTGATAAACTTTGCGCATTCTTGTTTTCCTAGGAATTTTCTTATCTTCATACGGTAACTTGGTAAAGCTGAATCTTGGTTTTCTCGTAATTCGAGAATTCGAGAAATATCACTGTTTCTCTGTCTACCTCTCATCTCGTTCTCTCTCTCCTTCTCTCTCTCTCTCTCTCTCTCTCTCTCTCTCTCTCTCTCTCTCTCTCTCTCTCTCTTTGTCTCTCCCGTTCGAAAAACCAGTATGCTCGAGAGATTGACGTTTAGAGAACCCAAGATTGTTTGTAGGTAATGAAAGTGGACATCGCTGCCCCGATCGTCGTCTATGAGGAGAATGGGAAAAGCTACAGGAAGTATGAGGAACAGCCAGCCGACCCGATTCAGGTATTTCCACATTTTTTTTGTTAAATTCACCCTAATTTTAGGCCCGCGTGAAAAGCCACTACCGTAACCAGCACCTCCACCAGACTGTCGATTTTGTCAGAGCAATGGTAAAAAAATTTTTAAATAATTTTGTTTTCTTTTAGAAAAAGAAATGGCTCACCTTCAGCCATGCCCAGATGCCGATTCTGGACTGCTTGGACTTGTTGGCCGGGTTTTTGGATGAGAGCGATCCAGATGTAAGTGTAAAACCGGTAATTCTGCCTTCTACCCATGAGAATTTTGAGCAATACCGAGTGGTCTTGATTTCGCTAAATTTTCAGTGTCATCAATTTCAATAAATTTCCCTCATTTTCAGGTAGATGAAGCTAACCTTTACCACGCGTACCAAACGGCAGAAAAACTACGCGAAAATCACCCAGATAAGCCGTGGATGCACCTGGCCGGTCTCGTCCACGACTTGGGCAAGGTCAGCGGCTTTTCTTCTTTTAGTGATGATTCAAAAAGTTCGAAATTCGGCTTATCTACCCTACCGTTTAGATCATGAGCGTGTGGGGGGAGGAGCAGTGGGCCGTGACGGGGGATACCTACCCGGTTGGATGCCGTCCGGACCCTTCTATCGTCTACGGTGCCGAGAGCTTTGCCGGAAATCCGGATCAGGAAAACGAGCAGTACACGTGAGTTAAAAAACTGTTTAAAATGGTTTTTGAGACCTTTAAAATCAATTGCTCTGGCTCTCTCTCTCTCTCTCTCGCTATCACAATTTTTCAGCACCGAACTCGGCATGTACGAGCGGGGATGTGGTTTTGAGAATCTGTTGATGTGCTGGACACACGACGAATATTTGTATCAGGTAAGGAGAGAGAGGGAGAGAGAGCGAGAGAGAGAGAGAGAGAGCGAGAGAAAGCGAGAGAAAGCGAAAAACATTAAATATACGATTATAGGTCCTGAAAAACCATGGCACCACGCTCCCTGAAGAAGCTCTTTATGCCATCCGATTCCACTCCTTCTACCCCGCACATTCCCATGGCGCCTACAAACAGTGGGTCACGGTGGCATACTGTAGTTTAGAAACCGAAAAATGCTTCTAACATTATACACAAAAAAATAACCAAAAATATACAAATTTTTCAGGTTCGAAAGTGAGCGCGATCGTCAACTTCACGATGCTATCATGGAGCTCAAGTAAGAAATTCACGAAACTGCTTCAAGTTCTCAATCTCATTTCCTGTAGTTTGTAGTTGTTGCTGTTTTCCTGGCGAAATTTTCTTCCAATTTCTCAACCTGTTCCAAATTTTGTTTATCGCACCGAGAATGTCCGGGAAAAACGGGGAGAGTTTCTCGGTAAAAGGCGAGAAATTAGTACAAAAAATCCGTGTTACACCAGCGTAAAGTGTACAGTGATGTACTATCGTATCTTTTGCAGCGCCTGCGACCTGTACTCGAAGAGCGATGAGCGGCCAAACGTCCAGGAGCTCAAGTCCTACTACCAGGGCCTCATCGACAAATATATCCCCGGAACGGTGAAGTGGTGAAGAGAGACTAAAAATTTGATAAAAAGCCGACGCTCAAATGCTTTTTGATAACTTATTCTAGCGGAAAAATACAGATTTTTAGAAAAATAAATTGTATACAAAAGTGGCATATGACAAAAATCTACATAAAATTAAGTGAGAACGTGGAAAAAACGACTGTATAGCGGGTATAGCCTGTAAATACATAGAAAATGGCGCTCAAATACTTTTTTTAACTTTTTATGTTGCAAAAATACAGCGTTTTTGAGAAAAAAAGTTGCAAGGAATAATAATTTGCATAAAACGACGTAAAAAACTTTGATATATCAAGTTTATTATCCGCTTTAAAGGGGTTCGGAACTGCCGGGATCGGCTCCTCGCCTAAAACGACTTCGCCTCGTGCCTGAGCGCACCAAATCTGGTTTGAAAATTCGAAACTGGCGAGATTGAGCCGATTTGAATTCCGATTTCTGGGGGCTTTTGAAGTGTCGCGTATCTGACGAGATCTAGGGTTTTCCAGGGGGTTGATGAGTCTCATAAAGCTGATAACTTTTATTGCGAAAATTCTATATTTCATCAATTTTCTCTCATAATCATGGCTTTCCTGGCAATGGCCTTGAACACAAAAATGTCGGCGACAAAAGACGAATGGGGCTGCAGCCCGGCCGATCAGCAAAACGACGAAATTCCGGATGTCAAAAAATACGTCGATAGCAACTTGTCTGTTTTATTGCAATAAGTTTATTTTTTTGTAGAATATAATCAATTTCCTCCTATAACTTCGGCCTTCCGGTCACTTTCCGGGCAACGAACTTAAACACAAAGATTTCGGCAATGAAAACGAAGGGGGCCGCAGCCCAGCCGATCAGCAAAACCACGAACAGTCCGATGCAGTCCATGACGCCTAAAATAGATTGCTTGGCATTTTTAATAAAGTTTTTAAATCGAAAGGTCAGCAAATTTGAATAGTTTAAAGCCCTTTAAACGCACTGAAATTTAGCGCCGTTTTGGCATTCCTATAATCCTTTATGGAACCCTTGTAGCTTTGGAAATCGCGGATTTCGACGATCTGGCGACTTTTTGGAAGTCAATTTCCATTTATAGTAATTTTCTAGCGCTTCACTTGTTTTTTCAAATTTACGATGTATCTAGAAGACGCAAAAACGCCTAGAAAATCACCCAAAACTTTAAAATCGCCAGTATTTCCTGAGGACTCGTGGCAATCGCTCCGCCGAGACAGCTTGAAGCCCGAGTCAAAGTATTTGTTGTAGGTGCGCAGGATGAAGGATTGTTGCATGATAATTTGCCTGAATTTTATAAGAAAATACATACAATTTCTTACTTATTAAATTTGGCCAGAAATTCGGAGCCACGCTGGAAGAGAAAATGGGCCGATTTTTGGGGAAGACCTGAAACAAGGGACAAAAAATTAAAGGTAGCAAAGAGTGCTTAAATTACCGTACGCTCATTTTAAAACCATTTAAAAATTCAATTGAAAGATCATAAAAAATGACAAAAGTCTTTTATCGTACCTTCGCTAATCGTCAGCAAATCGCATTTTTGGCTGACGTACAGTGCGGAATAGGCGTCGATTTGGTTAAACATTACGTATTTTCCTAAATTACGGTCGTGTACGTTACGATACCTTTATGATTCACAATCAACTATAATAATTTTCTTGACGCGTCCGTCTGTCTGTCCGTGTGAAGCCGAATTCAACTCGAAGGGGAAAGGAGCTAGAGCTTAGCTCTCTTCGGATTCGGATAGAGCGTGGTCAGAAACCCCCAAACTGATAAAAAAATTCTGAAAAAGTTTTAATTTAAATTATTAAAATTAACTTTGAAAGTGGCGCCTTAATAAAACGAGTGGGGCCCCTCTCCCGGGAGGCCACGCCCCCCTTTCCCTTCGCCCCTCTTCCCCAGGCCCCTTCCCGCGCCCAGATCGTTTTTTTAAGTTACTTTAATACTTTTTAATACTTTTTAATACTTTTTAATTATGTTAATTGTTGTGTCCTTGAAGTGGGTGAAGTGCTTGATGGAATGTAGTTGAAGTATCGAATAAACAAAAGATGTTTATTCGACAAGCAGCAGACGAGGATAAAATTCGGAGTGATAAAAAGGGCGATTTCCCGGGGAGAGCGGGGGCCTTACGACACGAAATGGGGGGCGCCGTGGCGGGACCACAGGCTACGATCACAAGGGCACGCGATAGGGGGAGGCGACTAGAGTCTAGCCTTTCGCTCCACAACACCTCCCTCCTTTTAGGGAAGATTGAAAGTCGGCACATGACCAGACTGGAGGTGTGTGAGGAATGAAAAACCGAATGTGGGTACAGCATAAAAGTATCGTGAAAAGATTACACAGAATTTACATAGCAACGCGAAAAGAAAAATGCTTCTTTCATTCGTTTAGCTTAATTCTTGCGTAGGCTGAACACGGGCACCATCACATCGGAGCACGCATCTTGCGCTGGGGCTCGGGCAACTTGTCGGCATTTGGCAACGGCAGTGGCGGCGATCCCTCCTTCTCTTCCTCGAAAGATCCTTGACACATTGACGACTTGTCGGGCTTGCGGAGCTGATTGATGTAGCGCGTCCGTAGCAGTCCATTTTCCAACTTGACAGTGTAGAGGAATTTGGAGTCCTTGTGTAGAATTCTTGCGGGCGTCCAGGTAGATTTATCCCTGCGCCATTCCTTAGCGTAAACGTGTTCACCTGGTGAGAAACAACGTTGTCTTGCTGGGCGGCGTCGGTGGGCAGTCCTCACGACCAGTGCGGCGGGGCTTGGGGCACGCAGCGAGCGCATTGGTGGCTTCATTTGTAGCTTGCGTCCCATGAATTCAAATGGCGGATTTTCATTCGACGGTTCGGGCTTGAGCAGTGCACGGAATGCATCCATTGCATCCGTATTCTTCAGCCAGTCGAGGCCGAGAAGGGTGTGGCCATCGATGACGTGTCCAACACCGATCATCTCCTTCTTGTCGATGACGTACTTGCTCTCGAATGTCCCATGAACCTTGATGTCCCGTCCATTTGCGGCCTTCATCTTGAGTGACGTTGGCTTGAGCGCGGGCTTGCCGATCTTGACCCAGTCCTTCTTGTCGAGGAGAGTTACGTCGGCGCCCGTGTCAACACGCATCTTCAGCGGGTGCCCGTCGATCGCCACATCATGGTATAAACGATCGATGTCGTGGTCCGAAAAATTTGAACCTACAAAAACGACATTTTCTTCCGCGGGCGGTTGAACTTGGACTGGGCATTCATTATCCCAGTGTGCACCTTCACAATGTCGACATGGCCTTGTACGCTTCTTGCGGCGGCTCATCGTAGATTGCGCGGTAGTCGGGCTTTTTGGAATTTGGGGCGGCCTTGTTGAAACGGCATGCACCTCCATTGGCAACTTGGTGTCCAGGTTGGCGTCCTTCTTTCTTGATACGAAGTGGCGAATGTGCGCGAAAACTTCGTCCAGCGTAGAGTCCGGCTTTTCCTCCATTTTGCGAAGGATCTGGCTTCGTGTCACTTCATGTTCAGCACCGGGCAGCGAGAGCAGTAGAGAAAGGGCCTTCTGTTCGTGCTCCTTGATCTCGCGCATCTTCGCCTTCTCGTATGCGAACTTCAGTTGGTCCACGTGCTTGGCCAGCTCTTCCACGTCACCGCCCTGGAATTTCAATTTAGAAAATTCATAGCGAAGGGCAAAAAGTTACTTGGATGGCACGAAGATCCTCAGCAAAGTGTCCACGATCTCGGCGTATTTCAGCTCGTGCGCGGCCTTCGGCAGGATAAACTTCGTGAATCGCTCGTAGGCGGTGTCCTCCAATTTCTCGATCAGCATCCGGCTTCGGTCCTCTTCGGAAAACTCGGCACCGTCCTTCACGAAAACTTCGCCATACCGGGCATACCATAGCTCGAACGTTGAGCGGTCCTCGTCAAAGCAAAATTTCGGCACTCGGGCCAGAATGGAGTCCCTCAGCGTTTGAAGACGAACCTTGTTTGCGGCTTCTCCATCGGCGGGCTCTTGCTTGACTTGACTCATCCACGCGGCCATTTGTTCGGTGATCAGCTTCATTTGCAGTTCGTGGGCCTGTTTGTCTTGCTCACGCTGCTCCCGGTGACGCTCCTCATCTTGGGCACGCTGCTCACGATGACGTTCTTCCATTGCGGTCAGAACGTTTTGCAGAACTTGTTCCATTTGGGCTTCTTCTTCCTTCAGTTTCGTAGACTTCGACCTTGTGACGGGGGCCAGCTTCTTGTTGGTGTCCCTTCTTGCGTAAGTGTCGAATCACCTGCTCGCCAATTGTTGTGTCCTTGAAGTGGGTGAAGTGCTTGATGGAATGTAGTTGAAGTATCGAATAAACAAAAGATGTTTATTCGACAAGCAGCAGACGAGGATAAAATTCGGAGTGATAAAAAGGGCGATTTCCCGGGGAGAGCGGGGGCCTTACGACACGAAATGGGGGGCGCCGTGGCGGGACCACAGGCTACGATCACAAGGGCACGCGATAGGGGGAGGCGACTAGAGTCTAGCCTTTCGCTCCACAACATTAATTAATTATTTAAATCATCTAAAGCCATCGGGAAGGTATTTAGGTAGTTTTTGAAGGGGATTTCAGCCATGGGGGGTATCTAAAGCCATCTGGGAGGTATCGAAGTAGTTTTTGAAGGGGATTTCAGCCATGGGGGGTGTCTAAAGCCATCTGGGAGGTATCGAAGTAGTTTTTGAGGGGGATTTCAGCCATGGGGGTATCTAAAGCCATCTGGGAGGTATCGAAGTAGTTTTTGAAGGGATTTCAGCCATGGGGGGGTATCTAAAGCCATCTGGGAGGTATCGAAGTAGTTTTTGAAGGGGATTTCAGCCATGGGGGGTATCTAAAGCCATCTGGGAGGTATCGAAGTAGTTTTTGAAGGGGATTTCAGCCATGGGGGTTTTTAAAGCCTTTTGGGGGTATCGAAGTAGTTTTTGAGGGGGATTTCAGCCATGGGGGGTATCTAAAGCCATCTGGGAGGTATCGAAGTAGTTTTTGAAGGGGATTTCAGCCATGGGGGGTATCTAAAGCCATCTGGGAGGTATCGAAGTAGTTTTTGAAGGGGATTTCAGCCATGGGGGGTATCTAAAGCCATCTGGGGGGTATCGAAGTAGTTTTTGAGGGGGATTTCAGCCATGGGGGGTATCTAAAGCCATCAGGAAGGTATTTAGGTAGTTTTTGGAGGGGATTTCAGCCATGGGGGGTATCTGAAGCCATCAAGAAGGTATTTAGGTAGTTTTTGGAGGGGATTTCAGCCATGGGGGGTATCTAAAGCCGTCAGGAAGGTATTTAGGTAGTTTTTGGAGGGGATTTCAGCCATGGGGGGTATCTGAAGCCATCAAGAAGGTATTTAGGTAGTTTTTGGAGGGGATTTCAGCCATGGGGGGTATCTGAAGCCGTCAGGAAGGTATTTAGGTAGTTTTTGGAGGGGATTTCAGCCATGGGGGGTATCTGAAGCCGTCAGGAAGGTATTTAGGTAGTTTTTCAAGGGGATTTCAGCCATGGGGGGTATCTAAAGCTATCAGGGAGGTATCGAAGTAGTTTTTTAAGTGGATTGCATGAAGGGTAGCCCGAAGGCCAGATGGTTACAGTCGCGAAGCGACTGGAACCATCTGGTAAAGTTATAATTGTAGACTTACCCGTTTCTAACAGATCGATTCCGGCAAAACTGTCCTTGACAGTCGCCCAGGGATTCAACTTTAGTGCCGAGCGCATCGACTCGAAAAATGGGCTCACTTCGATGTCCGAGAAAATCCTGAGATACTGTATTTTACTATGTTTAGATCCCCTGTAAATTTCCGCTACTGTACGTCCATAGTACGCTGCTGTACATCCCGAAAATTCGTTTAAAAACATTTTCCAACTGACCAATTCCCATTCTGTATCTTCACAGCCTGGTAATGACCGTCACTGACTGATTGAATCATCTCGTTTAGGTCCTAAAATGATATTTTTTTCTTAAATATACCTTTTATATACCTTAAATGGTAGGGTTACTGTATCTTGGAGCAACGCGGAAATTAAATAGCTTTGATATAAACCGAGGAATAGAATGAGATGGCCGACGCCGAAGATTATCAACAGGAAACGGCCTAAAAACTTGAAAATTTGATGTCTGAAGTTATTTATTTATGAAATCAGATTGATAAGAAAAAAACTAACGCACAAAATTAGCCCATAAAAATCCTAACTAACTTTTTTCCTTACCAGCATTTGAAAAAAAATTCAGCGATTCCTGGTATTGCATTAATTGATAGGCGATTAAATTCCAGACCGTCTGAAAAAGTAAATAATCGATTTCTTAAAAACACCCAAAATACCGTACCTCCCAGCAGCTATCTCCCTGGATCCCGTCGAGCCGATTTTCCACCTTTTTTACAAAAATTAACGCTACAGCCTGTAGGGCCAGTGAGGCAAGAAATATGCCCCACACCGGGTTTTGATATCTAAAAAAAAGTTCGATTTCCGTATCACTCCAAATTACGGCTTCATCGCATCCCAAATCGAGATTTCACCGGTGGCATCGATTTCGCGGACGTTTAGGACTTGTTGGATCTGAAAAAAATGTTTAATAGGCTATAAAACACCAAAAAATCCACTTTCTTATCATCTTACGGTATCTCACACGTTTTATGGTATCTTCTTAAACCCTTACATATGTAACCGGATACGAATAATCGAAATACTGCGCCCGCACGTCGGTTTGTTGAAAAAGCAGCGCGATCACGTCCACTTTATCTTGTTGTAGATATTGTAATGCACCCTCCCAGCTTCCGTTCGCCTAAAAAATGCATTGTCTACAGTAATCCTGCTTTTTTTAGGTTAGTTTTTGTAGTCCTTAGGTCCCTTTTAGAGCTTTCTGACGTACCAAAGTTCCCCAATTGACTTCACCGACGGCGCCCTCCATAAAAACCGGCTCTACAGTAAGCTGCAGGGCTTGCGAAATGGTCATAATTATCTAAAAATTAGGTATTACAATAATACATAAAAAATTTAATTTTTATGCTAAAAAAGAAACGACACGGACTTCTTAAAAGTACACAGAGTTATGTTTGTTTTTATTCATCTAAAATTAGAGATTTTGCCGAGACCAACTATTTTTATAATTAGCGAATGCGTTTTACATTTGTTTCAATTATTATATCTGCACATAAAAACTTTAAAAATTTAATTGTAAATCTAATTTATGTCCAAAACTATTCTTTCAGACCGAAAATGATAAAATTTTTAATTTTTTTTCGTCATTTTCCAACTTTTTCAGATTTTTCCTGCTTAAAATATAGCTAAAATTTACTAAAAACACCTTATCATCGATTATTAGGATAATTTGTACCGCGAGAAAAAGATTTGGTTTCCCCACCTCCAGCGTCCAGCCCGGAAACAGACATTCAATCGTTGGCGCATATGTCGGAAACTCCTTACAGTCGTCAAAAACGTCCGGCGGATTCCGGGGGAATAAAATGCGAATTTTCGACGACATTCAGGCGTTGCGTGGCGAAATCGGTTGGATAGTTGTTGAACGCCTAAACCTTTTCTGGACGTTCCGGAGCCGGGAGAACAAAATCTGCCGCCACAAGTGGCCCATCAAAATATTAATTTACCTCGCGGGCGGCGGAGGGCCGTAAATTGTATTTTGTGGTAATGTTGGGCGGAGCAAATTGGGGGACGCTGTGATTGAAAATTGAGGAAACTGAGCTCTGGGAATGCGGAAATAATCCAAGAATGTCACTTTTTCAAGGTATTCTAATCGAATAGGGTAGAAGAATAGGAATTACGCGTTATTCCCACTATTTTCTAATACTGTGGATCAGAGAAAACGTGAGAATGACTTCATTCAGCAGGTGAAAAATAATGCGCGAAAATGTTTTTTAGGGCTAATTGATCAAAAACTTACCGCCTTGCCCCTATTTTCAGGGGCCCTTTCAACTTTTTGTAAAGCTACAATATCCATTCCTCGACTTCTCTAAAGAATTTTGCCCAATCGCATTTTCATACTTCGGGCATCTTTGCAAAATGCTCTCACTATTACAAACTTTTATTACAGATCATTCACACAAAGAAAAATACGGTTCTTTAGAAAAACGATTCACAAAATACGGCACGAGTTTTGGGTTCTAATCAAGAGAAAAATACGAGGCCAAGATGTTTTACAGCACCGGCGAAATCTCATTACACAAGAGAAACGGGCAGTCGAGGACGGGGAATGTAAGTCTGAACGATTACGGCAGGAATAGCTCACGGGTTGAGATTAAAATTCAGGCGACAAGACGAGGCCGACGAAATAAGATAATGGTGGGTCGATAAAGAAGTGTCTGACATCCAAGGTATATTATTAGCTACACAAGAATTACACTGGCTCTCTAAAAGTTTAGTAATATAGAAATATAGGGAAATTATTACGCGGACAACACAACTGACAGGGCGCTGATAAAATCTGAGGTATACACAAACAAACTGTAGAAATTAAGGGATTTGTATTATTCATCTTCGTGCTGCTCGCAGTCGTTGCACCGGTTCAGGGTGGCGCCGTCGAGCTGCGCCTTCTCCGAGTCGGACAGGCATTGGTGGTGGAATAGCCTAAAAAGAGAAAATACACTCTGTAAAAGAAAGCAGGTTTGGAAACTATAGAAATACAAGGTCACTTATGTTGTTCGAGCGTTCGAGCAGAAAAACAATAAAATTCGAGCATCAAGTAAAAACCTAGTAAAAAAGTATCAAAAACCTAGCTAGGATAGCGGTTTCGCAGTCACATTAGCTATTCAGGGATAAAAAGCGCAGAAAACTAAAGATCCTTATCTTACACTTAATTAATAACGTCCTATCGGGCTAAAGCTAATAAGATAAACATTGAAAAGCATAAAAAGCTCCCAATCATCGCGCGTTTTGTATATAAAATGCCTAAATTCAATCAGAGCATATATTATAAGGCTCATTACGTGCGATACCGCCCAAAAAGACGCTATAAGGCTGCTCGAACTTTAAGAATTTGCCTGGACGCTCGAGCTTTATAAAATTCCATGAATTCCCGAACGCTCGAGCTATACAAGTTGCCGAAGTATCACTATAAAATCCAAAATAAAAGCAACCCGAAAAACCCACGCTTCACAGCATAAACAAACGGCCGCCTCCTCCAGATCCTCGTCAAGTTCATGGCCACATCGAGCACACGGCGCGGGCACGCCCTCCCTCCCTCGTCCTCTTCTTCGTCGCTCTCTTCGGAGGTCTCGTACGTCTAAATTTAATAATTTTAAAAGCCAAAATTCCTTACCGGCAATGGGATGTGGTGAACCTTTTTCCAGGGCCCGCGCGCCGTCCTCGAACGGGTCCCAGGTGAGTAAGTCGACGTATTTCACCTTTTGCCGGCAGTTTGGGCACGTGCTGGCTCGCTGAAAATGGGCAATAAGGCAGAAAAAAAAGTCTAATAAGCTTCCATAACAAGCTAGAACAGTTTCTTGAGAGGTTTTTAGAAAGGGTGTTGTAAAAACCTATTACAAAACGACCTAAAGTCAAAATTAAAGCATTCATACTTCGCGAAAAACTTGATTTGATAACTTTCATCCAAATTTATGAGAACCGATCTCTCCTATGGGAAATTCTTATTAAAACTAATCATTGATTCATAAAAAACTAGGAAGGAAACAGGTTTCAGGACAAAGGACTAAACAAAAAATAGTCCGCGAGCGAGCGATAAGGTTGTGGCATTGGTTTTCATGGATAAAACGCCCAGAGAAAAGCCTCGTTTCGGTGAAAACCTTATAAAAGGGAAGAAAAGCTTATATAGATAGTAAAAGAATAAAAAAACGTAATAGCTAACAACTGCAAGTGAATTTAAATTTAAAAAAAAACAGAAAAGAAAACCCACAATAAACCACGGCTCGGCGCATTGGTGGTGGAATTCGTGGCGGCAGTTGGTGACAAACTTGTGCCCGCTGTCGATGTCGTCGAGGCAAAACGTGCACGTCACGAATCGGTCGGACGAGGTGGTTGTGGTGGCGGGCGGGTCGTCGTCGAGCTGTTCGACTTTGGGCAGGGCACGGCGGAGGGGCTCGGGAGAAGATGGCGCCCATCGTTTTGGTGTATGGCACAAAGTGAAAAATGATGAACGCGCCTGGAAGTGGGTACGTTTTATACAAACTACATAAGGAAAAATCGATCGTGCTCATGGGAACATTAATAGGAGGTGATAAGCCACAAGTGCAGATGTGTGCAACGCATAGCAAATTTCTGTATTAATGAATGCATATCCTATTCTTTGAAAGATATAGTTAAAAAACCAAACAAAGAAGTACAAAGCATAGCTTTTTAACATTTTTAGCGCCGAGAAATCAAAAGTTTTACAAAGATTTAGCGGTGAACAAGTTGTTGTTCGACCGCTTTATTTTAAGAAAGATTGTTTGAATAAATAGTTTCTCATTGAGCAAATTTGAGCAATTCAAAAGACTAAAAATGGATGACCTAGAGGTTTCTAAGCTCATCGCAACACTCGTCTTTTTCACCTGCGTGGACCAGCTCAAAAAAGGTGCGGGGAATCGAATTTGTTTTCTATATTTGGCACCGCGAATCGAAACCAATTTAGAAAAATATCGGTTTTAGTCGAGAAAATTGTCTAGTTGGTCGTATTAGGCGGAAGCTGGCTTCTTATGAGGAATGTAATCTTTTTAGGCTTCGTCCGAATATCTGCTAATCAATGCCGTTTTAGATGCTTTTGGAGTTTTTCTATTTCATACAGCTCATTCGACAGAACTTAAAATTCCCGACACATCCCATTATTGAAAAAGCCGTGAGCTATTACGCTACAAGAAAAAAGGCGGCCTAAAAATTAAAGTAGTCTATAAAAAAGTCTAAAAATCCACCCCTAAAACCACTAGTTGCAAGAAGCTCACGCCACCAGAACAGACCGTATTTTCATGTTCTTCTTTTTGTTGTAAGTTACTGTTACCAGTTGCAAAAAAAAGTTAAAACGAATCGCTAAACGTTTAATGTGGTGCTAACACATTGGATGATGGCCAGAAAAAGGCGCGGGATGTTTGCGCGCTGCGGGCGTACAGAAATGGGTGGTTGGGGTTGGCAGAAAAAGTGGTTGTGTGGCTGAATCAAGCCCCGGCCCTCCTCCTTCTCATCGACGGGCCATGCGAAAAACGGCAATGTTCGGGCACGCATGATCCGATCGATTTGTCTGGGCATGCAAATTGGAGCCGCGCCAGGAAAAGCCGATCTGTTTCGGGTTGTGTCGCAAGGATCGAGGGGAAGGAAAAGGAGAATTTTTAGGATGCGTTTAGGTGGGGGCACTAGATGTTGTCGATGCTTTTAGAAGGCAGAAGAGAGAGAGAGAGAGAGAGAGACCTACATCGTTTCGACTTAATAGACCCTTTAAAATTCTCAAAGGAAATACATGAATCTATTGATTTCTGAGTCATAAACCTATTTTTATAAGAAAATCGGGTTGACTGAGATAAAAAAAAACACTCAATAATCGCGCGCAACTAAAAAGTAAATTTCTTCTCTAAACCCTGGAAAATGACACTGAAAAGCGGCCAAGAAAAGGCTCTGCCGACAGGTGCTCCCAGAATTAATAGCCGCTTTGTTATGATTCCACCACGTGGCCGAAATCAATTTCCGGGCACCACCCCTTGCAGAACATTAATGTTAAATTAAACTGAAGGAGATGCGTTATAAAGCTCGCAACATTTTATTGAAAAACAGTAGCAGAAATCGATAAAAGGGAAAAACATTTATACACCGAGATCGGCGAAGGTGGGTGTTTTCGACTCTGGCCGGCAATCATCACACTTCCAGACGGCGTTCACTTTTTGCGTCATTTGTTCGCTATCGGAGAGGCAGGTGAGGTGGATGAAGCTGGAAATTATGTGGTCTTGGTTTTTAAATGGATTACTAACTTTTTAAGGCTTTAAGACTAATATGAAAGCAAAGAAACCCCGAATAAAGCTTAAAAATCACCTGTTACAACCCAGACAATCCACTAGCCGGTTGAATTTGTGGTATCGATTTATGCCGCATCTTTTGCAGAGTCGAGCTGAAACTTAAGCTTTATTATATTTAAAATTAAAGCTGTTTAATGTAAGATTTAGGAATCACTTACCGCGCTTTCTAAGCATCTTCGCCTCTTCGGTGCTTGAATAAGGGTCATCATTTTGGATCTAAAAGTCTTTTTTTAGAATTGAGAAAAAATAATTGGTGAATAATTAAAATCAATAAAAAGCTATAACCTACCTCCAATTCAAAACGATCCAGATATCGATTTTCTTTCTCGAACATATCGACAAAATTGACGGTTTGCCGGCAGGTTTCGCAGTGGAATACTCCCTAAAATTTGGTTTATTGGGTTTAATAAATTTTTGTAGAACTTTTATGATTCTCTATTAATCATATTTTGGGGGTGTTAAATTTATATAACTTCGAAATGACTTACCGTAGCCCATCTCATCGAGCAATCGTGGTGCAGCGCCGGATCGCAGCTATGAAATTGGGTGTAAAAACTCTCAATTTGCTCACGGCATTCCGGGCAGCAATTGAAACGGGCGGGTACGGTCAGATCGTTGTTGGCGATGATTTCGTGAGCGCAAGACGAAGCTGAGCCTCCCATTTCGGAGTAGAAAAGTTTAGGTGTAGAGCTTTTAAAAATGGTGTAGGTTTCCTGTGGTTATAAGAGCTTATCAGGCGCCTATGATTACGATACCCTCGGGTAACTGTAATTAGGTCATATATTCGAAACCCAAGCCTTACTTGCGCATGCATTAATAGTACTCTTGTTGATTTCTTACGTTTCACTGATTTTTAGCGATATTTTATTAGTGCTTCGAAGGATGTAACCAGTATCTTTATTTACACCGGGTTTTTTTAATCTCTCTCTCTCTCTCTCTCTCTCTCTCTCTTTTTTTTCTCTTTCTCGCTCTACTACTCTCGCTTCTAATTATTCAAATCCAACCGATCAGCGCTAAAATTCGAGGCATGACGTACAATTTCCGGACCTCGCGTCCAGAAAACAAAACAAAAAGCCATAAAAATCAGGGCAAACAAGAAAAAGCAGATCGTATCGAGGGCCAGGGCAGAATATCGACAACACCGACAGGTTCTTCTGAAAAGCTTTTTTGTAATAGCATTTACGGTAGTGCCAACCTGGTTTTTCTTTGCCTCAAATCATTCAGCTCCTCATATAGGGGCTCCATCTCGTACTTGCCCTTCTTCTTTTTTGAGCGGCAACAGGCTTGAATTGAGCGCGATCTAAAGATTTCTGTATGGGAGAGAGAGAGCGAGAGAAAAAGAGAGAGAACTGAGAGAGAACTCTATGAAATTCCATACCTTCCTACAGACGCCATGCAGCTGACCGAAACGAGCTCAACGAGTACACCAAAAACGAAAAGCAACGAGAATAATTTCCATATATCTGAAGTTGTATAATTTATGTTAAAAAATATGAATGTAACAATGTCGATAAATAGTTTAAATAACCTACCGATTGAAGTAATCCCAGACGTCTCCGGCAACCCGGCCATATTAAAGTAATAATGCAAATACAACAATATAAATGAGCTCATGACCAATATAGCTCGCGTAATTGCCATCGGACCGAGCAGGAAGGACAGCCAACTTTAAACGACTTTAAATATTCTGATTTAGATGTATTGTACCTAATCCCGATGAACAAAATTGAGGGGAAGAAGAAGAGGTAGACGGTTTTGTTGAGGGAACGCTAGAATAAAAATTATCACAAAACATTGGGACCAGATACCTTAAAAGTAAAGCTTATCGTCAGCTCATCGTAGCTCGAAAAATCCTTCTGATGCTCATGGGCGGTGAAGTCGACTTGGACCATTCGGAGATCACCGACCTAAAATTAAGGTATTCGTTTTCGTGTCATTTCCAAGCTTTAACGGCTTTTTAAAACGTACGAGCCTTTCGCCGGAACCAAATTGCCCATACGCCGCATCATCCCAGATTAATCTCATGGATTCTTGACTGAAAATAGCGTGAATTTTCAGATGCGACTACGCTACGCACCTATGCTCACTACGCCACAGAATTTGGCAAGTGGCATTGCCCCAAGGGTATTCGCTTGGCTCGCTGCTGCACGGGATGTTCAGCTCGATCCTAAAATGTCACAATTTTGTTCGAAAAACTATATTCATAACCTTTTTATGGGCATTATAGTTTTTTAAACTACCTCTGTCGATGCGTGACCGTCCCATTCCTAGTTGCCGAAAACGACAGCGAATGACGGTGGTGGATCAGGCCTTCACCATTGGTGAATGCTGAAAATTGCTCTCACTCACTCACTCACTCACTCTCTCTCTCTCTCTCTCTCTCTCTCTCTCTCTCTCTCTGTCTCCCCCTCTCCCCCTATCTCTCTTCTCTCTCGCTCTCTCGCTTTCAAAAACTCACAAATCTCGGGCACCCATAACCGATCCTTTCGCCGAATCAGCGATACCTCTTCGCTGCATGGTTGCAGCGATGTAAATTGGAATGCAACGTCCTAAAAGGTATGCTTCGTAGTATTATAATATGCTCTAAATTTTTGTCTCCTCTGCACCAACATTCCACTTCCGGGTCAAGAACCCATCGACGTGGATAGCATTGGAATTCGGGACCTGGGTGAGCTGCTGGATGTGAAAGCCGATTTGAACTTCTAGTGGGTCATGGGTGACTGGAAAAGGATACGGTGCATTATCTTAAAAGGATTCACAAGACAAAAATTCCGGTAAGAATGGTTTCGAAAAATGGTTGAACTTCGAGGTCTAGTCCTAATTTTTTTGGGTCTCGCCATCGACAGCTTGAATACCGTTAATTTTCAAATATTTTCGCGTCGTATTCTCATTCCTTTTTAGATAAAAACCTTTGTAATCACGGCTTTTCCATTTCTTACCCGGTTTATTCTCCCCCGTCTTCTTCCCGTGCCCAAATAAATGCTCATAAATCTCGGCATCCGTTTGGCAGCCGGGTGATGGAAGTGCATAGGAGCATGAGAATAACGCCAAAATCCACAGCAGCAGCATCTTTCACATCGGCTACAACCTGAAATGATATTTTTTTTCAATTCTGATGCTCAAAATCACGTAGATGTAGAAAGAAAGCAGGCCGATCAAAAAGTGTTCCGGGCTATGGAGGCGGTTTGTTGGCTCGATATTGAAGTTTGTAGTTAAAAAATAATACAAAAAATCGAAAGAACGTCGCGATTTGCTTGTCTGTAGATCGGTGTGTTGTGGAAAGACTGTTCGCGACGGGGGCGACATTTATCAAATTGCCAAATTGACACCACATGGCTGACTGGGCACACCGAGAGATCGAGAGTGGCAAGCAAAGGGGCAAATTCGAGGAATGTTGCTTTCTAAAAATGCGGCAATTAAAGCATCAAATCGTATTGTAAAATAAAGTCATATTGTTAAACTATTTTCTAGAAATACTATAATAATAATACACTTTAGAAATTCCCAGTTTTTCTGCAAGGCGAAGCAAAAATTTGGCGTAATTTGGGATGTCCGTTAAGTTTTTGATTAGATTTTCTTACTTTGTTTCCCATTGATTTAGCCGTGCCGCGACACGCAACGGAAGCAACGAGCGCGTACGTTGCGCGTCGCCAGCCTACAGGAATTCAATAGACAACAAAATCCATAACCATGCCTTGCCCGTGCCTTTAAAAAGCTAGATCTAAAGAACGAAAGTCAGCAGTTTGCAGTTTGTAAAGAAAAGCACTCTCACAAACGATCGAAATCCGCTAAATTCCCACAGGAAAATCGACAAGACAAAATCCTCCCCCGGCAAGGTCAAGAAAGTTTATCAGTCGAGTCGGGGGCGTTCGCAGCGGGATGCCATCAACCCCATCGACCCATCATTTCCACCCCGATTTCAACGAGATTCCGGTAACAAGACAAATACCAAGTAATGCCAATCCATTTTTTCACTTCATAAGCTATGGGGTGGACAGCAAAAAAAAACGAAGTAACTGTTTTAAGGAGAAACTCGCCGAGAGAGATCCCCGTGCGGAATGTAATCCGGGGTGTGGCAGAGCGGAAAAATGTGGAAATTGATTTCCTTGAAAACTATGTAATAAAAATTCCAACCAGAAATACAAAAAATTAGATTTCTAGAAAAAAAAATACGGAATAAACCCAGAGTTTTTGGCAATTTTAGGCAACTCTTGGCATGAAGCCAATCGCTAAAAACCCTTTTTTCTGATTTTTTCCTAATATAAAGCCAACCAATAAAAACATTATTAAAACAAAACCGCAAAATCATGATAAAACCGCACGCCCGCGGGGCTAAAACGCTTTCAGCGCCCGCCGAATTAGTCCGTCACGCCGCGGAGCGCTGAATTGTCCCCCACAATCCAAATGGAAGGTCGCCGCGAATAAAATAGCAATTTGCCAGCCATCAATTTCACTTTCAGCCCGCCTTTCAACGGTTAGATACAGGGCGAATTCGCTCTGGAATTTGGATTTTAGACTCTAAAAATGTTGTTAGGAATCTTATTGAAGACAGGGCAGCTGGAAACTAAAGCTGTTTCGAAGCAAACGGCTCCGTTTGCGTCTTACAGCTGCTTATTATAGGCACCAGAAAACTTTTAATAACATGTTAATCCCGTTTTGTTAGCCTATCTTCGGCGTTATTGAATTTCGCTACCGCAAGTATCAATAATTGAAGGATACGCTTGACAATTCGATTGCCCTCCACTCCGCCGAAGTCCGGGATGTGAACCATGTTTTTGTGCGTTTTGAAAGGTATTGTGAGTGTTGTCGTTCGAAATTATTTTATTTTTTCGTTCGTCCCCCGGGACTTTTAGACATTTTCTTGTACTTTACGATGCGTAGCAGCAACCAGAGTTGAGATGCAAGGTCTCCTCGCTCAATCCTCTTTGCTAGTTATCGAATTAAAACAGTTTTATATTTCCGATTTTTGTAATAATTTTCACGTTTTCGAAAACCTTGAATAACTATGTCAATTTTGAACTCCCAGACGATCCCTCGTTGCTTGGTGCGACGCGTAGCCCCCTTCGGCGCTCGAGGTCAGCAGGCCCGAATATTTGGGTTGCCCTATTTGACCTTTCGCTGCTCAATTTTCTAATTGTTTTTTTGTAGATTAAATGGTATTTTCTTAAAAGAAAACTGCTAAAACCTAGGCCCTAGTGGCTCGAATTTGCCGGCCGATGCTTAGACAAGCCTTTCCGTTTCCTTCCATTACTCTCTCCCTTTCCCTTTTCTCTTTCTCATCTTGCCTTTCTCAAAATATTGATTGATTTTCAGGTTCCGAAGATGAGCTCCAATTCCCGGGACTCTTCTTCACCATCGCTGTCGGATCGCACGTCACCATTGTCAGTTTTTAACTTTTTTAGCTTGGCTTTTGGTATGGTTACCGTTTAGCTAACAAGTCTTAGATGACCGGCTAAGTAAAAAATCATTGTTTTTAGCGACGATGCGCTATCCCGACCCACACCATCTCCAGCGCCCTCAAACGATGGGAGAACTCCAGGTATCCAATTTTTTTGTAATTCCAACTTTTTGCAAGTAGGCAAAACTTTCATCAAGCGGCCGTTGAACCCGTACCTCTGCTGGGTGATGACGAAGCGCGAGGAGGTGATCCGAAACAACCCGCAGCTCAAGATGAACGATGTGAATGTCGCGGTATGATTTTTTCGCAAGCTTTTTCATTTTCTTTTGCAGCTCGGCAACCTGTGGCGCCAGATGAGCGACGCGGAGCGCAAGCCATTCTTCGAACAATCTGCCAAAAGCCGTGAGGCCCATAAATTGGTGGGTGATTCTTTGGCTTTTGGCGTATCAAACTTGCGGTCCATCGTACGCCGTCTAATTCTATTGTTTCAGATGATGGAGGCGAATCCGCATCTCGTCTTCAAGCCGGTCAAGGTCAAGAAGCCCGTGGAAACGGCCCAGGCGCCAGCAACGCCTGCGGCTGGAGGACGCCCAGTGCCCAGTACGTAATTTTAGTTTTGTTTTCTTGCTCTGGTAGCAAAAAAAAATATTTAAAAGGCATCGGTTAATTGAGATTTGCTGGTCCTACTTTATTTATGTTTTTAGTGCTTGTCAACCCCTCTCAAACAAACGGCGGCGGCCCGATGCGCACCCCGGCCAGCAACTGGCGCCCAACGGCGAATGGAGGCAGCCAGACGTTGGGCCAAGCGCTGGGAGTACGCCCCCAGACGAATGGACAGCGACCGGTAGCCTTTTTCAGCATTTCCCTATCTTTGACAGTTTTCTTGATTTTGCATGCTTGTGATTTCTAGACTTTTGACAATCTGCTTTGTTTTCAGGCTCCCTACCAACAGCCCGCCACCCCAGCCGCCCCTCAAATCACCCCGCAGGAGCGGATGCAACAAATGATGGAGAAGTACTACCTTTCCCTTTGCCAACCCGCCTTCCCGCAACCTGGTAACACCCTTGCTCCTTTCTCTACCTCTACCCATTTTTTAGGTGACGCACCGAACAGTCGCTACAACGCCAACTTCTACTGGGATCAGTGCCAACAGCTGGCCAATCAACTTTGAAGTATCCATCGCCTAATTCCTTCGTATTTTTATATACTCTCTGTGTCCTACAATGCTGTGGCCGTCTGCCACTATCCCCCGTTTTCATGGGTTGTGTAATTTATTCACATTGTTTCGCTTATTTATTCGTCCTTTCCGTTGTACGATCTCGCGGTGAATTCCACCACCAAATAGCCTTACAATCCCAACAATTCGAGTCCCACAGAAAATTGCAATGCTCTGACGCTATTTACGGTCTCTACCTTCCTACGTTTGAAATTTTTCGCCTTACATAAACTGTTTTCCTGATTTAGCACCCATATATGCACAAAGGTTTAATGCCCAGAATTCAGAAACAAACACACAACCGAGCGCTCTGATTTTCGAGGATTTCGATTTCTGGGAATAGGTTGGTTGCTAACAAGTTCTTGTGATTTTACGTTTTAGGGTTCTTTAGGACTTGCGGGGGAAGCAACTTTTCGGTGCAAGCCTAGATTTTTTATGAAAAGCGGATACGTTTGTTCATTGTTTTTAACTATTCCTGGGCATGGAAATTTTACAAATTTCGATTAAAAAATTGTTCGTTGGTGGTCCGAATCAATTTCAGCCATTGATATGTTGTTTTCTAGAAATCCCGCCTTTGTTTACGCGATAAAATGTTAGACAATCCAACGGCCAACAGGGACAGTACGGTAATTACAAAAGGTTTTCTGCACCAATTGCTTTTCTGATTTTGGCGGTCTCGATGGTGGTGGGGGCTTTTCAGAACCAGGAAGTGATTCTTCAGCTTCTAATTGTTGATCCCTTGCACATGTGGGCCGGAAGGTGGGGCGCAGATTTTGTCTTGTCATCGCGTCACAATAATCAACAAATGGTGGGCTTATAATTCTGGTTACGGCGCCAACCAGGCGACATCATGCGCTATTTGGCAATTCTCCTTGTGGTTTTGTTAGGTGTCGTCGTGGCCCAGGTGGGTGGTTGACTTTGGTTTTACGATTCAAGATTTTTGCTTATTTTGATCGTTGCTGAGGAATTTTAAATTGGATTTTCGTTTTACTCGTTTCTATTACGTCTATTCTTTTATCTTTCTACTGGTGGATCTGTTTTATAGAACAAAACTCGATATTTCAAGCAAGAGCTATTTTAAAGTTTAATAATGTCGTTTTGCAGCGCGGCGGATCCGGCCGCGGGCAGCATCAGCAACAGCGATGCTTCTGTAAGTAGATTTATATGTGCTTTTGCAGAATGATGGGTTTTGAAGCGCATTTTTTACAGCTTGCGATCGAAAAGACGCCGGATTCTCGGAGCGTCCATCGAACCCCTGCGAGTTCCAGAGCCGTCACCCCCGGAATCCGATGGTATTCAATTTTTTAGCTAAAATCTAGAATTTTGAACTTGACAAAGAAGCTTTAGAGCGTGTTTATAACACATGTTTTAGCCCGACTGCCACGGGTGCTGCACTTGGTGGGGCCAGCGTGAGGGATGGGTAGGTTGAGAAATACATAGTTTTTGCCTTTTTGCGAAAAATTCCATGCTGATTTTAGAGGCCGACGCAGTGGACGTGGAACCGCAGCAGCCGCGGCGGATGGTGCCAATGCTGCCATCAAAGCGTGTGTCGCGGCTAACAACGACAAGCCCGTTTATAAATATTTTATTCACCAAAAAGCGTCGTTTCATTATGGCAAAATTAAAGCGATTGGAAATCGAAATGTCGAACAACCCTGAGCACCGGAGAACAAAAATATAATTTTTTGAAGGGGCATGGAAGCGGGATTTTTTTTGGGTAATTGGAAATGGAGCTACGGAAAAGCGGAAAAAGAAACCAGGTACACGTAAAATGGCATTATATACATTTTTGGGTATTGAGAGCATGTTAAATTGAGGCTAGAAAATGATGGAAATGGGTTCATTTGATAGGCAAATATTCATAGACGTGATTGTCCACCAAGCATTCACACATCGCCAGCCCGTTCTCGCACTTGCCGGATAGGCGATGGCCGGCGAGGCTAAAATTAGGATTTTTTTATTAAATTTTCCCAAAGCTAGCGACGAATATTCAACACTTCCTGGCACTCTCCCTTTAAAACCTCACTCACCCGCAGCACGATTCCACCCCAACGTATCGACTGAGTGCTGGATGGCAGTGCAGCCAGCACTCGGGCTCCACAAAATATTCGCCCGTTTTGCATTGTCCTGAAAGAAAAATCATTTAAATTTGCAAAATTTGTTGCCTTGCCAGCCCCTTTAAAAGAATGTCATAATTTATGATGACTCATAACCCTAAAAATCCCTCAAATACTTGGAAATCAACAGTTTCTGCCTTGTCAATCCCTTTAAGAACTTTTTGTCACCCTCAAAATACCTCACAAGAAAAAAATTCTGCCTTGCCAGTCCCTTTAAAGTCCTGTTGTTGCCCTTAAAATTCGCCAGATACTTGAAAATCAACATTTCTTCCCTTTCCAATCGCTCTCTAAGTTGCACACTATTTTGTTTGTGCATGCAAAACCTTAGCCAAAAATTGGCCCCATCACGCCAGACTGTTTGAAAAAACGGAACGCCTGTCTGGCCGGGCGCCGATTTTAACACGGGCAATTTATAGCCGTGGAAATCGACAAAAAGGGGCGCCTCGCTTTTTGCCTCGCCGGAACGTGACGGCGCCCAGAAAAAGACGACACCCCCAGCCGAGCAAGCAGCGATGAAAAATGGGAAAAATTGTGCGGAAATTGGGGTAGTTCTTATCAACAGATTAGAGCCTGCGTTCTGCTACTGCTCTCCGTTCCGGTGGTTCAAAAAAGTGGGAAAAACTAGCATTAAGAATAAATATTAGAAAAATCGTTCGAAAAAGCAAGTGAAAAATTTAGGAAATAGTAAAAGATAAATAGATTCACAAGTAAGCTAAAGAAAAGCACTTTCCGGTTTAAAAATTAACGTTTCAACCCTTAAAAAACCCTGAAAGCGTAGGGCCGCTGTCATGCCAGCAAAAAATAATTTTCATACTAACGAAAAATCGTTTAAAAGTAGTTTTAGATCTGATCAAGTTGATTTTTCATACGCTCATTAGAAATGCAAAATTTACGCCGTTTAAAAGTGCCCTAGCATTTCGCAAACTATTGCACTGGAAAGGAAAACTATATATGATTTTCAAAGCATACTTACTCAATTTCGTAAATCCCAATGCGCTAGCAATAAATAGCAGAAATAGACCGAGCAGGATCCGCATTCGTCGATTCAACACACCCCGCCAACCACAATATGTGATGATTGGAACGTGAGATAAATAGAGACAATACAGTACAGTACAGTACAGTTGTCACTTTTCCGAGAAATCCCCGACAACTTCCCGGGCGATGCCCCCCGACAAGTATATGTATTTGGAGAAGGGGGAGGGGAGGGGTCAGGCTCCCAGAATGGGCACGGGAATCCACAGCCCGACTGTCTCTCTTTTCTCCCGATCGGACCGCAAAAAAAGCACGCAAAAAATGGATGGGCCGCTGGTTCATCACGGAATCCGGTGTTGAACATCTGCGCGAGGGCCCAGCTGTTTCATACAAAACCCCCGGCCCAATTCTTGGCTGATTCATAAAATTAGCCAATAATCCTCTACCTGCAACTACTCATTGAAAAGCCCGACTCCGAATTCTACTTCTAACACTAAATTGCATAATGACGTTTCTTAGAGGAATTCGACAGTTTGTCAAACGACCCTTTCAGGAAAGACGCTTTCCAAAAAAAACTGCTAACTAATCGTGATGATGACTGCGTCATTGGCCAAACTCTTTGGCCAATGCCGAATTAGTCGTACCACTTTCTCAAGAAGCCTTACCGCTTGATCTCTCGCTTCCCAACCCAATCAAAGCACATCGAACGTTGCCGTTTCCCTTCCCCAACTTCAACTGTTTTATTACCGTTCCCCGCGGCTCAACGCTAAACGAGAGATTTCGCGTGGCACCCAAAGATCCCATCTTTCGATTGGCAGCCGATCTGAAAAAAGCGGTGCACCGCACGAACCGTGTCCAAAAAGGAAACGATTCTCAGGTGGGCAGTCATGAGGCCCCTTTTTAGAACCGGGGTCACTGCGACTTTTTGTTCACGTGGCCCGTATCCTCTCCCCAAATGAAACCTTCCTCTTGTTTTTCCAATCCCCCCGAAATGGCCGATTACGTCTCGGCAAGCTGGATGGATTTTGATGGGGCAGCGGAGGGGGTGCGACTCTGATCTCGAATGTGGCATTCCATGGTCAATCGAGGTCGAGCGAAATCACGGCCTTTTCGCGCTCCCCGAGAAGCTCGTAGTCCTAAAAATAGTGGTGAAAAGCCTGAAGCCCCGGGTAAGCAAATGGTGATAATAACATCAAAAAGTTTATTGCGAATCATTGGCGAACAGACAATCGAAAACCATGACTAGAAAAGTCAATAACCGTAATATGAGCACTGTATCATATGAGCAAAAAACAATAAACGACACGCTAATGTGGGGGAATGTGAACGGGGAATTGGCGGCGATCAGGCGGGCTTGTTGTGGGCAGCAGCAATGAGTTGGTCATTTTTCTAAAATAATAGCTTACAGTATATACTCCCAATCTCTACCTCTAATCTCAGCTCAAACTCGGCCAATTCTTTGCTGAGCTGCTTCTTCTTGAACGAGTTGTAGAAGCTGATGCCGCCAATGTTGAAATGGATCTAAACGAATAGTATAGTCTAAACTTTTTATCAAACCACCTTGAACAACTCAAAGCCGGCCCCCAAAGCCAGGCCTGCGCCCAACAGTGCGTAGTTGCGAGAGGCGATAAACGAAAGGAGTTTTGCGGACATCTAAATCGGCCAAGAAATTATCAGAATCCAACAAGCTTACCTTATTTATGCTAGTCTAAATCCGGCCTTGTCGGCTTCGATCAACTCCCTCTCCAACAGCTCGCGTTCTTCCTAAAAACCGGGAACATCTAAAACAGGAAAAAGACGAACCTGTCGAATCGGAGAGACGTATTTGTAGTAGATCAACCCGTTTACCAGGACGAACGAGGTGCCGGCAAGGAGGAATCCGAAGATGGACCGGACGGCCACTAAAAAAAAGTCATTTTCTAGAGAGGATATACACCAACAACGTAAAAAGGAAACAGGCTATTACTGAAAGTTCGTAGCAATAAAAGAAACATAATATCGATAAAACTGACCCTTATGCGCGATGTCGAGTCGTCGATTCGTGAACACTTGGCGGTAGAGCGGACGCCGATCTTCTCTTAGCCTGGCGCCCAAACAAACGAGCGATGTGAGCATCCACTAAAGTTAGTAATAACGAAAATATAAATAGACGATTCGGTTCGAACTTCGATGAAGAACCTATGATATAAGGACCCGTTTTACGCTACAAACCCACGCTGAAAAATCAAGCGTTTGTCTGTAGCAAAGTTCAAGTGCATTTGCTGTAGATAGATTGCTGATAACTCGACAAGCTCCATCAAAATTCGCATAAAAATGACCCATCATTTATCAAAAAGAACCCACACTAGTAACGACATTGCGGTAGAGCACCGGTAAAGCAAAAAAGGGAACGACAGAACTTTACAATTGAAGGTACAGGTAACCGGAAATTGCTAACGAAAAGCAGTTGGGCACAAAACACATATTAATTTAACTAAAAAAACGCACACAGCAGATATGGAATCATGAAGGGCATCAGCAAAAAAGCTACACAGCAAAAGAGACAAAAGTAATTAATTTCATTGGGCAGTCTCGTCATTTGGTCGCCGCGTTGTAAGCATCCATTATCGCTTCTTGGACCACCTAAATCATTGATTATATTTCGAAGAAAAGAAGGTCGACCCAAAAAAAAAAAGAAAAATTCCAATTGCTAGATTTTAGCGCAGCACGGCAATTCCGATTTGGTTTTCTAGAAATAGGAGAAACTGGCAAGAATCAATCGAAAGTGAATTGTCGTACTAGCACAGAAAGAGACAGTTGCGCTGCGAAAATCCCTGGTGTATGTGAAAAATCCTTCAAGATTGCCAAATAAGCAAAAAGTGAAGTGTGTTTGAATAGATAAGCAAAAAGCTCTCGTTGGGCCAAACATCAATCACCCGTATCCGTTTCGGGCGACCACGTTTCAAAAACATCTAATAGGAAATGTTGGCGACTATTTTTTCCACGGCAATCACAAAGGACGGGAAGCGCCGTGCGGAGCCAAACCTCGAGCGCCCTGCGTACTTTTGCGTTCTCGAACGTGATGATTTTGCCCGCCGAGCCGCCGATGCCCAAGAACCCGCGCCGTTTCGTCAACAGCTCGATTTTCACGCCCTCGTCGACGTATTTCGGCTCTTTGATCTAAGAGAAGGGTTTTATCTTGAAAACACGATAAAGCTCACCTCAGTGTACCTTGCCGACCAATCGACGGTCCACGTGCCGAGCACATCCGTCCGTTTGGTGATGACCAGTTGTAGGTTGGTGACGAGCAGCACGAGACGATCCGTGATCGGCGCGTAGCAAATGTACTCGTCCGTTTCGGTGAGGAACCCGTGATCAGTGTCCTAGGGGAAAATATCAAGAAGGGGTCTAAAGCTCGCCTTGAAAATGCGATAACCTCGGGAATTGGGCGGGCTGTAGGGGCGGATGATATGGTCAGCCTTGATGTAGCGTGGGTCTCTGACTGGACCAGCGTCCTGGAAAGGAGAAATTTTTATCAGAAGGTCATAAATACCTTATTCGTCCCTGCCACTGTTCGAACAGCGTCCATAGATGACGAAGCAAAGTCGACGACGCCGGAAATCGGGCGAGCGGCCAAACCGACAAGTCCCTAAAATCGCGGTGTCCGGAAAAAAATATACTCTAAAACTGAGGCTTCAAAATTTCTCACCTTTCCGGTTCCCTTGATAAATCCGCCGAAGCCGTCTTGCCGAGCGCCCTCCAGCGGCTTGGTGACGACTCCCTTCACACCGTCCACAACTCCCATTCCAAGTCCCTAAGGTCAAAATTAATAAAAGGAGAAAGCGTTAAAACCTTGAAGCCGCGCGCCATTCCCTCGGCGAACGATTGTGGCCGTCGGTTCAAGTCTTCCTGGCGCTTCCGTTGGTATCTTAAAAGAAATACGTGATTTTAACAGGAAAAATACTCTTGATCGAAGGTCAGGGCAGCCACTCCTTTTCCAACCGTGCCAGTGATGCGACCAACAGCGCCAGCCGCACCGCCAACAGCGTGGCCGAAGAGTGACTGGACGCCGAGGCCGACACCGGAGATGAACTCCTCGGGGCCCTAAATCAAGACGCGAATTATAATATTTTAGGATTCTTTTTATAGCACATCTTTGAAATAATTACCTGGACCAATCCTTGATACGGTTGATAGAAGAGATCTTCCACACCGGATGACAAATCGCGGACAAGCCCGAACGGGTTGCCGATTATGTCGAGGCCGAGGACGAGCACGTACAGCTGCTTGATAGCCTAAAAAATATGAATTAGATTAGCATTTTAAAATCGGATCGCAGTAAGCCAAATACAATAAGACTCACCTGCATCGTGTAGTGGCTGATCACTTCGGCGTTCAGCTGATCCTGGTTGTAGTAAACAGCCTTTCGCTCAAAGTAGGCCAGCTTGAAGACGACGTCCTGCAGCTCGGTCAGCGTCACGCCCACACTCTTCAGCAGCACATTGACGAACTCGCTCTGGATCGGAGCCGGGCCAGCAGCGCGTTCGGCCGTCGTACCACCTTGCGAGAAGGAGAGATGGATCATCAAAGGTGAGATGTGGATCTCGTCGTAGTACGACTTGGGCTTCTGCGACTTCCAAGCGTCGGCCATTTGACCGAGGTTGACCTTCGTCAGCTCCATGTCCTCGTCGAACATCTTCTTGCCGTAGGGTTTCTTGATCGTGGCGTTCGGAGAGAGGTCCAGGGCGGCGTTGATGAGGCCCTGGTCGACACGGACTGCGAATTCTTGAACGAGCACCTTGCAGTACTCAATCTCGGGGATCGTAGAGAACTCGTTGGAGCGTTCGACGTATGAGAACTCGACGAAGGGCTTCGGGGCTGAAAAAAAAATCATTAAAATTAACAATAAGATTTCAAAGTCCGAAAAAATATGTCGTAATTTAAAAAAATAAAGACTGACCATTGTCCTGAACGACGCTCTTCGGCGGCGGGACCACCGAGAGCACACACGGGAAGACGCAAGCATCCATCTGGTTGTCAATCTGCAGATGGTTCAGCTTGAAATGGAAGCGCTTGCGCTGAGCCGTCGTACTGTAGTGGGCGTAAATTCCGCGCTCAAAGATGCGGCGCATCTTGAGCTCTTTGCCGTTCTTCTTCTTGCGCAACAGCATCCGCTTCATGTTGGCCTCATATTTGCCCTCCACAGCGAGCCATTCCTCCTTGTCATTCTTCAGATAGCCCTGGTAGTGCTCCTCGAGCTTGGCCATGTACTTGACGGCCAGCGGCTTGTAGCGGATCTGCTTCTTGAAGATGCCGAAGCCTGAGCTGAGCGAGCCCTCTTCCCACAGGATATCTGAGGAGCTGATGCCGACGTAGAGGACCTCGACGCCCTTGTGATTGTCGACGACGCTGAGGCCGAGCCCTTGGAGCAGGAGGTCACAGCAGAAATCGGTGTTCTCCAGCTCGTGCGCACCGAAGGCAGCGCGGGCTATCGAATGCTCGGCGGTGAAGAGGAGCGTCCTTTGTCGGCCGTTGAGGAACGAGGTGAAGTAGACGTATTTGCGCGCTTCCTTGCTCGGCTGCACCTCGCCGAAGTCGTTCTGCATGAGCCCGTTTTCGCCCTTGTGCTCGCCGATCTGGTATTCGAAGAGGCGGTCGCGGGTCAGCTCGCTCCAGGTGAAGAAGACGTGTTCGCCGGGGAGGAGCCGTTCACGTCGGTGGCCCTTTTGCCCGTATTCGATTGGCATCTAGGTGTAGTTGGCATTTCGAAATGATCAAGACGAACCTTCAGATGATTAATAACGTGGACAGGAGCGGATCCTGGCGAGAACGGCGTCAAGTGGACTGTGACGGAAGACTCGCCAACGGTACACGCGACATCGATACCGGCCGATGCATCGTTGATCTAAAGAAAAGAGTTAATAAAAAGTGCGTGTGATCACCTGAGCCAACGTTTCAATGTTCTCAGTGATCGGGAAAAGCAGCGACTCCTCCGAAGCACCAGCGTATCGTGTGCAGTACACCTTGCGCTGCTCCTTCTGCGTCGGCCAAATGCCAATGCACTAAAAACGGATAAAATAGAAAATTCAGATAATGCTAACCTTTTCTGCAGGAATCGTGGTCCACTCTTGTACTTGATCTTCTCGGACCTCAAGGTCGAATTTGCCGCAATTGCTGACGAGGTAGAAAGGGGCGAAAGAGACTATTTTGGTGAGGCCAGACTGGCACAGTTGGATGGAGACGCTCAGCTAAAAACATGATTATGAAACTGTAAAAACGAAAATTAATTAAAGCACGTCGATGAATTTTCGATAAACAAAATTACGGATTGTCGTTAGACAAATTCCTACATCATAGTCCCTCGATTCGCCCTTGCAGGTGACGCGGGCCGTATTTCCGACCGTTTCCAGCGGGAACTCGTCGGACCAGTTGGAGTCGCCCTCGACTTGGACGCGAGACTAAATAGGTTTTTCATGCAAGAAAAATGAAAAATCCAACCTTCTTCTTCTGGCCGACATCCTTGGATGGGAACGGCAGAATGATGGGATTCTGGTCGGGGCCATGGCGCAGGGCGTATTCCTGAAAAATTGGTTCCGGTCAAGCGTTAGAAAATTTTTCATGCAGGCCAGCAAGGGTTATCGCTCTGGGGAAGCCAAGCGCCAAAAAATACCGACAATTGACGACGAACGAACATGACGATGACGAACAACGTCCAAGCAAGTATTTTTGTGGTGGTCTAAGCAAACGCCCAACAAAAAAAAATAAAAATTTCAGAAATTCAGCAAAAAGTTAATTTCTGATCGTCCTGGCTTCAAAATGGCGCCGAGGATCGACCACCAAAACCCCCAAATAAACACGACGACGGTGATTACGGCAAGCAGGAACACAGGGGGCAAATCGTAAGCTATTGTGAAGGCTGGCAAGCCCTGGGCTAGGATAAAGAGAGATGCCTCTACTAGCATTGAGTCGTCTCCACCCAGACGAGCGTATATTCAGGGTAGAGGTGGAAGATGACCACATGCACGCCGCTCCGAATTCTCGAGTCTAGGGATTCACCTCGTTGTCCACCGCAGTTTTGGGCCGGCATGAGATGCAATTCGTCGTCGACGCGATAAAGCCACCGGAGCTCTCCTAGAACGACCGAACCGGGTAAAAAAGTTGGGTGCAGCTGAGGGAGGGCGTTGCTGTTGCTGCGTGGCAATGGCTGTTTTTGTGTTGAGCTGCTTGGTGTGGAAGATAAGCAAAATTCAGAGATTTCCGAGCGAGGATATGCGAAAGTCCCGAAACCAGCGCAGGCGATTTTAAAGGAGCGTTACAGAATCTTTTGGCGGCTCTAGGAGGGAAGAACAGCCGTTTGCGAACTGAAAGATGTAGGATTTTCAGGGCTTGCCATAAAAACCGGGGGTCAGCATTCCAGCCCTCACTGTACGACAAAAACGTAATTTGCAACCAATTCACGAGCTAGGCCAGGGCCAGCTCACCTCAAAGGTGGAGTCCGAGTCAGATTCTCCCTCCGGGAGCAACGCTCCGGGCTGAACAGGCAGAAAGTTTGGAAATTTAAGAGGGCGATTAGGTGTGTCAATAGGGTTTTGATGGGGAAATATACGAATAGGAGCCGGAAGAAGAAGCGCAGAGAAAATTATACCATGTGTCGAAGGGTCATCGACGTGTTGTTGACCATCCAGAACGGGGCGTACAGGTAGGCCTTGAGGCCACCGTATTCGCGAGACCAATGGAGACCGAGCAACTGCAAAAGACATGGAAAGCGTAAGAACTACTGTACCAGTTCAGCACTTCCGGATTCCGTGTTCAAGGCGACAACTTGCAGATCTTCGGGCCGCTCCTCCATGCGCATGTCAAGCACATACTTTTCGTTGTGGTAGCTCGTCTAAATGAAATTTGCTGAAGATAAGGAAAATCGTACGTGCAGCCGAAGTTTGTGGCCAGCTATGATGTTCAACACCGTGTCCTCGCCGGGACCCAACTCGGCACCGATCTGAAAGAAGCCTAGAAAATATAAGGCTTCATCTACCGGCTGCTCAAGCGTCACCGGGAACGGCAGGTTGTTATGGAAGACGAGCGGTGGGTAGAGCGAAATGTTGAAGCTCGAATCGGTCTTTTTCTCCTTGACAACGGCGCCTGCAAAAGCCGATAATTGGTAAATTAAAAACCACCTCCGGTTGGATAGTGAATCTCATCCTCGGAGATGACGGTTTCGAAGAAGAAGCCCTTCGTGTCATCGTCGCTCAGGTTGCATCGAATCGGGGCACGCTTCTGATTGGCAAAGTCGTGCCAGGAGACCGACTCGAACGAGACTTCGGTGCTAAAAAAAAATATAGATAAAAACCGTACAATTCAAAAAACCCACTTGTCGCCAACGGGCTTGAAGAAGAGCTCGCCGGTCGGGGTGAAGAGCAGCGGGACCGGCAGGTTGACCGTCTCACCCGTCTTGACGATGGCGGCCAAATCGAGGTTGTTGTCGCGTTTCGAATACACCTCCATATCGACGTCAAGGTGATTTGTGACCTAAAATAAGGGCTTATCTTTCTAAAAATTTAAGAACGTACCTGTACATGCGATCGCAATGTGATCAATCGCCGACTGTTTTCGATCGAGACATCGACGAGCATCTTTAAAAAAATCAAGGAATTGCCAATGCAACTCAAGTCAAACCTTCCATTGTTTTCCGCCTTCACTCTGTTTGGGCAGGGTGAGCATCCACTTATCAGCGCGCCCAACGACAACATCGCGAACGGTTTCGAGGAGTTCTAGTCTAAATGAGGTTTGTAAAGATTTATAGACCGGTCGTACCGGAGATCAGCCTTCGTTTCATTCTGCGTAACGGACAGGAAGGTATCGGTGTTCTCGCGTTTATCCTTGTCATCGGCTTGCCCGTCAACCGCGTCCAAATCGACGAAGGCACCGTGCGTCGCGTCAATCGTCGAGCCGTCCTCGGAAGCGACCAGGCTGTCCGAGTTGGCCACCCTGACCGTCATCCCGGAGTCGTTGAAGATGAGGAATGCCGACGTGCCAGGCAGCGACCGGCTGACCGGAGGTGATGTATTCGTCGCAGCAGCCGCAAACACCTCGCCCAGCTTCGTCAACAGGTTGATGAAGCTGCGCGTGACGGTGATGTTCAGGATATCTCGGCCTCGACAGAGACGTGCATGCCGGGAGATGAGTCGTTGGGGTCGAGCTTGTTCTTGCCCTGCACGTTGCACTTGAGGCTCCAGCGTTTCCAGTCGTTGGGCGTTTCCTGCTCAAGGGGCTCGATGACCGGCTCCCAGACGGAGCAGCCTTCGTTGTAGTACGACATTTGGAGGGAGAGTTCGGAAGAAGCCTTGAGAGCGCTGCTCCAGTTGCTCGCTTCGGCTCGCATTTGCATGTCGAGGAAGATGAGAGGCAGGGGAATCTAAAAATGACATTGCAAAAACAAGGAATTGGGAATTACCGCTTCATTTCCAGCCTCCAATGTGAAGCTAAGCCGCGGGATCTCGACCGTGCACTTCTCGACGGGCCCACGAATAGATTTGCGCCGAGATCCGGATCCTTCCTCCTCTTCCTCGTAGTCCTCATCAATCTCCTCGGCCGGCTCGGGCATGTTGAAGAACCAGTAGCGGTGCTCCTCGAGCTTCTTCTTCTCCCAGTAGTTCGGGAAGAAGCGGCGCTTCGGGTTCGCCGTCACCGAGGCCTCTTCGGCTTGACTGTGACGCGCGAATTCAGCGTTAGCTGCCGCGAGAAGTCGAATGACAGATGGAGCCATCTGAAAATAATAATTTTTGAGGGATTCGAAGATAAGGTCATACCTTCAGCTCAAGCGGCGTCATCTTCAGCATCACTTCCGTCGACTTCGTGTCGTTGTTGATACTGGCGGCGATGCCAATGTCCACCGACTTCATCACTTCATACGTCACATCCTTACGCTTGTTGGGGGCATAGTAGCTGCTGAAGATGCGCAACGCCTCGACGCCGCCGTGCATCACTTGGACCGTGTTTTTCGGCTCGGCCTTCAGACGGACGTTGAAGGAGAGGATGAGGGCTTGCGTGTTGTCGGGGTCCATGGAGTTTTCGATGATTATTACCTAGGCAAAATTATTGCAAATTAGTTTTCTCACCTCAACACCCTTCATGTCACAGTCCATCGTGATCGTACCCACCGGAGCGGGAACGGCCGGCGGCTGATCCTTCTCTTTGCTCTTGTCGATTTGGACTTGAATATTGGCGGGAGCCTTTGTAGCCGTGGGCACGGCTTCACGGTCAATTTCCTCCTGCGTCTTCGGCACGGTGAAGAATGCGGCGAGGCAGCCAAGGAATTCGGGGCTCATGCAAAGGAAGAACGCCGACATCTCCAGGCGAACTAAAAACACAAAATGCAGCTAGATTTGATGCGCTTACTATTTTTGTCCTGGTTGGCCTTCTGCTTGAACGACAGGTCAAGGAAGCGCTCCTCTTTTGTGGAAGCCTTCTTGTCGAGCAGGTGCGGGATCTTTGTCTTGCCCTTGCGCTCGTCGTTCATCTGGAAGACCTGCAGCGACATGGCGACGAGCAGCTCGTTGTCCTCCTTGATGTGACCGCTCAGCTTCAGCCCTTCGATGCGCATCGAGGCGAAGGCGTTGGCTTGGTCGCGCGTGGCAGAGGTGGTAGTGCCTAAAAGTTGTTCTCAAAAACAATTCTCTAAAACTACCAGTGTACAACTCGATGGCTATGTTGTCCATCACAAATTTGAAGAGGATCTTGTCGTAGACCTTCATCGTCAAGCCACCGCCAGTGAGTTTGGACTGGGAAAGGGTCTAAAACCAATTAATTTCCGGAAAATAGGTTTTCGTACCTGATCTTCACCACCGGCAGCCTGTCGCTCCTCCTTCTTCTCAGTCTGAACGACGACTGGGGGCGGTGGGACATGGTCGGCAACGAGCTCGTGGCCCTCGGACAAGTTTCCGGACAGCGTGTGCATCATCGTCGCGTAGTCGTCGTGCGACAGCGCCATGTTGATCGCAGAGATATGAGCGTCGACGGCGGTTTCTGGGATTTCCTAAAAAAAAGCTGGATGTAAGCAACAAGTCTCATACCTTGACGATGCCAAAGGTGAGATTTCTGTGCACGTCGAGGCTGAAGGTGATCGGACGGAGGACCTCGGTCTTGAAGGTGAGATCCTTTGCTTCGTCGTCCATTCGGCCACTAAAAAGGGTTTTGAAGATGACAATTTGCAGCTAGCTAGCCATGAGGCCAGACCCGCTCAAAACCCACATTCCAAAGTACACATCGGTCAGCTTGATGTCCATCGAGTCGAGCACGGCTTTCGGGTACTCCCGGTGGCCAAGAATACGATTGCGCACGATCAGATTACCTATTATATGATAAAAATCAATGATTTTTAAGCATAAATATTAATAAATTTTAAAAAAACTGACCAAGGTCGACGACGAGCACGTGTGTTGAGGACGAGAGACGCGGGACGAGAATCAGAGGAGCCAGCAGCTCGACGTCAAGCTCGATTCGAGGCGGGGATTGTTCGAGCATCTGTTTCGCCGCTTCAAGCGCTTCTTGTGACTAAAAAATATAGTCAAAAAGCCGAATTTATCGAATTACCTTTTCTGAAGCCACCGCTTGAGCATGAGCTTTCGCTACAGCCGCTTCGGCGCTGAATGGCGCGGCAAACGCCTGCATCCGGTTCACCCAGAGTTGGAGGAAGATGAAGCGGAGCTGGGCGAGTCGGAGCTAAAAAGCGGACTCAAGCCGTATTGTATGGCTGAACCATACCTTGACTTTCATATCGACATCCGATGCCTGCATGTGCTTCTTCTCGTCGGGCGTCCGTTGGTATTGGAGCATCTCGAAGCGGAGCATCGTCTCGTCGCCATGGACTGCCATAAGGTTCCTAGGAAAAATAGAATTTCAGCAAATTTCTGATACTTGTGAAGCGCTCCCTTCGTCATGTCGAGCATTTTGATAGCTTGCAGCGTCGCCTTCACTTCCATCGTCTTGAGCGTCATCGTGACCACGGAATCGACCTAAATCTTATAAGTAAAGTCGAAAGGAGAAAAGCACCTTTTCAATAGCCATCAGCGTATCGACCTCTCGCTCCGTTCCGAGCAAATGGCCAGCTGACCAACGGAGGCGTCGATCTTCATCTTAATCACCGACGGATCCGGCTCATCCTAAAAACGTTGTTAAAGAAGTTACAATCATCTTTCTAAAGCGGACAAGACAACAGGGTGCAACTACCAACAAGCGCAGGGCAAAATTTTGAGCATTTTTAAAGCGGATTCGTGCGATCAATTTCAACAGCTTTTTTTCTGGAAAATGGTTATGCCACTAGGCCAATTCCTAAGCTACTACAAGCAAGCATCCACCATTTCCCATCGCCAAGCTTACCTCTCCTTTTACGCTCTATAATTTAAAAGATTTATAAATTTGATCATCACAAATTTATACCTGCTTCTTTCGCTTTGTGCGCTTCTTCTTGGCGGCCTCGGTCTGGGATTCGCGGGCAAGTTGGGCCAGGGAATCCATGCTAAAACCAAACCAACTTATTTAATTCTTGGCAAACAAACCTCGACGAAATCTTGCGACTCAGCTTTCGGCTGGCACTCTCGTCGGTGGGCTCTTCGCCATCGACTTCCTCGGAGGAAGCCTAGAAAAAAATAAGCGTCAGTCATATTCACCTACCGGTTTATCTTTAGCCATAGCCTCTTGCAGCGCTTCGCCAAACTTCTTCACTTCCAGGAAGGCCTCTTGGTGGAGGGCAATGTTCAGCTTGGAGAACTTGAACCCGACCGCCATCTCGGTCTTGTGGTATTCGGTGGCGAAGAACGGGCTCTCAGGATTAGCCTGAAAAATTACATAGAAACAATCCGGGAAATACATACCTGAACAAATTTCAACTGCATCAGGGCACCCTCCTCCTCGAAGGAGTCAATGAGGTACAAATGCGGCTTGCGATCGTCGAAGCTGCGGAAGAGCGGCATGGCGATGGAGATGGAACCGAGCTAAAAAACAACATAACAATTAGAGCTCAAAAAAATACCTCAGCATTGACGAGCAAATCGAACGTGCGCATCTGAAGTTGGCAAACGAAGCGCTGGAGACGAACATCGGCCAGCACATCCTCGCCCTTGTAGACGACAAATCCGATCTGGAAACTTGGGATAAAATTTTGGTTTGTGTAATAATTTGTTCGAATAGGCTATTGCCAAAATGTGGGCTGTAAAGTAGACGACAAGTCGTATAGTCTAACTTGCGGCCTGTTCTATAGCCGGGTATCGCTCTTGGTGCTTTGCTTTACGAGGGGTGTATAAGAGGCGTGTTATCGCAACACACGCCCCCTTCTTAACCCTCGCGCGGCGGGCCTCGAACTCGGGTCGTGCGCGTGACAGGCAGAGGCGCAAGCCATTAGGCTACGTGGTGGCCGCGACGGGGGTGCAAGGGGTCCCCAAGTAGAGAGGGAAGGACGCACATTAGTGCGGCGACCTTTCCAGCCCCTTTTTCTCGCCGCAAACGCACCGTGTTCAGCTTCAAATCCAGCTCGACCTGCACCTGCTGCTCGTTCTTCAGCTCTTCCTCCTTGGCCTTTTTCTCGGCTACAGTTTCAGCCGTTTCCACCTAAACATTTGATTGTTACTATTTATATATTTTTTACTTCATCCGCCTCCATGATCGTCTTCATCTTTGCCAAATCCTTGACCTTGACGTTGCTCTTCATCGCCGGCAAATCTTCGAGAATTTCCTAAAGTTGTTTTTACACCGACATCAGTGGCTCAATTTACCGGGGTTTCTTCGGGCTTCGGCGTGGGGATGGAATTGAGAGGTCCATCAGCATCAGGAGACGCTTGTCCGAAATGACGACCACGATGTCGGGAAGGTCGCCGATAATTCGCATCCTGAAACAGATTATAAGAATCAAAAGCTTGAAAAAAAGAAATATTGATTATTTTACTTACTTTGGCAAGCTCAGATCCTCCACGCCACTCTTGTGGAACTGAATGTCCAGACCCGTCGGCTTCAAAATGTGCAGCGGTGATTCGGGCAGCTTGATGGCCTCATGCGCTTTCTCCATCTCCTAAAAAACAAATTTTCATTCTAAAAATTATTCCCACCTCCGCAAACGCAATCACTACATTGCTGAGCTTCACCCGGAACTTGTCGTAGGCCATCTCACGCAGCCGCGCCATCTTGTCCATCCCTTCCTGGACTTGCTGGTCGACCGTCGTGATAGTCAGCAGACCGAGGTCGGCCATGATTGTCGGCTTTTCAGGGGCATACACGCCGCCTTCCGAAATCAACAGCGTCGCCGGGTTGATGGAAATGTCGAGCACCAGCTTCTTCTTGAACTCGACGGCATGGGCCAGGCCGGTAACCGAGCGAGTTTTCACCTCCTCGTATCTCGACATGGCCGCAGCGGTCAGCTGGTTCAACCGCACCGACTCTGGCGGCTTGAACACGTCGGCGGCTGCATTGACGGCGGGCGCGTGGTACTTGAGGGTGACCGGAGCGATGGAGAGCGCCACCTTTTGGTCGTATTTCCCGTGAAGCGGATTTGTGTCAACTTCCAGGTCGAGCCACGGTTTCGTCGCGTCGCGAACTCGCAACATTTCCGCGCCACAACCGTCCATTCGTAGCTCCTTGATGCCGGACTTGATGTTGATGGCGCCGGCACTTGGACGCTGAGCAATGTAGGCGTCGAGCTGCAGCAATTTCATCGACACCGCATGATCGACGTTGATCGCGATCTCGCCAAGGCGGAACGACAACTTGTTCTCGACGTACTCCTTGGGGTAGTTGGTAGGCGGGATATTTTCCTGGTAGTCGATGGCCTCGAACAGTTTCGCCTTCTCCTCAGGCGTCATCGCCTCCTCAAACTGGGAGACGACGTCTTTGTTCTTTTTGTTCTCGTGGCTACCACCGCTTCCGCCCCACCAGCTCTTGGCCCAGCCCATAATTCCTTGGGGGCTGGTCCTCAATACGCGTCAGACCCTTTCGATCAATCTCCATCTCGGCCTGTTGACGAGCAATGTTGATGTTGAAGACGTCAAGACGATCCTCCGCCTTTTTGACAAGATCCGTCACATGGCTGCCCGGGCTCTTCTCGGTCTGATGCTTCACCCAGGCATCCCGATAATCGCGCACAAGTTGCCGATGCTCCTTCATACGCTTCCAGTTCCAGTTTCGGCGACGCCGCCGAACTTTTTCCTCCAGAATGGAAGTGTAGGCGAATTTCCACCAGGTCTTGTAGTGGCCTTTGTAATCAACGACGTGCGCAGGCCGATATTTGAGATATTGGCCGGCCAGTGTGAAGCGCTCCTGAGCCTCCAGGAAAAGGAGCACATCTTGATATTGGAACTTTCCAATCGTCAACGCCAGCGCCTTCATGTCGACAGAGAGGTCAATTTTAGGGATCGACCAGCCGCTTCCGTCTGTCTCCGGCTTTTGGTTGAGCTGCAGCTTGGCCTCCATTTTGATCGGCTCCAAGATGTATTTGTAGCCCTCGGGTCGGTTGTTCTTTGTGGTAATTGTAGCCAGCATCTTCTCCTTGACCTCCTTGCGATCCGAAAGATCGGAGAACAGCGTCACGTCCGAGTTCCAGTATACGGCCAGATTTTCGAGGCTGACGAGCTTGTGGATAATTTTGAGCGTCTCCTTGTGAATGGTGGGCAACCAGTTCTCGTCGGTGGTTTGGAAATCGAGCTTCTGCAGTGTGATGCCGGCGGCGAACGGGCGGTGCCGATTGGTCCACTTGTCCTCGAAGCGGACGTGGATATTCGAGATGGAGATTTGCAGATTTTTGATGATTTGAGTCACCATCTTTTCAGCGAAAGAGTCGGCTGTCGGGTCGGCCGGCTTGCGCCTGGAAAGACAATCGTAAATGCTCAAAATTGGCGACAAACCTGTTCTTTCGAGCCTCTTCTAGACGGGCCAACGTCTTTTGCTTGATTTCGGTGATATTTTTCTTTGCCTGGAAAAAAGTTTGAGCAGCGATTATGCGAATTATACCTTTTCTTCATTGTACACGACGCCTTTGTTCGGGACCACAATCAAATGTAGTCCGTCTATGTTAGCGATCACCGGCTCAGTGTAGAGATTTTTCCACGGGATCTGGAAAAAGTCAATAAATGTATCTATAGCATTTGGCGTACCTTGAGAACCAACGATGACAAATAGCCAAACTTGAGCTTGATTGGGAGATCCAAGTCATCGAGGGCAGTCTCCTTCACTTCGAGGTTCTCAAGCTTCACATCGCCTAAAAACAATTTCACAGCTCAAAACGTAAACCATACCGCCCCAAATTCCAACATTGAGCTGCGACGAGTCGAGATTCTCGACGAAATCGCCGAGAAAGCGATTGAGTAGATCGGCTACTAGCGATTCAAACACCATCGCATATCTGGAAACGGAAGTATTGGCTCAAGGAAAGACGTGTGAAACGGGGCAAAAACATGGAACGGAACGAGCTAGGCAAATCGATGCGGCTGAATCAGAATTGCGGGTGGCCTATTGCTAAACGGCTCACCAACATGGAGCGTTCGCCGGAATGGCTGGGGGGGGGGGGGCGACCGGCGATTTCACCGCATATTATTGGCAAGGGTCCCTGCGAGAGGGGGCCGAGAATAACAATAATCAGGTGCTGGTGCAGAATCAAAAACAAACGCGGGTCGACAGAGCGAAACTGAACGCCTAGGTTTTGTAATTTTCCAGTATACTAGCGTTACAGCCTCTTATTTTCCAATTGTTTCCAATAGGTATATTGCTTGTAAAGACCAATAAAACGGCACATCTGGCCAAATTTTACGGAATACTATCATTAAAACCTTCCAATTCTCAAATTTCTAATCCCAAAACGCGCACAAAGCCCCCATAAAACAGCACATCTGTGCCAATTTTACAATCCGCTGCAGGGCAACCGCTAATTTGTGAGAAGCTCGTGGGAACGGGCCCCGCGGCTCGTTGTTTACCACAAAACCCTCCCAAGACCAAAAAAGGGACCAGACTAGGTTATTGACAGCCGAGCGGGCGGCCCAGTGCCCCACTCGTTGGGTCCATTTTTTGCGCTGTAAACAACCCGTAAAAGAAGGCCGAGTTCCCGAGTTCCCGAGAACTGGATCAATGTAGCGGTGGTAGGAACGGCGAAAGGTCCACCCGCACAGTTCAGCATCGACTCACTCAGCCGTGGCCTAATGGTGGACCTGCACGGCCAAAAAAAAGTTTTGCGAAATGGGAATTTGAACGGGTGGCTTGGGGGATGCAGGGTGGGGGGCAGGCGGCTGACTGAAAACAGCCCCCCAGTTGCTTCGCACAAACAGCCCAGGGAGGCCTGATTCGCGGGAGGTTGCAGGCGAAAGGCGAGCCGTTAGAGAGCCGGAATTGCAGCCAGCCCAAAAAGGATTCATTCCAGCACGCTGAAAGTGACACAGACGCAAAAGCGAAGAAAACGGCAGCCTATGCCGAATCACCCCCATCCGCACGCAGCATGGACGGCCCCCGAAAAAAGTGACGGACCTGGGCCAGGGATAGGACGGGCCATAAAAAAACTAAAACTTTGGAGAAGGGGTGAAAAGAAAGTAGTTTGGGATCTGTTTCAAAAAGACACGAAAATCGGGGAATAGAACAACGTTTTCCTATGCTTTCTAACACACCTTAGTTCATAACGCCGCATAATAAAGCCTCTATCCTTACTTGTAATTTTTTTTGCAGAGTAAAAACCCGAATTGTAAAAAAACTAGGTTGTTTGCGTCCTTTTGTTTTTTATTTCGTCGAGTACGCCCGCTTACGATCCACACTCGAAATTTAGAGGCAGGCTGCGTGCGCTTAGGCCGGCGAAATTCTGCGAGTCGATCATTTGAAAGGAATTCTTGAAATTAAAATAATTTTTTAACCTTGTTAACCAAAAAAATTGGCAAACACTCTTTTCTGCAATGTATCAAGCAGCTTGGGAAGAGCCCGAATCAACACTTGTCACGGTCTCTTTAGACTTCCGATGCGTTTAAAGTTGACATTTCTATGGTACTTTAAATATTTATTCTCTAACTTTCTTTGCCTCCTTGTTTATCCTCTGCAGAAATCTGCTGTTTCCTGCACCTTCGTTTCAAATGAGCGCCCACATCTGCCGTATCGGCCCCGCCTACCCCGGGTACTCGGGCGCGTCTTATCATTTCTGTCTTCGCGCCTTTAATCTCCGTCTCTAAACATTTTTTTATATTTTAAAATTGATTTTCGCAATTTCGAGGCACTATTTTGTAGATGGCCGCCGTGCCCGCCACGGAGAGGCACTATTCGGATGAAGAGGACGCTGAGGTTTGATAGTGAATCAACTTTTTAAACTTTTCATAGGCTCTGATTGACGGCACATCTGAGGTGAAGGAAAATGATGTGAAAGAGGTAAGAGCGGGCATGGGAGCCTGAAATTGGCCGTTTAGAAGAACAATGCGGAGAAGTCGAATGATCCGCTTTGCTCCGATGAGGAGGACATTGAGGTATTTTTTTTTGTTTAAAAGGTTAAAATTTCCTTAGGCGCTTTTCGGCGACGCAATTGATGAGGGCGAGCAGGAGGAAGATTCTAAGGTAATTTATCCAGTTAAATGATTGACCCATACTGTTTTCAGGATCTTTTTTGATGCGAAGGCGGCTTTTCCGGTCGACGGGGACAAGCTGGCTCGAAAGGGCGGCGAGGCTGATGCTGACCAAAAGCTGATCGCTGCCGGGACGCCCGCCAGAAAGGCCAGAAAAATCTTGAAATCACAAACGGTGAGGCACATGCGTTAATTTTTACAGATTCTTTAGCCCAAGGGTGTTGTTAACAAGGAGGATATCCCGCTTGAAATGAATGTGTGTCAGGTAAAAATAAAAAATAACTAAAAAACCGTTTGTTTAGCAATGCGGAATACGGATAGCCAAAGGACGAAACCAGGCGCAAAACACGCTTTTCTTGGTGCAGCATTCGATGGCGCACCTCGACGTTCGCCCCTATCAATGCTCGAGTAACTTTTCGTAGTCGATAATGAATTGAAGAATCACGAAAATAAATAAAAGAGTTTGTATATTTTTTCAGTCTGCGATTTCGTGGCGGCTCGTCACAAGCTGATTACTTTGCATCGCAAACGACAGCACGAAGGCGAGGGCTCGCACATTGACCACCGGTAAATTAGAAGACTTTGATTATTTTTTATTCGTTTAGTACACCGGTGTACTACGCCAAGCTGAAGCTGATGGTGATGACCAATTTCCCGTTGCAAATGAATGAGACCGAGCGGCATGTCTCGAACCAGTTGAGCCAGTTCAGCGACAGCCTGTCGATACATATGGATGTTGAGCGGGAAGTTGAGAAGAATCAGTGCCAGGTGATTGACCGTTCTTTTATAAGTTTCTTACTTCTGCCAAAAAATACGGAATTTATCAGGAATTAAAAAAGAGATAACAACAATAAAACGTTGTTTGAGTTATGCGGCAAGAAGATCACGCTGCAAAAGGATCCCTGCATCAACACCATCTGTATAATGCAACATTCGATGATACACATCGATCACAAGCCGTTCAGCTGCCCGCGTAAGTTATTTTTTTCGATTTTGAAAAGTTTTGAATATTATTTTAATGGTTTGGTTGTTTTAATATTTTAATAAATTTAATTTCTTTGCAGAATGCGGCATAACGAGTCGCGCCAAAGACGAGGTCCGCAAACACCAAATCCGTGTCCACGGCGAGGCCGAGGAGGTCGTTGACGGAAGGTAAAACCCCCTTTAAAAATATTACAATCACTATTTGGAACGATATTAATTCCAATAATCAACAATTAAAATAAAAAAAAAGCAATAAGTAATTCGTATTTTAGAAGCGAAGTCTACTTCAAGGATCTGCTCGACATGTCCAAGGCCAATTTCCCGCTCCAAATCGAGGAGCTCGAGGTCCGCATGGAGTTTGTGAAGAGCAAGCTGCGCGAATTCGGACCAATCAAATCCAAGCCGGACACCTCGGAGAAGACCTACAGGGCGAAACCCTGGATGAAGCGGCAACCACCAGGACGAAAAGGCGGGCCACAGTGGAAGGCAAAGCAAGAGCGGAAGCAGCAGCGGGAGCTAAGAGCTGGTGAGGCTGCGGTGGATTCTCCTGCCGCTGATTCACCATCTACTGACCCGCCTCCGGTGAAACGGCGTCGCTCTCAGCGCTCCCGAAACAACGACGCGCTGAAGGAGTTCTACAAGGAGTTCGGGCTTGAAGGTATATTTTAAATATTTTTTTATTAAGATTTTTTACGATTGTTTTAACTTAAAACTTTTACGTTAAATTTTCTTTTCGATAATATGTCACTTTTCAGATGTCTCTCCTATCAAGTCACCACCAGCTTCGACGAGCCGAGCCAGGGCCACGCCGAGCGTGTCGCCGGAAGAGGTTGGCTAATAACTAAAATTACTAGTGATAAATTTTAGTCATTTCCGCACAAAGAATCTAACCCGATGGACCTTTTGCTGGCCGATCTTCATGAAAGCGCGAAAAAGGCGGATTCAGGTAAGGTTTCTGAGAAATTCCTTTCATTTTTCGGTTTTTAGCCAACAAGCCCTCTCGTTCGGGCCAAAGTGCGGCTGATACCTCGGCGGTGAGTGTTTATCAACTTAGAACAGGTTAATTATTTTAAATACTTAGTTCTAATTCTTTAAATTTAAGTTTTTTTTCAGGCGTCCATCGAAGCGATAAATCGTTTGAAGCGGATGCTCGAAGACACGGAAGACGGGCACCAGGCCCCCGGCGACGAGCAGCAGGAGCACGTCGATGATCTGATGGCCCTTTTCGGTTGGTTTTTTTAGACTGTATTATGATTATTTTGAAACTTTTAAATCCAACTAAAACTCCCGATTTCAGGCCACCGACCGGCCAGCAACGATACCGCCGAATAACCCCCCCCCATCCATCATTCCAACTTCCTTTTCCAGTTTTCACACATAATTCATGATTTACTTTTTTGCTACGGGTTGGCACGTCAGTGTTTCTTGCTTAAGTTTTTTTTGTTCTATTTGCAATTGTTATTTTTATATATTTTTTTCACAAAATAATAAATGTTGATTGGCTCTCAATGACAGATAATGCAGTAGAAGAAAAAGGAAGGCCTTTATTCGATCGTGATATCGCGCTTTTTCAGGGTGACAGTCACCGAGTTTGGGGCCACCGTCATCCACCCTTTGTAGCTGAGGGTTTTCTGAAAATTGTTGCAGAAAGCAGTAACGGGTTGCCTCAAAATCTTAAAAAAATACCTCAAATCCAGAACCGGGTAGCAGCTCGTAATCCCTCAAAAGATAGGCCATTGCCAGCTTTTCTTCCATTAACGCAAGGCGCATTCCTGAATTAATTAGTTTGTTAAATAAACATTACAAAGTTGTTATTTATTAAAAATATTGCTATCGTTTGTTTAATTCAAAATATATAACTTTTGACCCACCAACACATTGCCTGGGCCCACCGCCAAAAGCCACGTACGCGTCTTTTTGCTCGGGGTTCAAGCCTTGCCATCTTAAACTTCTAATAAATTCAATTTTTATTGAACCACCGGTCCGGGTTGAACTCCTCGGCGTCGTCGCCCCAGATTTCCGGATCCGTTTGCAGGGTGTACGCGTCAATCTAATCATATTTGAAATAAAACAAGGCTTGAAAAACCTGCACAAAATCGCCCTTCTCGAGCTTGACTCCGCCTAGTTCTAGATCGTTGCCGGCAACTCGGCCAATTGCTCTGTAAATTTTTGGAATTTTTATGGTTTTAATTTCCCCTACGTCGTCGCCAATGGGTGTAGCCGAAGCGCTTCCTTGAAAACCGCATCCATCAATTTCAGCTCACCAATTTGCTCGTAAGAAATGTCCTAAAACTTGAACTTTTCAAAAGCTTTTTGTGCCAACCTTATCGGGGCAAACCTGCTCGATTTCCTCTTGCAATCGTTTTTGGATCTAAACATTATTATAACGAGTGAAAAGTGATGATATGCTGTGGTTTATTAGAATTTTTACTTCAGGGTTCTTCGCCAAGTACCAAGCCGTGTAGGACATCGAATTTGCGGTCGTGTCGAATCCGGCGAACAAGAAAAGGAAGCATGAGAAGAGGATTTCATCCTCAAGCATGTGCCGAGTCTGGAACGGTATCGTTTATTAATATTGAACCTTAATTTTGTATTTTTAACTATAGTCAGTAAGGTTACTCAGATTTTAGCTTTAAAAACTCAAAATGCCGCTCTTTCTTATCTTCACGCTCACTTTATCCCCCACTGATGGCTCGGTCATCAAGCTGTCAAGGGTGCTGGGACGTCCCTATTAGTACCACGCCGCGACACCATCTCCCATCCTCCGTTGTGGTCTAGTGGTTAGGATTTATGGCTCTCACCCATAAGGCCGGGGTTCGATTCCCCGCAACGGAAGAATTTTTTGCGTTTTGAGAATTGGCTCTCGTCTGGAATGCCTAGCACGATGATAAGTTGTGAATTTTATAAAAATCGTCATAGCGCTAATTCTTAGCATTTAGTTTTTCGAAAAAGAGCTAGAATGAAGTTGCTAATTTGATTTTTGGTGGAAAATTCTTATCAGAAGTGGTGGGAATACGAACTTTCGCAAAAAAAAAAGTCAGAGAAGAAGCTGTCAATCCGTTCGGAGACTCAATAACCAGCTTTCCGAACCTCACTCCCATCCTCCGTTGTGGTCTAGTGGTTAGGATTTATGGCTCTCACCCATAAGGCCCGGGTTCGATTCCCGGCAACGGAAGAAGCTTTTGCTTTTTGAGGGGAAAGGGTACATTTTTGCTGACTAATTCGGGGTCGAAAAACCGCCGACCTGAACTTCGTTACGGCTCATCCCAGCCTCTGCCTTCAAGTCAACGTCATCCGATTTAGCGTCAAGGAATAAATCGATAAAATCGGGTCTTTCCTTTTGAAAATCAGCCGGTCTGGACTCCTAAAAATCACATAATTCGAGACTTCACTAGCAGTAAACCTTTTCCTTCGTCCTTTCCTTCAGTATGCGCTTGATTCGGAATAGGATCTTCAGGGCCTCAAATTGTGTGCACAGGGCAACGATGATGAACGCTTTGCGGAAAAACTGATATTAAAGGGGAAAGCGATGCGTTCTAGCTTTTACCTTTGTGAAAGCTGGAATGGCGGCAGCTAGGAATATTAATGGTTCTCGCGGGTCTCTTCCGAACGCCTAAATTCAGCCAAAAATTTAGAAAAATCAAAACATACCTTTTTAATGCCAGCTAAAGAATTGGGTTTTCCGATTTTTGTCTCATCCTGGCCGAGGGCTATTCGGCAAATCGTGTCAAGGGTATATTCTTGGAAATATCTAGAAAAATGAATTGTTTTAGTAAATTGCTGTTATGGTACTCACACTAAAATATCTATTTCTTGTCCTTCTACTTTGGCAAATTGCTGCATGAGTTGTTTTGCAGAATCATCAATGGTATGAAGTACCTAATAAGCTTTTTTTATGGTTTTAAGACATTTTTTTTTTGCTCTAAACTATGGTGTGTGTTACTTTACTATGCTTTTTCTAGATGAAAATCACCTTTTTCAAGCTATTATTCGAAAATTGGGGTGATACAAGCCCGCGCAATCTTTTCCACCTGGCGCCCCAACTGTCAACGAGGTGCGCTTCGGAATCGTTGGGTCCCGGTTGGAATAGCATTTGGACCTGCAAAAAAATGGAATTTAATGCATTTCGCTCTCTCTCTCTCTCTCGCCCTCGCTATCTCCCTTTCTCTCGCTACCCCTCCCCCTCTCTCGCTCTCTCTTTCTCTCTCTGTCTCTCTCTCTGTGTCTATCTCTCCCGATTTCTCTCTCGCCCTCTCTATCTCCCTTTCTCTCGCTACCCTACCCCTCTCTCGCTCTCTCTCTTCTCTCTCTCTCTCTCTCTCTCTCTCTCTCCTCTCACCTTCCGCTGCTGAAATTCATCAAATCGCGTGCTCAGCACCTCTCGCACCAATTTTACGTCGGAAATAACCAAAACGTTCGTCACGCCCTCTTGATACCCCCAAATCTTTCCGAATTTCTAAACAAAAACCGTCAATCTGTCAAATTACTCTAGACCTTCGTGTAAATAGGCAATTCTCGGAACCATGGCTTCGTCGGGTTGATCGTTTTCCACAGGATTCCAAGTAACGGTGTTGATTTTAGGTTCGGGATGCCCTTTTCGTCCCAATACCCCGTTCTCTTACTAGCCCAATGGAAGTAGTAGGAAAATAGAACAATTAAAAGCGAAGCTAGTATCAAAAGTATCATTTTAAATAGGAAAATACAGCGGGATTAGCAAGGGAAATCGGGGAAATTTTTGACCCACCGATCGGCGGGGCGGGATCGATTTTTGGTCGGGTTGCAGACCGGTAAAAAGCGGAAAAGCAAATAATTCGGCCCGGGCAGCTGACCTTGAGTGATGTGGGGGCAGATTTGTCATGAGAGGATCCAAACAAATCACGAAGTCGTACAAATCTTTGAATTTGGTTGAATTTAAGGGAAACTCAATAAACTTTCATCGATTAGGAAAAAAAAAGATGCATTATATTTGATGTTTCAGAGCGTACAAACACGTTGTAAAATTTTTGGCGTAAAAAACCTTTAATTTTGCCGGATATGCTGAAGGTTTGACACATTTCCAATACAGGGTGTCCCAAAAAAAAAATCCCCCTACCTAGCGGTCCGCAGTCAAGTCCGATTTTTATGATTTAACTACCCATCGATAGCTCTCGAAAAGGCGAGAAAACAAGCGGGTCTCGTTTTTTAAGATTTAATCTAATTCCATCGATATTTAAGGTTTTTCTAAAAAAACTGGTACTTTTTCAACAGGAATTTGCAATTAGCATGCAGATCCTGCACAAATTAGCAGTTTTCATGGTTTTTGGACGTAAAATTAGCGAATAAAAATGCATAATAAAGAAAATGAACCCTCCTTGTTTTCTCGCCTTTTCGGGAGCTTTCGATAGATACCTAAATCGTAAAAATCGGAATCGACTGCGGACCGCTAGGTAGGGGGGGTTTTTTTTGGGACACCCTGTAGATTCCGATACAGTACAAATGACTGTACACATTTTGGAGCATTCTTGTAATGAAAATTGCGCACGCATAAAATGGTTCTTTGAAAAACAACGACTAGAATGACTTCAAAGGGAGAACAAATTTCGTGAATCGTGTTTCGAAATTTTCTTGCCCGTTGGTTGTTGGGGATATTTATTCAAATTTAAAGCACTCTGGCGGCTCGATGCCGGTTTGGTGATAGGCGTTGTTATAGGCGTTCGAGTGAATGTAGAACGGGTGCCAGTTGGAGAATTGAGTCTGGTACTCCAGGATCTAAAACGGAGTTTAAAAGCTGTAAAACGACAGAAATTGCTTAAGTTAGACTTAAGCTCGGGTCTAGGCGTAGGCTTAGGCTTAACTTAGCTTTGGCGACGTACTTACCCATTCCCGATACGCTTTCAAAAATGGCCGATGCGCCTCCTCCATGCACGTCTCGCCAAAGTACTGGAACTTCATAATTTTAACAAGAAAAGTTTAAACTTACTTGTGGATACTTTATTGCCAGTGTTAGATTAAGAAAAAGACAAAATAGAATAAATTGCCCGGAAATCATTTCCTATAGAATTTCGAGGTCTGGCCGTCGAGATTCGGTGTTTCATTTGGGCGAATCGATGGTTTCGGCAGCTGCTCAAATAATTCCCACCAACTTCCGAAATTTTCAGGAAAAACGGTTCTCCGCGAATTGTTGAAGATTTGACAAATTTAATAGCACTAGATAAGGCCCTAACCACTTATTTTTCAAGACACAAATTTGAAAAATTAAAAGTGGAAATTTTGTATTTTTAGGAGTTTTTGTTGTTTGTCCATTTCTTTAATTTGATTCTGCGATCAATTACGCGTTTTTTATCACAGTATCTTTATACGTTGTCTCCTTCACGATGTGATATAATTTGGTGGTAATTACAAGCGATAATAGCACTCAAGATATAGGCCAGCAGGAATAAGGAATGTCGGCGAAATGCGAGATTTTAAGTCCAAAAATAGCACTAAAATATTAAAGCTGTAATTACAATAAAAGATATAAAAATGCATAATTTTTTACAAATCCCAGCTGAAAAGGTGGTGTTTGATTAGCATATCTCGTACGCCTTCGCGTAGAGGTTCATCTCCCACCAGTTTTTTGTCCGTGGGGGGAGGTGACTGAGTTCATCATCTAAAATTTATGTGATTTAGGCTGTGAAGTATGTAAAATTTGCAAATTTCAAAACTTACCTTGTACTTTGCGCTATTCAACATGCCAAATCTCTTCTTTTTCGTCTCGGCGCCGTCAATTTCGAAGGTTGGCGACAGTTTGAAGGCGAATTGGGCGAGTAGGCGGAGGTCGCATTTAATCTGGAAAATTTTTACTCGATACTTACTAGCGTCAAAGTATAGAATTTTTTCAGTGCTAACTTCGCGCATTTATAAGTTTTGTTAACTGCGAATCGCCTCAAAATTTACCCTATTTTCATGCTTTTCAAAATTCGAATATTAATGCGAGCATGAGAGCATTCAAAAGTATAACTGAAGCGCCCGATTACACAAAAAACTTCCATCTGATTAGCTCGACTCCGCCCAGTTGAACGACAGCTGTCGTGGACACCCCAAATCCCCAGAAAAGCTCTTCAACCCTCCCCCTCCCATCCTCCGTTGTGGTCTAGTGGTTAGGATTTATGGCTCTCACCCATAAGGCCGGGGTTCGATTCCCCGCAACGGAAGAATTTTTTGCTTTTTCGGGAGATGCTTCGAGAACGTGTATGGAGTACCTTTTCAGGCTAACCACGAGCAGCTTCTCCTACCTGTCGCCAAGCTGGTGTCCTGATGAAGGCCCAGGAGTGGTAGAACTTCTTTCTGATCTCCTCTTGCGCCGGGCTGCCGCACAGGATTTCAAACCATAGGTGGAGACACTGCTCGTTGGCCCCTGTCACAAGTAGTGATCTGGAAAAATGATTACATTTAAAATTACACGATCAAAATCCAGGTTGGAAAATCCTTAAGGGCTGCGCACTACCTCAATTTTACATCCTGATGTGCGTTGACAGCATTATGAGAATCGTTGACTTCTTGGACCGATCGGAAAAGCAGCTCTTCTGGCGTTAAGACCTAAAAACATTGCTTTTCAGGGTATCCCAACGTTATTTTTCCCCGCCTTTCCATCCTGGTCCAATTTAAAGGTGTTGCAAAGCGTCAATCTCGAATATACAGCACTGAACTGCTTCTGCACCGAGTAGTAGGCGACGTCTTCTGAAATCAGAGTTAAAGCCGTTAAAAGTTGCTAAAACTTGCTGAAAAAGCTGAGCACCTACCTATGAAAGACCAGGGGTGGAAGGCTGTTGTTGGATAGAGATTGTTCTCTCGGATTCCGTGTTCCATCACCTAGAATTGGCAAATTGAGGTCCCAGGCAGACAAGGCAATCGTGCATTGATGGAAAGAGAAAACGTGAGGGTGGGAGAGAGAGCGAGCGAGAGAGAGAGAGAGAGAGAGTGCGAGAGAGAGAGGGAGAGAGAACAAACGATACCTGTCGAAAAGCATTTGCCAGCCGCCCTCGAATATATTCGGTAATTTCAGGCGAGATCACTTCATCGCCGTAGATGGTATAGTTCTTGTTGCCCTCGTCGACCACCTAGCGGACCTTGGAAGGTATCGTACCGTACTTACCTCTACAAATTTAGCGGGGAACCATCCACGGAGTCCATTGACTTCACCGACCCAACAGTGTTCGTCTTTCTCGGAGATGATGGTGATTATGTCGTTTTTTCTGTAAATCGAGATAAGAGAAAGCGAGAGAGAGAGAGAGAGAGAGAGAGAGCGAGAGCGCGATCGATAAAGAGTCTGACTTACCTAAATCCAAGCTCGTCCTCATCTTGCCTAGCAAAATCGAGCAAAGCTCTCGCCTTTTTCCTTCCCACCGTCACGGCAGCTTGAAACTTCTCCACGTCTTTCACATGTGATTCTGGACTATAATCGGCCTGGAAGAGCGATGATGGGGTTTCGAAACGCCACTATGTACCTGCGTAGTAATATTCAACTCCATATCCTCATCACAGTTCATGAAATATCGGCAAATCTGGAGGATGGACTCCTTGAGGTCGACGAGGATCTCGGTTTGCCGGATGTTTTTGGTTTTGGGGTCCTCTGCCTTCTGAACGGATATGAATTTATTGAATTTTCTGTCGATCGCTCTCTCTCGCTCTCTCTCTCTCGCTCTCTCTCTCTCTCTCTCTCTCTCTCTCTCTCTCTCTCTCTTCTCTCTCTATGTCTCTCGTAAATATTCACACGCCGTCCTCAGCTCGACAAAAATTGATTTTTTTTCCGAATTTCTCGCCAAAGACGTCTATAAAATACCTACATCTTTTGAGTTGAAAATTTGCGATATGATGCTCTTGTTTCGGGTTAATTTCCTGCGCTGCATTTTCTGTTTTGGGAGATTTGTGTCCGTGGCTGTATTGACGATTAGCCCATGATCGGCCATGATTATCGCCTAAAATTGTGTTAAATTTGAGGTTATTAAACGCGTTTAAGAAGAGTTATTCATTTTCAAAACTCATTATTTCTCCATACCTGATGCTTTTTCCTCAGCTCTGTCAACAAATGGTCCGTAATAGTATACTCGAATGATGTCATATATTCCATTAACTTATCCACATCATCAATCTTGAAAAACGTGGCATTATTTTTATGTCGTAAGCTCTCAAACCTTAGCCGGCAGCTGTGTGATAGCATTAAAAATGTCGGCCGACGATTTGGTGAGATAGGCAATGTCCACAATTTCCTCTTCTCGCATTTTTAAGGCCGAGATTATTGTCTAAAACCATTCTTTAAAAGCCAAAAATTTTTTAATACCCGAAATATCGAAACTCCGCCCATATAAAATATCATATCCCAGACTCTTAATAGAGTTTTTGTCTTGAGAACCGATGCAAAGAGGGTGAGCAGCCAATTGACAGTAACGAGCGAGATCTCGACATCGTATTCCTGGAAAAGGATGTGTCCTAAAGCAATTCCGGCTTGGTTTTAGGTCTAGTTGCAAATACTTTTCATTCCCTCAAAAAGCAAAAAATTCTTCCGTTGCCGGGAATCGAACCCGGGCCTTATGGGTGAGAGCCATAAATCCTAACCACTAGACCACAACGGAGGATAGGGGAGTGGTTCGGAAAACTGTTTATGAAGCCTCGGAACGAATTGACAGCTTCTTCACTGCTTTTTTGCGAACTTGCGTATTCCCATGACTTCTGATAACAAGTTTCTGCCAAACGGAGGGTAACAGCTTCATTCTAGCTTTTTTCGAAAGATAAAATCTTATAACTACCTCCAGACCCATTTTTATAAATTTCCGAACTCACCATCGCCATCCGAATCACTTTCTCCCATCTTCCCATCCCCTCCCAATCTTTCAAAAGCAAAAAGTTCTTCCGTTGCGGGGAATCGAACCCCGGCCTTATGGGTGAGAGCCATAAATCCTAACCACTAGACCACAACGGAGGATGGGGGAAAGGCGCGGGGTGGGGTACTAATGCTTAGCGCTGCCCTTCGAGATTGGCAGCTGCCCGCGGAGGGGGATTCCCTCACTCAATACACCCACCTCGAGTGATCGGAACAAATCGGGGACGTGCGTTTTCATCAAATGGCTCGCCACGCGTTCGTCTGCCTGAAATTTTGAGAAATGTATACCTTAAGTAATAAAATAAGGAAATGTAAATTGGCTTGTTTAGGTTAATCTTACCTGTAGCCCTAGTAACGATTGGGAATAGTAGTTGGCCGGCAGTATATCCCTCTATTAATGCGGCCATCATCCAAAAAGTGGTTTCTTCGGAGCAGAAGAGTAGTAGGTTGGACACGACGACACCCATTCCTTGGCAATATCCAAGATCAGGGTAGATGTAGGCGATCGCTTTTAGGAGTCTAAATAGCCAGTTTTGAAAGCGATAGAGAGGTCGCGAGAACGAGAGAGAGAGAGAGAGAGAGAGAGAGAGAGAGAGATATTTTGATTTATCACCTCCGCAACGCGTCTATACCCGGCGAATTTTTCTTCCAAAAGCAAATATTATTTGGTAGCGTTCGGAGTAAATCCCGCTCTATCTAAAGTTTGAAGTTAGAATTTCGGGATTTTTCTGTTCCGTCCGAATACCTGCACCCCAATCGTGGGGTTGTCTTTAGCCGTCTGGCGTAGCACATCGGAATAAGAATACCCGGCTTGTTTTTCTTTATCAAACGCTCCGATTAGCCGTGGCCATAGGTATGGTCGCATCGAATGAGGGATCCCGGAGTGCTAAATCGCCCATTTTTATTAAGTTTGCGACCTTTTAGCCTTTACATACCTTAGGACCTACAGACGTATTAAAAATATCGCTTCAGACTAATTATATACCTTAATCATAGCCTCCATTTTCTCGCCTCGAATTTTATCGATGTCCACTTTTGCCCAGGTGAGCTCCTCCTTCAAGTCGTGCGCAAATTCAAGGTGTGCCACCCATTTTAATCTGTTAAATCGAGCCGATTTTGACGAAAACTATATTAAGCCTTACTTTTCCGACGAATCTTCCACCGGAGAATCATCTTCAAACGGGTTCTGGTTTAGAGATCGAAACCCGAACTGATCAAAACTAAAAACTCCAACTTTTAGGGCCCTCTCGAAGCAGACTTACAATTCTTTCGGATCTTCTATGTAAATTGGGATTAGCTCTTTATTTATCGCGGAAAATGGCTTGCCGGAGAGCGAGAAATAAGAGGTGTGGATCGGGGCGTCGAGCTAAAAGTTTTGCATAGGCTTAGGTTAGGCTTAAGCTTAGGATTTGCTTAATCTACCTCTTTCGACGTCTCGCATATTTTTCTCGAACTCCTCGGGCACTCCTCCTCATCGTCATCCACCACGCAATCCGCATTTTTTGCGTCCTTCCCTAAACATAATTTTTTTAAGAATTCCGACGATTCCAAGGAGTTCAATTAAGCTCGACCCTCCCAAAAAAACGGACCTTTCTTGTACTTGGCCATCAGCACGGCTAGCACTCCGCCTGAAAAGCAAACAGACACCATTATTTTTGGGAGGCACCCAGAAAAAGAAAGCTCGGCTTTATCAAAATTCCGCAAAAAAGCGCGGCAAACATTGGCGGAATCGCATAAAGGTGTCATGACATTTTTCGACCCGGATGGTTGAGGAATTTGGTGGGAAAATGACGTTTAAAAGATCGAAAATTCGGCATTTTATGATCTGAAAAATGAAAGGGTTTTCAGAGAACGGGCGACTGAGCGAATTATGCAAACTATTTAAAAAAATACTCAAATGAACTTGGAAAATTAAATTCAACGCCAAAAAATTTAAAATTTGATAAAACGCTAGGTTTTGGACTTAGATCATTTAAAAAATATAGAATATCATATACAAACGGCAACTACATTTTCATTTTAGTATATGTAAAAAATGAACATTAAAAAAAGAGAATAGAGCGGAAAAAAGGTTAAAAATATGTTGAATTAGCAAAAATTTCCATAAAAACAGAGCGAAAAACCCGCGAAAAATGACGCGGCCAACGTTAACGCACAAAATATATCGGAAAAGAAATTCTGAATTCCGCTATTTACCCTGATCCATTTTTCAAGCAGCAAGTAGCAAGAACTAAAAGTAGGAACAAGCAGCAAAAATCCCCATAAAACATGCCCACTAAAAATGACGTGCACCCTTTGGGGGGATATGTATAGGGGGAGGGCCCTGGAGGGGCCCGTGGGGCCGCCCCGCTTCTCCCCCCAGAAGCGCCGCGTGCCCTGCGTCTCCTCCTTCTTACGCTATCTCGATTTTCGGTTCTTTAGGATTCCCGGGGGGGGAAAGTATTCCCGGGGGGGGGAAAACAAATTTTTTTCGGCGAAAGCCTAGATTTTTGTATAAATTGCGGATGCGTTTCTAAATTGTTTTTAACTATCCCTGTGCATAAAAACTACACACATTTTAACCAAAAAAATCTAAAAAATTAAAAATTAGGTCGAAAAATAGACCCAAAATGACCAAATTTTCGACTTTTTCAAACATTTTTCTAAATTTTTCTGAAAGTTATTCTGCTTTAAATATAGTTAAAACTTACTAAAAACAATTCGAAAACACTTTATATTTGATTACTAGGTCAACCGGGACCACCAGGAAAAAATTGGTTTCCCCCCCCGGGAATACTTTCCCCCCCCGGGAATCCTAAAGAACCCGATTTTCAGAAATTCCGATTCCTCCAATTTCTTCGCCTCTCTAGCCACCTCCCGTTCTCTCGATTTTCTTAATGTTCAGTGTTCCCTCATGGCTAATAACGTGATGGACAGCTCGGCGATAGGGTTTCCGGTTGTTGCCAGGGGTTTTATGGATTTTTTGTCTTTTCTAGTATCATTAAATAGCTAGCAGACCTTGATTTTCAAGACTTTACCCTTAAATATTGTGAAGATATTTTTAAGGTACTGTTTTCTACAAAACTTAGACTGTTGTCACAGCTTGAGAGCCCTTTTTATGGCTATGTTTCTAAGCAACACCTCTAGGAATTGTAGATACTCAAAACTTTTGCTTTTAACGTTAATTATTTTCATTTATTTTTGATTTTGAACATTATTCATTACAGTAATTTATATTTTTTATCTGCAGTTTTCTTTGCAGGAATCCAGGTTAAAAGACGACGGAATCTTCGAAAACCCCGGAATTTTTGCTTCGTTAATAGGTGTACTGTGTAATGTACTTCGAAATCTTTTGGGTATATAATTCAAGTCAAGCTTACCTGTCAATTCGCTAAAACCCGTCCGCTCCACCGTAGCCCCCGCTCGCAAATAGATGGCGTGTGCCAGTGAGCCATTGCACGGCACGGGTCGGGTTCCTATTTACTCGCACACCTGGCCAGGTAAGTGCCACGAATTGTCGATTTTTTAGTATCGAATACTTCTTAATTTTAAGCACCATTAAAGCCTCCAAAATATCGACTTCTTCCTTAATTCCGTTACGCTACTGAGGACATATCGATATTTTCAGCAGCCAATTAACTTTCCAATTATATACCGAGGCCATGGTAGATTTTCTTCAGTCTCCGGCGGCCGTTTTTTGGTGCTTTAAGAACCATTGAAGCCTCCGTAGTACCCTTTTTACTCTTAAATTCCGCTACACTACAGAATACAGAAAAATTTAACCCAATCGCTTATATTCTACACCTTTCTTCTCGAATTCCGCAAGACTACAACGCACACCCAAAAATTTTAGCCCGCAACTTGCCAAATGGAGAGCGAGGTCCTAAGTGAGAGCTCGAGCACCATCGGTGATGACTGGTGAGTATAACTTAACCCTAAAAAGGATACCTATCGTAATTCCACGTTTTAGTGAAGTAGTACTGTTCAAGTAGGTGGTACATTTTACTTGTTTCTCCCGGGCTTGAGTTTTTCGGGTCGCAAAAATCAAAAAATTATTAAATTTTAGGGTAAAAGACGCCAACGGAAGCGGATCTGCAGATTCCTCGTCCGTGCGCGATGTGGTCGACGTCTTGAAGGAGTTCAGCTCGGTTGAGGGCTCACCGGTGCAAAAAGAAAGCGAGTTGCAAGCGAGGAAATGGATTGTAAGTTGGAGTTAGCGGAATTTGGGTGATTTTAAAGGGGGTAGAAAGTACGAGAACGGACGCCATGCATGCGCTAGGTCTCGACAGCTACGTTAAAGGTACACTAAAATCTCGTTCAAAAAGTTCGGTCGCGGTAGTAAATTTGGGCTCTCTGCCGCAGCTAAGCCGGCCCCGTCTTATTTCCTCTCCCCCTCCCCCTTCCCGTCTCTCCCTTGGCCTAGTGGTCCAAGGCGCTGCCCCAAGCTGGCAGTCAGGGTTCGGTTTTGCTCCGCGGCAAGCGCCTACCGTAACCCTGTTTGCTATCCTGCGGACGGTTACCGGCCGGTAACCAAACCAACGAGACTTTAGTGTACCTTTAAGCGCCTAAACACGGGTTAAATCAAAATCGCTTGGCACAGCGTGTTTTTTTCTAATGAAAATGGTGTAAATTGCAGTGAAGCGGAGCTGTCTAACCCAATGTCTAGACCTAGTAAATGCAAGTGATTGATTTTCGCGTTTTTTGCACCTTTAAAGGGACAGGCACGCCAGGAATTTATTAAAACGAAGATCTACAAAGCAAAAACTTTTATTTAGCGCCTCCTCGGCATGGCAAATCGACCTGACCCCCTCTCCGACTGGGATCAGCTCTACAACCTCAAAAGTCAAAGCCAATTACGGTAAGAAACGGCTACGGTATTTAAAACTGTTCCTAACCTTTAGAAATGACTGTCGCATTCTGGCAAAACAAACTGGGAACACCAAATCCGTCCCTGAACTTGAGTCATTTTTGACGTTGTACTGTAAGAAAAGGAATATGGACTACGATGTAAGTGAATCTAGTACTGCCCTAAAAAGCAAAAACAAATCGCATAAAATTTATATTTTTAGAAAGATTCCGGCTGGACTCTCGTACTGAAAAGCTGCTAAAGTTTGACTACCCGATGGAGCACTTGTTCAACATCTTCTTCGGGTTGACGACGAAATATATGCCAAGGTGAGGAAATTTTAAAGACATGCTTAGTTGGCTTAGTTTAGGCTTAGCTTACACAAAACAAAGGAATTACTGTCATTTTTCCACAAAATCATTTTTCCTAAATTCATTTTTCCTAAATTCATTTTTCCTAAAAATCATTTTTCCTAAAAATCTTTTTTTCCTAAAAGTCATTTTTCCTAAAAAGCATTTTTTATAAAATTCATTTTTCCTAAAACCGGTTAAATATCGAAAAAGTCTCGGTTCTTTAGTATTATGCATCCAAAAATCGAAATTTTTTTATAATAGATTTAGATATGCCTAGAATGGTATTTCTTCATCTTGCATAATTACCATTTCGCATAACGCTATTTCGCATAATTGCATTTCGCATAATTTTTATTCCGTATAACGGTGATTTCGCATAACGATGATTTTGCATAACCGCTTATTTCGCCTAACGGCGATTTCGCATAGCGGTTATTTCGCCGAATCGTGATTTCGCATAACGATCATTTGGCATAATTTTCATTTCACCTAGCGATGATCTCGCATAACGTTTATTTTGCATATTTTTTAGTTAGTGGCAACCAAGAGCAAAACAGGGCGTTTTTGATGATATGAAGTGTAATCACGGTATAAGACAATCGAAATGCCTAGCTACCATTTACGCGGATTCCGCATCTGTAATCAGTGTAATGCTTTTGACCTAGATTTGCGGTCAGATTTGCTAGTTTACACAGGGATACTATCTACAAAGTAGCATTTTTGGCAAAGCCCTTCAAAAACAGACGTATACCTCATGGGTCATGGATTTTGAGCAAGCTTGGGATATCTGCAAGGAAGCGCGCAAAAAACCGCGCAGGCAGATTCTTTTTCATCGATGGCTGATTACTAAGCTCGAGTTATATATATACAATCGACTGCCAATGGCGGAAAGTATGCGAAATGGCGGTTAGGCGAAATCAAAATTATGCGAAATGGTCGTGTAGGTGAAATGAAAATTATGCGAAATGATCATTATGCTAAATCACGGTTAGGCGAAATCACCGTTATGCGAAATAAGCGTTATACGAAATAAGCGTTATGCGAAATCACCGTTATGCGGAATCAAAATTATGCGAAATGCAATTCTGCGAAATGGCGGTATGCGAAAAAGAAAATTATGCGAAATGAATGGAAATCGCCTAGAATGGTCATGGGAAGTATTTTAGTTGCGCGTTTAGGCCTAGATTTGGTGATTTGAAGTAGAAAAAGGATCAATGATAATAAGAAAGATTTTCGATAAAGCCTATTAATAACCAAACCGAACAAATACTGCTTAAAAATGACAACATTTGGTCTTCCTTGATGTTTTTAGCATCCCTATTGAATGAAAAATTTTAGGAAAAATGAACATAACCCAAAAGAAAGTAATCTAACGTTTCAGGGAAACCAAGCCGGGCGCTCAGGTATTTGACCTGTTCCGACTCCTCCTACAGTACCACGAACCGGAGTTGTCGTCGCATTTGGAGTCTATTAAGTGCTCCCCACACACTTATACCAGGTAATACAAGCATAAGATTTTCTACACGATTTTGTAGCCTTGAACTAAGTATGCCCATGCAAATTTCAGGACCTGGTTTGCCTCCCCATGCCTGCGCAGTTGACGATGAATCTTGCGGTGTACTTTGGGACTTGTACAAGAAAGGGACGTACTACAGGGAGAGCCCACGAGAGAGCGAGATAAAGAGCGACAGAACTCATTCAACATTTTCAGGGCGATCCCTTCCTCGTCTTCTTCCTCGCCCTGGCGATGACCATCAACGCGAAGGAGCAACTTTTAGCATACACGAAAGATCAGCGGTTAGTTGATCAGAGCTATTGGTCCAGATAAAAGATATTATTAATTCAGAGACCAAATTAAAGCATACGTTTTAGGGAGGAAGCCGTCAAGCTCCTCTCCGAACTTCCGAAGCCTGACGGTAGATGACATCCCGGATTTCATCGAAGTCGCCTTGTACTATTCGCTCCGGACACCGCAGTGCTTGAGAGAGGTGAGAGAGAAAGCGAGATAGAGAGAGAGGAAAGAGAGAGAGAGAGCAAGTGAGGAGAGAAATCAAAAACAAGGTTCAGGACTTCCACGGAACCCTCTTTGAGCGAATCACTCGACGATTTTGCCGAAAAATCGATCAAACAAAGAATATCCTTGTCGGTGACGGCCAACGAACTCTTGCGGAAAGATTTGAATACCGCCATTGAAGCGGTGAGTGCCTTTAACTTTCATATAAACGAATGCTAAACAATGACCATAAGGTATCCATAAAGTACAATATAAAATTAGAAACTCTCCAATTTTGTTAGATGCTCCCCACCTCGTATTTTGTCATCGATTGTCGAAGTGAGGAGGCATTTCGGGCTGGCCAAGTCCACGGATCATTCAATCTCGATGCCCAATTGGTAAGTTGAGGTGTAATTTGGAGCGTAGCGTTGCGATATATCTCTTATGGTTTTTACATAACTTTTTATAGTTTGTCGACGCCCCTGAACACTTTGCGATGGCACATAAGGCCCAAGAGGAGTACAAATCGGCTCAACACCCGGAGGATCACTACTGCTTTCTAGGTAGGGTTATTAAAATTTTAACAATGATATAAATGTTATAAACTTTCATTCAAAAATATAAAGATTAGAGAGAAGATATCACAAACATAATAAATGTATACCTTTTCAGGCTACGGCGACCCCGAAAAGACCAATTTATGAACATGGTGATCTCGAAATTCTTGAGGGACGGAAAGATGCATGTTTCGTACTTGGAGGGGCGGTTATAAAGGTATATCTTCAGGCTAAATTGTGAATGTTTTGATTATTCAAAAAAACCAGCGAAAATTCATACTCAATTAAATCACGTAGGACTCCACCAAATGTCACACGGAAGCCGGGCGACTACGCGTCATGTTCTTCGCACGATCCCCCGCGATGTCCGGAATGCAATACCGGAAGCCCGACGAAAAGCACATGGGTGTGTGTTAGAACGTGTTGTTTGTAGCTTGACATACTCAAAAAATAGACTGAACTTTAAAATCGAAAATGTCTGCACTTTTTCAAGAAACGGGCGGTATTTTGACCCGTTTCAACTACGAAATTTCAGGGTCTTGTCGGCATGATGAAAATGCAATGATCAACAAATCAGCGGCTGTTAAAGAAAAGGTTTTCTCAAACCTCGACCCATTTACCGTATCCCTAAAGGTCCAAGAACTCGTCCAAACCCCGCCCCCAGAGTCATTCCGGCATGCCGACACGAAGGATAGGCATGGCAAGAAGTATAAGGTATGCGACAAACTTCAAAAAAATTAGAAAAGCCCAAAAAACTAAAATAAATACGTTATTTTTATATTTTAGGCGTCAGAGACAATTTTGCAGGGGCTGCGAGAGGTTAGAATCGGGGATTTAGGGAGATTTTCTCTGCAAGAATTTTGTTTTGGGTGTCAAGGTTCATTTTCTGGGATCGGGCAATTAAAAAATTGGTTAAATACAAATTTAGAGCGAAAATCCGTATTCTCGCTCGATGACGATGGCAGCGACGACGAACCCTTCGCGTTAAAACCCGGAAAAGCCAAGCCGGACACGGAAAAGGCAAAAGTAAGTGCAAAATATTAAAATTATGATAAATAATTGATTTTTAGGTATCGCTAGAGTCATATCTGGCCCAAGCCGATGTGCTAGAATGCTTTGAATGTCAGGAAGTGATGAAGGGCGGCCTTTGATACCTTCACATATCGCGCTAACTCGCACTCAGTATGCATATCCTTCATGATGTCCTTGGAACGGTTAGTTAAACAAAAACTATATAAAATAACCTTATTAAGCATTCGAATATATCTAAAATACTTTTTAATAACAAAAGTCATACTTCAAACCTTATTATTAAACTTTGAACCATGCCACAAACGATACTCTACCTGGCGCCGCTAATTAAAAATTATAATAAAAAAAAGTTATTCAACCTTAAATCTATCAAAAAAAAATCATATTTCTATTTCTATCATAACTCATTGTGCTATATAAAATAATATTTTAGTCCGGCGTCGTTACCACTGAATTCCGCCATCCCTCCAAACTGTCATCCGCGTTACCAGCAAAGAAATTCCCCGAAATCCTCACCCTTCAAGTTTGGCTACGAAGTATCGCCCGGAGAGAATACTATTAATGCGTCGCACAGGTAAAAATAAAACTTTATACATACTTACCAAAAATGTATAGATTCCTCGTCCCAAAGGCTGGCGAGTGCGCAAAGGCCGTAAAAACGTTCATCTTCCAGCTAAGGCCACTTCCCGAAGAATAATTCCGTTAAATTACCCTTAAAGACCGAGCTTTCAAGACAAAATGGCCAAAACAAAAAAAAAACATGGTTGTGACTTCATATTCGAAATGTGATCGCTTTCTAGTTATACCCTATTTTAAGCGAAAAACCAGGTTCCGGGTGTAGATAAAAATTATTAACAGTTTTATTTAATGTACGCTATTCACTTGATTAGTCATACAACCCTAACCTCAAAATTCCAGCTGGTAATCGCAAAAATTAACGCCTTACCCGCATGCGCGCAGAAATAGCCTGCCTTGCTAGGGGCGCGGCCAGGCCGACCTCCGCCATGATTTTCGCGTTTTTTTTTTCTTTCTGTGTGCAATATATCAATGCCGTGATAAATGTGCTAAAGTATTTCTTTTCTTTCTTTTCGTGTATGTAAAAACCAACACTTTGTGCATAATTTCCGGGGAATAAAGCTTGATTTTTAGCGTTTTCAGGGAGCCAAATGAAACCTGGTAACTCACCAGAACGTGTGTTATTTGTCACTTTACAAATTTCGGATAAGTGTTTGTAAATACGATTTTTATTACATTTGGAAGCGCTGTTGTTAGGGCGCGTAACGGACAGCTAGAGTTTGCTAAAGGCAGATAGAAAAACCTAGCGTAACCGATTCGCCGAATTTGTTGCTTTTGTTTTCCTCCGCTTTTTTCAAGTTGTTTTCCGGCATTTTCATGGCTTTTCGGGACCGGGTCATTTCAAAATCGATGGCTTGTGCTCTCTTTTGCTGTCCTTGCACCCGCCCCGACTTATTTTCCCCCACGGCTCGGCGCGGGCGCCCGGCCCAATGCATTCAATCCCATTTTCCTGGTATCGGCCGGATGGGCCTGTAAATTTTGGGGTTTTCTTGCTCACTTGAAAGCCGTTCTAGCGATAGAATGCTTTGGGTTTGCACAGCAAAGATGCTTTTTAACTGCAAAGCTTTGTTGATCTGCTAGCGCCAAAACACTCAAATTCCCCGGATTTTTCACTCTTTAGCGCTCAAGGTTACTTATGAGATTTCCCGGCCGAGAACATCCTCAAAAAGGCTTGCGCAATGTACTCCAGAAACGCGCAGCCTTATTTTTTTACCAACTCTGATGATCGTTGACTCATGGGAGTGGCGATTTCCACATGTTGGTCTTTGCGCGACAAACACGTCAGCCGAGCCCCCATTTCGCTGCTCCACCTCCCGCTCCGCCCAATCTCTTCCGGATCGCCACCCGGGGGATTGGGGTACTGTATAACGATTTCTCCTTGAACTTTCACCGTTGTATGCGACCAGTTGTTGGGCGAGAAATCAACTAGATTTGGTGGCAGTAGGTTGACTTGTTTATCTGGGCTCTTTATTCTTTTTGTTATACTATGGCGAATTCGGTTTTCCATTTTGATTCATTACACTAGTCACTCAGGCATTTTTCAACAACCCTCTTTTTCCAGATCACAGATGACTCCGTCGTTTCCGGAAGATATCACGTTCCCCTGGGGACAAAATGCTAACCCACTCGAGCAGCAGACCGGCCAGTGGAGGACAGCGATTTTCGAGGTATAAATAGCTTATTTTTACTCACTATTTGATTTTTTAGGATATGCAAGAATCTCTCGACGGGCAACAAGCTCTACCACCTCTACGAACCGCAAACGGAGCAGGAGGCCGGAAAGTAGTGTTGTTTTTGTATTTTCAAAGTTATATATTTTTAGCAACCCGAAATCCCGTGACAAGTGCATCGTGCCGTTTGACACAATCTCTCGATGCTTCATGCACCCATTTGGTTGCCGCAGGCTAACGGTGAGCATTATGAGATTTCTTTACTGGATTAATGTGCTCGTTGTTTTCAAAAACTGTTTTTAGGTCGCGGCAAGTTCCTGTTCTCCTTGAAGTGCCCATCGCAGGCCGGCGGCACTGCCATGATCCTGGTGACCGAGTCGAGCAGCTACGAGGGACGGACCAGGGTATAAAACTAGTCTCTAGGCTTTAAGACAAAGATTAACTTTTCTAGCTCCACATCTGGCGTCTCGACTTTGACCAGCAGGGCACCAGCATCACCGGCTGCCGCCCCATCAGTGACGTCAACACCGGAAACGGCGGTTAGTGACGAGCAATCTGATTTTTTATGGGTGTTTAGGCGCCTACATTTGCACGATGCGCGAGGGACGCCCCGGAATGTATCGTGTTGTACAGCCCTGGATTAAATGTTCGTTTTATTTTGATTTGTCGTTTTTAGACATCTTTTCATAATTTTATCGCCTAATTTAGGTAGCCACCGTGAACTGCATGTCCGACTACCCGATCTCGCCGGAAAGCTTCCAAGTTTGGCGCCGATCTGTCTCACTTCTACGATGGATTCTTGAATGCTGGGTAATTTTAACGTAAATTTTCCATTTTGTTGTCGTTTAGATCAGTCTATCTCCTCTCCGCCTCCCCGGACGAGCATCTCGACTATTCTCGTGTGCACACGCTGAACCTGCAGAGCCGGCAGATCAATACTCACCAGGTTCGTATTCTTTCGGTGCTGGAATTTATTCATTTTTAGTGCCGTGGCGACCCGTCTCGCGGATTCCCGCCGGCCCGAAAGCAAGCTGGATTGGCCTCGGTTCCTGGTATGTAGCTTTACTTTGTAGAATTTTTTGAGAACTGTTCATAATATCATTTTCCAGGCTTTATCTTGCTGGCCGGTGGCGAGGTGGCCGATCAGTACAACGTGCATCGCCTGCAGGACTACTGGGTGCTGAACTGCGACACGTTCGAGTGGACCCAAGTGCCCGCCTCGATGCCGTGCCCCCTCATCGAGCCCCGCATCACCACATGCAATTCAGGTACGGGTCTATAGAATCTTTTTGAGCTTGATCTTTTAGGCAAAGTCTACCTTTGGGGCGACCACGATGTGCCGCTCCCCGGCATGCCACAGCAGGGAACGCATCTGCGCATTTTGAAGGTGAGTGCAATATGAATGGTTTCCCCCAGAAATTTTTGAGCGCGATTGAGTGGGAAAGTGCATTTCAAAGGGCGCAAAAAATGCAAACAAAGAGTCCAACCGATGGGCGTGTCTATAGAATTTCGCTACATGTAAACAATGCCGCGTTTAGTCACTCGAGGGAAAAGGATTTGTCCATGGGTTCGAATGAATGATTTTTCAGTGTTCGACAATTTTTTATTAGAGTTTATGTTTTTAGCTCAAATATCCCCTTTCTGGTGTCCGGCATGGAGAACTACAAGACGCCTCCCCCGTCATACGACCAAAGCGCCGGCCATTCCGTGCCCAGCTATCAGGTATCGATTGTTTTTCAAAGCATTCTTTTTTGTTGTTGGGGGTAGCTTGCGTACATTAGCTGTTTTAGTAAATCAGCTTTCCTTGTCCCCATTCTGCTGCCCCCTTTCGCTTCTAGCGTAAGTTGGCGGTGTTGTGGGTTGTGGCTAATGGCGACTAGGTGTTTCCGGTGACGGGCTGTACCTTATTAGTTCTCTTCATAGCTTTCACTAGGACGATTTATTTTATTTTTTTCAGCAAAACAACACTCCCACGCCTCCCGCCTATCCGTCGTATCAGCCGATGGGTGGACAACAGCAGCCCGCGCCGCAGATGGGCTTCAACACTGGCGGCAGCAGCCCGTACCCGCAAAACCAGAGCAGCCCTTATCCACAGGGCGGTGCGGCACCCTATGGAGGACAGGTTAGTGCCACATTATGTTTGCTGATCGAAATTTCTATCTTAGCCGAGCTACCCGACACAAGGCGGCAGCTACCCCCGTCAGGACTACGGCGGCAACCAAGGAGGTCGGTCAATGAAGCCATCAGTCCCGTTGAATCGTGCCCCCGACTCGGATTCCGATGACGAGCGCCCCCCTTACCAATTTACCGCCCAGAGCCCTGACACGACTATCGCCGATCGGGAGCGTAGATTCTGTCTGCTGTTTTGCATCTTTTTCTTGACCTGCACAATCACCGGATTGGTCATTTATTTCTGTTCTAAATTCCACTTTCTCCTCTAACCACTTCTCGCCCTATTTTTTTGTATTTCTAGTCGTTTCGAACGCTTCCGGGTATCGTTTGCTTTGTCAACCTAGTTGAATGGTTATCACATTGGACACCGAGATAAACATACACACATGACACTAGTTTTGTATGGAAAATTGGCTTTAGCCCGTAATTACAGCAGACCTGGAATTATCATTTCAAGCGCTACGTCACGTTAATCTGAAGCGCATTGTGGACGTTACGATTTCTTTTTGGTTCTAAAAAACCACAATTTGTTTCCAGGGGAATAATATTTACGTGCCGATATTTTCTAATTTTCAGAGTATCAACCCGGCCCGGCTCCCGGCACCCAAGCCTACTACCCCCCGCAGAAGAAGGACAAGGATTGCTCCATCATGTAGATAGCCAACCCTTCCCCCCCCTTCTCCCAGTTGTATAAGATTGTACAAGTCCCATTGCCCCCAAAAATGATGTGTAAATGCCCCACATTGCCCAACTCCCAAAAATGTCCTCCACTTATTTTCCTGGTGTTCACTGGTGATGTGTCGCTTTGCATAATGTTCTGTGCTGTTTTTTGATAGATTGCCTTCTGATAAACTTTTGCAACGCCCCATTGCAGGAGATGGAAAGCTAGGGTGGTGTTTTTTGCCATTGGATATTGATACAAAAATACCGAAAATACTCCTACAAGGCTTTTAGTGGTTATTCCTACGGCAGGATGCACCAGGATTTTGTAAATTGTAAGCAGGCCAGCACGTCGTTATACGCAGCGCCAAGTCTTCTCGAGGGCACGTCGATATTGGTGCGTTTTTGAAACTTTAGGAATTTAAAATACATTCCTCTACCTAATTAGACATTAATTTTGGCATTTAGTCATTCCAAGCGCGTGGCCGACGACGAACGCTAACACCGCATCCCTGGAACGCGCCAGTCCACGCCCCGGGCCCTGCTATCTACGATGAAGCCTACGCTCAAGTCCTGGAACTCGAAAGAGAAGCTCAGTCCAAGGTCGATGAAGCCAAAGCCCTAGACAATCCTGTAGATCAGGTATTTCAACACCTTTTATTGGTTTACGTACTTGCAGACCACCGCCGTCCAAACTGGGCAAGTCAAGAGGGTCGGCTTGGTTGCGACGAAACTAGGTATCCTTTGAAACGTGTTTTGTATATCGCTTTTTAGGAATGATCCCCCAGTGGACGAACACTGGCGACAGAATGCTTTGCACGCTGCTGCACGTGCAGGATAATCATGTGGTTAGTTGGTGTGTTTAGAAAAATGAATGTTTCTTAGATATCACTGACCTCACCGGAAGACTGGTATCGGCAATCGATCGTCGGGAAACGAAAGGCTTTTGGGGAGATTTGGGCCGATGTGGAAGGTTCGTGGAAGACAATAGGGCAAAATTATATCCGTTTTAGGTTACCGTTGGGGCTATCGATACGGATGCAAATGAATACCAGCGAATCTACCGACGACTATTCCAAGATGCTGGGGTTCCGGTGAAAAAGGAGCTTGCATGTAGGTTTCAAAAAGCTTATTCTTTTATTTTTTTATAGCTTTCCTCGTCTCCCCGGATGCGCTTCCGGCGCTTGGACAACGACTTGATGTTCGACACTTCAACGTTGGCCAATACATCACGGCCACCGGAAAAACGATCGACTGGGGCTTCAGGGAGCTATGCATCGATGGGGTTTTCGAGGACAGCCGGAGAAGGGGTAAGGATAGAAATATTTTTTGAGCTTTGGTTCAGGACAACCAAATCCCATCGTCGTGTCGGCTCGATTGGATCTGTGGGTGATGCGCGCGTTTGGCCTGGAAAACGGCTACCCGGTCATATGGGATACGAGTGGAGAATGGTGCCCGGGATTCAGGTATGTTTACTAGCGTAATTTCCGTTTTCAAATTTTTGAAAGGAAAATTAATAGGCTATTTTTTAGATTGTCCGCATGAATCTCGACAAACAAGTGATCTACGTCAAGGGCAACGTTCCTGGCGATGTCGGGGAGAAACTGCTGCTCAAGGATTGCTTGCAAGCGGAAAGGCATCCAAAGGTTGATCGATTTTTGGAAGCAATAACTTTATTTTTAGGAACTCTTCGTTCCCACCTGGAACTCTACCATTACCCCAACCACCGAAGAGGGCGAACCGATCAACAACCCGGTTTTCAAATACAATGAAGCCTTCATCCCAACCCTCTTCCGGTAAAATTTAGCATATTTTGCAAAACAACATCTTTTCAGTTTTGACTCGCCGAGCATCGTCTTCACCGAAGAGCACGGCAAGAAGGGCTCGGCCCGTGACAAGACCAAGGCCAAGATCGCCAAAGTCAAGAAATAATCCCTCTCTGCTGCCCCCATCATTATATTCCCGTATCTCTTTTCGCTTTATTAGTGTAACTAGTGCCTTGTTTTAGGATTTTTTTTTGTTGCGTTCCGTCCCGTTCTCTGTTGATAAAGATATCGAAAATCATATAATTTATCAGACGAAAACGATTGCGACGATTGCGATAATTTATTGCTTAGTGTAGACGCGAGTGGCCTTGACCGATCCGCTAACCATCTCAATGTGAAGCTCGTTGCCCTCGATCCATCGGGTGATTTCGGAGGGCTTATCACTGCTCTAAATATTGTTGCGGTTTTGCTTGTTTTGTTAGTTTCCGACTTTGATGGGCGTCTGCTTCTGGTGGATCTTGTGCCCATCAAAGGTGAAAACAGTCTTGAAGTGGCGGCCGTCAGCCGTCTCCTCCTCGAGCTCCTTATCGATGGTGAAGGTGATCTCATAGTTCTTCAGGGTGGACTCTTGGCGGCAGGTAAGAGTTTGGCCCTGGAATCGGTTAGTTGAGTGCTATAATCCTAGTAATTCAGGTTTAATGATTGCCTAGATGGGACAGCTATTTGCAATTTAATTAGTTTCAGGCCACTTACATCGACGGTAATATGGAGGGTGACTTTGAGGTTAGCGGCAGCCTTGCGGGTAATGAGACCGACTCCGACTTCCTAAATTCAGGGGTTTCTACCATTTTGTAGCTGACCTTCATGTACTCCTCGAAGTTCTCCTGGTGGGACTGGACCCAGGTGCCGGCGAAGTCGTTGAGGGACATTATTAGCTAGAAAATAGAAAAGAATGGTAGTCGTTGAAGAGAAATAGTGGGAGGATTAAGGGGCTATTAAAAGAAACAATTTTTGGGCCAGTTTGAGTTAGTAAATTCAGCGAAACGAGGGCATAAAGCTTGTCATAATGTCAGCTTAATGGAAATACTTTTTGCAACACCTTCCCGAAGCCCCCGTAGTACTCGAGAAATGAGGGTTTGCCGGTTTTTACGACGTGTCAGCGCACCCCGGCCGTTTTCCTATAAATACGATAGCTTATCAGGCCGCAGGGGGTAGTTGACAGTTTCTCGGGCGGTCAGAGAAGCCCTTATTTCGCCAGCCGATTTCCAGGAGAACGGAAAGCGCCGGGCAAACAAGGGATGAAACAACAATCTCGGTCGCGTGGACTTTGTACGCCCCAAGAATATGGCGTTCAGAATACAAAATCGGGGAATTTGATTTGTAGTTGTGATGATGCAAGCGGAGGATGACTGGAGGATTATGACCACTACGGGGCTACAATCTCTGCTAATTTGCTTTTTAAAGGAAGCTTCACAGAGAGTTGGTCGGGCAAGTTTGTGGAGGAACTTCAGAAGAAAATAGAATTTGTACAGTTGGTAGCAGCGGATCGCCTAGTAATTGCGTAAAAGCCTTGAATTTTTAAAAAAGGGTTAACTTTAGTTTATTGCCCGAATTTTAAGAAGTATTAGAGCTTTTATAGCAGCTAGATACAAACTACCATAGGATTACTTAATTTGATTATTTTAGGAGGGGTTTGAAAGGTCCTAGCAGCTATTACGGCACCGATGCGTGAATGCTTGGTTGAACAAAATGACCGTAAAATGTATTTGAAATGACGGCCTGTCTTCGCCGCTCGACTGCTGATATTATTCTCCGCCTCCCTGTTTGTCCGCTTGTTATTCTGCGCGGTGATTCATAATTTTTTTTTTCAGGCAAGCCCACCCTGCCGCCGGCCCTTCTTACTCACGGCCCCCTCTACAACCGAGGGCCATGAACCGAGTGCCCGCGACGAATTTTCAACATCTAAAGGACGAGCCCGAGTTGCTGCGCCGCTTTCGGGTAGCGATTTAGTAGCGGGATTTTAAAAATAACTGCTTTAGGAGGATCTTGGCCGTGACAAGCATAACCCATTTCTACAAATGTTGGCTGTTAGCGCCATCACGCGTCCGGTTTGTAGTGAAAACTTCAGATAAATGGGAATGTTTTTCTAGTTCGGATCGCCAACTCTTCAAAAACTCGCCGCGCGACTTGTTCTAGCAACTGTTGGACGATTGGACGACGGTTACCTATCTAATCCGGCGGTGCACGCTTGCCAAGTGGAGACTGCTTCTGAAGAGGAATTTCTAAAATGGCTCACCGAGTTTCTCGGTGGAAGGTGAGGTGATGACGCTAAATTATTTTTTGAATTTAGGTTGCCTTTCAAAACCTCGTTCGACGACTATTCATTGCTGACGTTGACAGTGTGCATTCAACGGGCTGCAAAATCGAAGAAGGTCCCGAGGACTTCGGTGTTGAGCCTTCTTTTCAAGGTATAGAAAAGTCATGTAAATATGTTGATCGTCAAATTTAGACAATAAGCATAGCGCGGAGTGCGCTCCGAAGATTTGACGCATCTTTACCCGAGGGCTGCCTGAAGGCGTTGGTCTGTAGCGATGAGGAAAAGCGAGAAGTGGGTTGAATAAAAAATTTAAGCTAAAATTTCTTCAGTTATTTTGCGAGCTTTTCACCGAGCTACCCCCAAGAACTGTAGCAAAATATTACTTGTTGGCTCAACTGCTTCCGTGCATCAAGGAGGAGCAGGTTTCCATTTCCACCATTTCAAATGATTTTTTAAAGTTCGTCGCAATAGCTGACGATTTGGAAAAAGAGCTGCTGTTTTGTGCGGAGGATCAGGTAATAAATTATTTCCTGAAAATATATAAGATTTCGTCTAGATGATTTGCAGCGCTTCTTCATGTCTAATCTCGGCCTTGACTGCTGAGCGCCTGGCGTTTGTAGGCTGCATAATTTGCCGATTTTTGATGCAAAACTCTACGTAGGGATTGAGAGCTAAAAAAATAATTGCGTAATTAAGTGCCGTTCGTACGAATGTCCTACGGTGCTGGGTGGCCCGGCTGGGAAATCAGAAAAACGGGTTGGAGCTGTTCAGGAAGATTATCGGGTACGGGGAGTCGATCTTGGGCGACGAGGCGAGGAAGATTGGTAGGGTTTAATTGGAAAATCTCTCTTTTTCATTCCTAGCCAGCTTTTATTACATTTATCAAATGAAGCAAATTCAATTATTTCTAGCCGAGCTCTGGCCTCCTTCAACCGCAGATGAGTACGAGAATTTGAGCTGCATCTCGGCCGATTGGGCCTGGCGCGAAGCAGAAGCGCCAACGACGACGAGAGACCGAGCGATGACTGTAGGTTCTTTTTTAATTGTAGTAAAACCTGAATTTTAGGCAATGCTAGCGACAGCTCATGTCGCTCTTCAGGAGCGGCTAAAAACGAGGAATAAAGTCTGGGATCCATTGTTGAAAGTTGAGGTGAGATAGGTTAGGGAAAAAGGGTATAACTGTTTTTTAGACCCTAAAACAGTCTCTGGTTTGGCCGCTAGATTCGGTCAGGGCGCTCGGCTTTTCCCTGCTCGTTGCTAATGACCGGCGCTGCAACATGTTTGAAGGTAAAAGACTCAGACTTAAAGAAATTTGAACTCTAGGCTCATTGGATCAGCCAACGGCCACGCTAGACTTTATCCACGAAAATCTGACGACCCAGAATTCGGCGCTGGAAGACGCGATTCGAGCTCAAATTAAAAAGCTGGGCCTCGATTTGTCGATTCCGGACGAGGAGGGGTGGAAGGAGTCGAAAATTAGTGGTACTTTCAAGATTGCCAATCAGCAGGAGCTTGATAAGGTTTTCGAGGAGGCTGAAAAGCTTTTTGAGTAAGTAAAGATTAAAAAACCCTAAATATTCGGTTCCAGCAAGTCCGGCTCATGTTCCGAGGAGCATTGCCCCCAATTCTCGGAGCTGGCCACGAATTTGCAGCAGCACGGGCTGACGGTGGATTCGTTTTCGAAGGAAGTACAGGTGTGAATAATTTTTAAAGTGTTAAAATATATTTTTCCAGACTCGATTCAAGTCCGCCGCTTCCGCGATGTCGGCCAACGAGGCTTTGGGAACCTCCAGGAACATAGAGCGCTTATGGTAATAAAAACTGGCTGTTCTTAAGGTCTTAAATTCCAGGCAAGCCGTGCTGCGGACTCGCGAAAAGTCGATTGTCGATCATGGCACCGAATTGTTTGCCTCACTCTTTCTAAAAGACCGTCGCGTGATTGAGCCGATTTTTCTGAAGGTAAGGTCAAAACTCCAGCAAAAGACTTGCTTTTGCTAGACCATCAAGCTTGTGGTATCGCCTACTTCATCTACGAGAACTCTGGCCTTGTCGAAAAGTCTGTGGGCGTGCTGCCAAGTCTCAGTCTACAATTTTGTGAAGCTTTGGGACCAATTTGAGGTATTTAGCTTTTTAGGTTGTTTATTCGAAGTTTTTAGGCAATTTTACGCGACTGCTTCACCTACAACCCCGTCATTTCTGCACGAGTTTTAAAAATAACAAAGTACTTCATGTCACGCGAGCTTTGCCGTAAGTTTATTACAGATTACTAGAATTTAACTTATTTTAGCATGGTCAAAAGATCGACCTGCTCTTGTCTTTTTGTTCAAGACCTGCCTGGCCGTTGTCGGGAAGGCGGAGGATTTTCTGACAAGAAGCGCGGCGCGAATTTTGTTTGGTACGGTTAAATCTGATATTTATTCAAATTTTTTAAAGGTTTTGTTGCAAATCTGATCTGGGACCGCCGGGAGACTTGTTTCTACTACGAATTGCTAGTGGACGATTGGAAAGATGTGGTGAAAATGGCACTGGAGTGCTTTTCCAGCGAAGAGGTAGTAAATTTAGATTTTTCAGAAAGGTGGGTAAATTTTAGCCTTTCTCTACCGAATATCGGCTTCTCGTGTTGTCTTTTCTATGCAAGTATCGGCTCGGAACTCGATCTTGCTACGGGAAAACGGAATTAAGGTATGTTTTTGAAATTTATGATTACTTTTTAGGATTTGCGAAAAGCTGTCCGAACTCTTATTGGCCGCCTTGCCCAAGGCTGAAGATATTCGGGAATCTCGCCTTATTTTGGACTGTGTCGCGGCTTTGATCCCATATTCTGAGGTAGGATTTGAACGTGAATATCGATTTAATATTTAGGTTCACAACCTGCAAACAAAGCTAAACGTCGCTTACCAAAAGAAGAGGGTTTTACGAGCGTCAGATACGCCTTCTTTACTCCTCAATGATTCGTTGACACGGTGGATAATTGATAAAACTTTTATAAAAATAAGGTTTTAGGCTGTGGAGCCCAAGCCACGACTCGAAATCGCCATTCGAGCGCGAGCAGCGGATTCCGACCGATATTCTCCAGAGCCCCTACATTCAAGTGGTGCTCGAATTTCGCAAGCTTTTAAAAGATAGTGACCAGGAAAAGGTAAGAGTATAAAACATTAACAAAAAAATTCTATTATTTTTTCAGATAAAAAATCACCTTGCCGGCACGAAAGCCGAAGCCGAGAAGTCCGAGCTTCACCAGAACGCCTACAACTATTGCCGACGATTGTACGTGAATAGAACATTGCTATAATGCTTTTGTGAATTTTACTTTTTCCTTTGATCTCATTTCTTTATTCTAGATTTTAGGTTTTTAGCTGCTCAATTTTACCGTTTTTCTTGTTGATCCGTTAACGTTGTCTGTTACTTTGTTTTGTGTAAAGATCAATAAAAAGGTTGACAATTTGAAAGACGTTATAAACTGTATTTGCGGTGGCGGTATAAATTATAATAAGTTAAGGAATTAGCAAGGTGGCTAGTGGTTGATGACATCGGGGGCCGGATTTTGGGAAGCTATCGTAGTCGTCAATAGGGGGTCCTCGTCGGCGGGGACGTCAATTTTGTCTAATTCTTCTTTCAGGCGAACGATCACCTAGAATTGATATTTTTTGACTTGTTGTTCTCTGGGTTCAAAATGTTGTCACGTTAATAGACGGTAATACGCACCTGCGGCGAAATCTTCTGGATAGCGGGGCCAACTATGCCCGCAATCCTACTCCAAGCGTCCCCATCCTGTTTCGTCGTCTTCTCTTCAATCGCCGACACGGCCGCATTGAAGTACCGGCTTGCCTGAACCAAACCCTTAAAAAGCAAAAAGTCTGGGCCGAACCGGGATTCGAACCCGGGACCTCTCGCACCCGAAGCGAGAATCATACCCCTAGACCATCCGGCCACTGGGGACGGGGCGGCTGGGGAGAGGCTATGTGGGGAGGCGGGGCTTGAGTGGGCGCCGCTGGGCTTGCTGTGCCCATCGCGAGAAAAGGTGAGTCAACAAGAAAAGGGAACGCTGAGGGACCCGGAAAAGGCTATTTTTCGTAAAGAAAAAACTTGAAAATAGAGGATTAAATTCCAGCGTATTTTCTCTATTTTTCTAAGGATTTCGAAGGTAATTTAAGGTCAGACGAAATTCGAAATTCCGACGTTCAAAAGTATGTATGAATCTTTTATAGATTTTCTAAATATTTCCTCCCTTGTAAAGGCCCATTTTTTCCGAAATAAAAATAATGAAAATGGTGCGAGAGTTTGAGACATAAAATTAATGTTTTTCTTGATGTTTAACATGAAGTGAAGGCTAGAGCAAAATTAATGGCGAAAACTGGAGGGTGATTTTTGAGTTTTGTATTGATTTTTTAGGAATATTTTTAACACTTAAGCCTAACATACCTTATGACTCAAATCCTCCAGATCAATCGTGGGGAGCGTAGAATGGGCGTCAGCTGGCTTGCCAGAATCCGACTCCTCGGCCAGCTCGTCGTTTAGGCGTACGATGCTTGGCGAGGGTTGCGTGACCTAGAGGTTTTATGAGAATTTAAATAGCTTTTTAATAGTTTAAACCTGTGCTTTTTGTTACCTTTTTAATCGGGGAAACCGTCGTCTCCGGGTCGAGCCAATTTATCTGAATCTTGAAGGGAATGGGGGTGGTGCCGAGCCCGGATCCGGCGGCTGGGTAAGCATTATTTGCAGGGGCCGAATCTTTGGTTTGGGGCTAAAATAGAACTCGATAACTATAAAAATTAAGGTGCTAAACCTTGAAAACGAATAGCGGGTTGGCGGTTGTTTGATTTTGCTTGATTTGATGGTACCAGGCGGGGACTTTGAAGTCTTTTAGGCCTTCCTGAAAGTGAGAGCATGAAAACTGGCCAGTTTAAGCAATAAAAATAAGTTATAAGTAATTTAAAGAGCTTAGATAAGAAGTTAGGCTAGATAAAAACATACTGGAAAATCAAAAATGGATTTTTGAGCTTTATTAATGACTTACCGACGCTGCTGTCGTCAATTTAGGGGCGGACCATTGGAAAAGTTTAGGCTTTGCAGTGACGGCGGTTGTTACTGGCTAAATTTCCAGTTTTTGAGATTATTTTCGAAAAACCTGCGGGATCAACGTCGGCAAAGGGGTGTTCCTCTGTACGAGCGAATTTTTCGACACCGGCTGATCCATGTAAAGTGCGTTTGGGATGGGCCGGGCGCCAATAACCATTTTCTGGTTGAACCCCGGGCTTCTCGTAGTGCCGAAATCACTAAAATATCTCTTAAATCTAGCTTTTATTAACTTACTTGAACCTGCCCTTGGTGATGACGACGGGAGGGGCAAATTGGGGTAGCTGGATGGAGGCCGGGGTGGGACGCTTGATAAAAACGGTTCGGATGCGGGCCTGCCGACGGATGGCCCGATGCGTCGTGGTTGGGATCTGGGAAGAAATTGCGGGAAAATGGGCCCAGGATCGAACCCGAGCGGTGGAAGGATAGTTTTCCGGTTCCGTACTACGAGAAATTACCAAACTTTAGTTTTAGAAAATTGATAGTGCTAATTTTGCATTAAAACGGCGTATGGTTTTTAAAGGCAAATTTAATGCTTGTGGCGTGTTATGATATGGATTTTATGGTTGTAACAAATTTAAAACATCAGGAACTATTCTACCCCAATCCCTTACAATAACCCCAAAAAGCAAAAAATTCTTCCGTTGCCGGGAATCGAACCCGGGCCCTATGGGTGAGAGCCATAAATCCTAACCACTAGACCACAACGGAGGATGGGAGTGGGGTGAGTTGACGGGGTTATCAAGGTATCGAGGCCCTGCTGCGGACCCCGAAAGAAGGATTGACAGCCCAAAACTGTCAAATCTTTCACTGATCCTCACCTTTTTCATGTTCTCGCGTATCTTTTCTTCAAACGAGTTCTCAGCAGGGGTTTTTGAGGGTGAAGCAAGAGGCTCGGAGGGTAACCCCTTCTTTTTCAGGTCCGACATGGTGTTTTTGAGGGAATATCGACATTGGACGGGGTATTCCGTGTTGAGCAGGACCTAAAAAAATTTTTTTAACGGCAAACAATTTCAAAAGCTCGAAAATCGCTATTAATTTTGTTTTTTTTCGACGTATCATCAGCTATGTAACCGCTTCAGTCTTATGTTAGATTAGCTTAGAATTTAAATTTACAGTTTAAAATCACCTGCTGCATTTGCGAATAAAATTGGGCAGCCTCGATTCCGCACTGACTCTCCAGCCGCAATACCGTACACACGCTCACGTCGGATGCGTCAACTTTTGACAGACATCTCGTGTCGCTGGGGTGGCATTTTGTGCTGGAAACATAGAAAAACGTTGGTTTTATAAATGAACAGTAAGATACAGTAGATCAGGACCAAAAACCAAAAATAAAGTGCTATGAGATTTTTGGTAGATGCAAGCCAACTGACCCCTTTAAGACTGCGAAAACTTACCGACAACTAGCCAATTTCTTTGCCATAAGCCCTGTCTTTTCGCATAAACCATCCATCGGTTTATTCACGACCTCGTGAATGCATGGGATTCGGCGGAGGAAGATTTTCTGGCGTTGAAGTGAGAATGGGGCACAGAGATAACTGAAAAAATGGAACGTTATTTCTAATTTTCCTTAATTTACAAGGGTAGCAAGCAAAGATTCATGTGGAATAGTTTCTGATCTCCTATCTATCTGCTAAAGAATCTCTGCTAGATTGCCCCGTAAAAGGCAACAGCTGTGGAAAGACGACAAGAAAGTGAATCGATACCTATACATTTGCTTCCCCTTTTCCAGCGCATTTCGCTGCGCCCTGGTTCCGCAAAGCGCCAATCGCTGCTCGAAACAGGGAATAGCATTTTGATAGGCTCTAAAAAAATAATTTTTCCAATGCGATGATACGGATTATTATTTTTTTAAACGAAGCCATTACCGGCATGTTTTGAGCAACATCGCCTCACTGGTAATGTTCAAAATTACGCTCATCACATTTGAATCAAAATGGGCACGTTGGGACAGGACCTGAAAACGGTAATTTTAGTAAATTTCATGGTAAAAATACGTTTAGACAATTTAGGGATTACCTGTGACACGCAAGTCATATATTCCGCCGGCATACATCCTAACGTTGTTGTCACTGAAAACGCGGAATAGAAGCGGAAATGAGTCTTACCCAAGGTTACGGTAGCGAGCAGTATCCGCATTTGCGCTCGTGGCACCCTGAAAAAGCATTTACCCGCTAGAAAACCCTAAAGCAGGAAGGAAATTTGAAGTTAAATAACATATCCCTAAAAACTGAATAGAAAGACAAATTTTTAGCGTAATCATAGTAAAAATCGAATTTTCAGGGGTTTCCTAAAGTAAGATTAAAAGCATTCTGAATGTCAACATTGACGATTCACAAAAATCCCTTTCGTAGGTGTAAAAATCCAATTTTCCAGCCTTGTATTAGCTCTAAATGATTTATTATTACAATGTCGATCATTTTAAAAGGAAGGACAAGCTACGGAAAAATAGCTTTCGTAGTAGTCGTAAAAATCGTACTTCACGGACGGTCTTTACGACGTCTTAAAAGAGTCTGCAGTCCAAAACCCCGGGTTTTAAAGGGACTGGCAACCTTCGGAGCGCCCAAAGATCGTCTATACCCTGGGAAACTGCGACGGAGGCCGGTATATTCGGTATCTCTGGGGGTGGAATGTTGGGGGCACGGGTATGTGGGGATGTGTCCCCGCGTCAAAAGTGTCAACCCGGATACCCTGACCGCCCCATGCCAACATCATCGTCAGCACATCATCAAGCATCGTGTGTGTATGATCAGGCGACAAAAAACTATCGTAAGCGATTGCCACATATAAAAATTAAAATTGTTCACGATCTTGCCAGATCAGAGCCTCAAAAGGTACAGTATGACCGTAGCCTTAGAATCGACCGGTCTCGTCGACTAGATCTCGACAGCTACGAGACACGCCAAACGACGGTGAAAAACCATGATGGTGTTGCATTTTGACCTAACTGCACTTTTTTTGGGTGTCAGTGTTAGTTATGAAATAGCTAATAAAATTGCCTAACTTAAATTTCTATTGGTAAAGGCAGATCGATTTTGGGATTTCCCAATAATACCTAGTAGACCTGGCAGTCTGCCAGTTTCTAGCCCCGTGAAAAACCAGAAAAAGCCCAAAATTACCCGTTCCGTTGAAGCATACAGGGCGATAAAAACCTTTCAAAATCGTGGAAAAACATCGAAAAAACGACCATACCATAATGAAACACTACGGGACAATACGGTGTGTTGCGATTCACACGTCAATAGGTGTGTATTGGCTATATTCTGGCCCGTCTCCTCCTCCTCCTGCTCCTCCCAGCCAGAACACTGGAGGCGCGATATTTGCGGGCGGGAAGACGATATCCTTCCAGCGTGCCCTCAGGGGCTCGTCCACCCCCACCCTCCGTGTCTCCAGCCAAACACAGTAAGTGAAGAATGACAAACACGGCCATTTCTACCTAGTAGCGGCCAGCCGGAAGGCGTCCATTGGACCAAGTGGAATGCTTGGGAATTTTGGGGTTATGAGGGTCAGATTTGCAATGGTCTTGAGCGGGAGAAGCCTCGAGGAAGCTAGGTTTAAACTTCAGCTTAAGCTTAGGCTTAAGCTTAGGCTTAGGTTCAGGATTAGGCTTAGGCTTAGGGTTATTTGGCACTTTTTAAACGACCTTTTTGTAGTGACTTTCTGATATATTTTATAACGCATTATTTGCGAAACCGTATCCTAAACGTCTAAAAGAAATTGCTCTTAATTTGTAGTTTCAGTATCAATTTAATATCGTAAGCCTTTTATCAATACCACCGGGAAATCATCATCAAAAAAATGGAAAAAAAATAAGAAAACCACCATGAGATCACAATATTTGGCACTTCAGCAGTCAGAAAGCACCCTATCTGGGGAAAACATCAAAAATGAATGCAATTTAATAAATTAAATATAGAAAAACTTAGGGCAATATTATGGCATTTTAAAGGGTGAGTGAAGCGTCGTTGGCACAGGGACGGAGAAAAATACACACCAGTTGGCAACGTTTTTTGCTTTCGCGAGGGAAAACGGTAATTTTTTGGAGGACCCGTACTCCGGAAAGGATTCATAAAAATGAAAACAAGTTGGAAAATCGAAATAGAGAAAATTGTGTAGTTTATTTTTTGCCGCCTCCACAGACGAGAATGTTGCGGAAAGCGTTGCGGAATCGCTGGTCGAACACCGTGTAGATGAGCGGGTTTAGCGAGGAGTTCACGCTGAAAAATCGATTAAAAATGGTTAAGGCACAATTAGGATTCACACAAATAGCTTATTTGCCTTCCTAATCCCTTTAATAACGACTTTGACAACTTGAGGCCGGTGTCCCGATTAGAACGAACACCCCGCCTTGAATGGCAGCTGTCAAGTCCTGGCACTGGGTCTTAAAACCCCGTTCCCGCCTCCCTCTCCCATCCTCCGTTGTGGTCTAGTGGTTAGGATTTATGGCTCTCACCCATAAGGCCGGGGTTCGATTCCCCGCAACGGAAGAATTTTTGCTCTTTGGGGATATCGTAGGGGAAGGGACTAGAATAGTTTTTGCGTATTTTAAAGGAGCTAATAAGGCTAAATATAACGGCAAAGTTGCGAAAAACGCTAATTGGACTTGAGAAATGCTTTTAAATGGTTTTTAGGAGATCTGGCATTTAAGGAAAGTTAGATAATGCAATTTTTCGTGCTTGTTCTTTTCATAAGTCGATTTTTTCACCCGCTTAGCCCTTTAACTAGCCCATATACGGACCATATTTAGAAAAACTCACTATCCCAGCCATGTCGTGAAGAACATAGCGGCCCCGGGAATACACCCGCTCCCATCCTCATTGCAGATCGAGCATAGAGAGTTGATGAGGTGCAGGATGAAGAAGGGCAGCCAACAGAACAGGAACACAGCTAGAAAATAGCATTTTTAGAGTCTAGGATCAAATTTGATACCTAGCACCACCGCCAGGGTTACGGTTGCTTTTTGCTCGCGCTTCATCTGCTTTGTCGCTTTTTTAACGAGATGCCGTGAGGGGCGTGCTTTCCAGCCGGCCGTGACCCTAAAAAACTTTTTATTTTTTTTGCTAAAAGGACACCCATTTTAAACTTCACCAGTTTTCGGCGTAAAAAATCCAAAACGCACCGTTTCCACAGCTCATTCTTATAATTCCGCACATTATCGCCGAACGTCAATTCAACCGCGGTTTTCTTTGTGGAAACTGAACATTCAGACAAGGGTCCGCTTGTTCCGTTGCTCATCGGCTTGTCGGCGGGGAGATGGATCTAAAGACATCGTTTTAACGATGCAGCTTAAAACTATGGCAAGCCAGCCAAGCTAAGCCTGCTAAGCGAAGCCAAGGAAGCTAAGTCTCACCCGGGGATGAAGCCGATTTGTGCCCCCATTCTCAATGGCATCCTGTGTGGTGGAAGTACCCGCATTCACCGTCACGACATCTCCATTTCTCAGCATCGGAGATCGCTGCTCACGCATCGAGCCACCGTGAGGACGATCGGTCTAAAAAGGCTTGAAGTCCGTTGCCGTGAACCATCAGGTTTAATACCTGAATTTTTATGAAGGCTTATATGCGAGCTAAAACTTTTATCAGAGGAGACATAGGCTTTCCAATCCCTTTAAATCACTCAGAAACCATTCTAATAGCGCTTTGCAGTCCTGTCCCAAAAAAGCAAAAAAATCTTCCGTTGCCGGGAATCGAACCCGGGCCTTATGGGTGAGAGCCATAAATCCTAACCACTAGACCACAACGGAGGATGAATCAAGGGCCCCGAAACTTGGTTATGAATGCCCAGAGCTATGACAGGTGTCATTCTAGACCACGCTAATCAGCCCGCGATTCCGGGGCACGCTTATCTAGAGAACTGCGAAAAAGGTAAGGACAAGTACAAATTTTCGATTTCCAAGCACTCACATCTCTCCGCGACCGTCGTATCCGCTTCTTGTTCACCTGAAGGGCGTCATCATGGCTGGATGAAGTTTTCCGGCTGTGATTTCCGCTGTCGATGAATGGGAAAAGCTCGCCGAGCTCTTCGCCAAAGGATCTGAAGCTATAACTTGACAAAAGCAACTTGATCTCCAGCTTTTTATCATCATCATCATCTCTCTCTCTCTCTCTCTCTCTCTCTCTCTCTCGCTCTCTCTATCGCTCTGCTTCTCTCCCCACAGCAAAAACGTTTCCACCATCAAACACACCTCAACGTCAACGCGGCACTCGACTCGTACCTTAAATGCATCTCTTCCAGATTTTCCTGCAGCTTTTGGAGCTCCTCCTTCGTGGGGGAGGTCTTGAAGGGGCCAGAGGGAGATGCTAGACATTAAGTTACAAATTTCACACTACAAAACTATACTTTTCACGCATGACTTTAATTCCGGAGCCGAGAGTTTCCGGAGGTTTATACTGGTCACTTCCGGCCGGACGAGGCTTTGCGCTTCGGGGGTGGGTAACTAAAATTTGATTGTATTTTGGACTATGAATAAAAATCGCATTTCGGAATCCCTTTAAAATACGGAAAATCAAGCTGTTGAACTCCTTGAAAAGCTTTGAAGAGCCTTGAAAAACACGCGTATTTGAGTGAAATTTACCGAATTTCTTGGTTGTTCGCGCCGTTTTGCTAAAATCTGACCAAACTACCCTACCCGTATCGAAACATGTGATTCTGGTGATGGCAGTGGCACGTCTAAATCTTCTGGAGTAGACGGACTCGTCAACGACCCCTCATCACTCGAATCGGAGTTTGTGGGGTAGGAGGATGTCTGCAAAAATTCAATTCAGCGATTAACCGCCCTAAATTGAGGTAATATGCTCATAATGCAAATAAATGCATATAATACCTAAGCACTAAAGCGGTGTGCTTCAAGAAACTCAAAGAATTTGATTTTTAAGGGATTTGGGCATTTTTCACTACATTTTTTGATGTTATTCATTTTTATCGCAAATTTTTCTAAGGATTGCAGCGCAACTTTTCTTCCCCTTTACAAGACAATTTTTCGTCTCCGCCAACATCCGGTTGCTCTCACAAAAAATGCCAATCAAAATCGAATTCCCCGGGCGAGTCTGTTTGGGGGCGCGTGGGCCGCAAAAATTCGCTAATCAAATCCGAATCGCAGCTGGCCTCGTGTATATTGTATGTGTGTTTCCGGGGCCCGCAGCAACTCCACGATTTTGGCATTTCACGTATTTGTGAATGGAAAGAGAGAGAACGCGTGGCTAGGACTCTAGCGTAGCTTGGAGTTCTAGAAAAAGAGAGAGAGAAAGAAAAACCGGTATTTCGGAGTTTCCAGAAACCGTTGGTTAACAACAATAAAGATGAAGAAGTATTACTTTACTCCCACTAAATCAAATTAAATTCATATAATTACCTGAAAACTAATCTCCAGCAAAATCTGGTCGGCTTTTTGCTTGAAATGGGTGCCAAGTTGCCGAGTAAACCGTGCCCCGCTCAGCAGCGCGTTCGAGATCTTGTCGGTGTCGGCCTGGAATTGGATAGTACCAAAATTAAGATATGGTATTCAGTATTATTCCTTCACAGAATTTGTTTAGTAACGTACCTTAACGGCCTGACGCAACGACCGAGCCCGCTCGCGCTGCCGTAATCTTCGGAAGATGATCGTGTAGAGGACTAGAAGGAAATTCTCGTAATTTTAACCAATCAAGGGGATCAAAAAGGATGTTTTCAGGATTGGTGCCGAGAAATACTGTACTATAATGTCAATTTAATGACGTTAACAGCTAGAAAACCCACCAATCATCGCCAGACAGGGCATAAAAAATGAGAAGAGTGACGAGATCATGTTGAAGTACGGGTTGCCGAGCTCGCAGATCTGAAAAAAGTGGATTGTATTTTACATACAACCTAAAGTAAAGTATCGTAGTTTGATGGTATTGGTTTCGAGGTAATTTTAAAGTATCCGCTTTTCCAGTTTGAATCAGACATTCATTTTTGCAACTCTTTGAACTTCGACTGAATTTTGGAGCTACCCTAGGCTTTCTGGCCACCGTAGGTCATTTTATTAAATTTATAAGCACTAAAACCTATTTATTGATGGATAGCTAGGGAATTTTGCAGATTTAGCACTTTGAGGACCGCCGATCCATAGCACAAATCGGAATCCGGATTGCTTTTTAGGTTTCGACCGGGTTACGGTATCGCGGCAAATTTTCGTAAATGGATTTTTTTGGATTTTCCCTAACCTAGACGGGATTGGTTTACGGTACCTCGCCCAACTTCCCCCTGGACCATAAATATCCTTCCGCCCTGCAGCCCACGTGACCAATTCAAGATCGGATTGTCTATGGGCCTAGCCCAAAAGAAAAGAGTGGCTGCGGAAAGGAGAGGGAATTAGTACGGGTCTCCCCAGGATGCTCACTTCCTCATCGTCTTTTGTGCCCTCAACAGGCATTTCCTCAGAGCGACCCCCCTCCCCCCCAAAACTGGTCTAATTGAATCTACGTCCAGCCCTGGGGGGCAGCTCAATCCCGAAGCTGCCCCCAATTCCGGGACAATCCGCTCGGTCCGTTTCGACCCTAAGAACGGAATTGTCGATAGGAATCTAGTGTACGTGTAGCGGCCCTGGCGAGTGTGATTATTGTCAAAAGGACGAAAGTTGAATACTTGAAACACTTTTTAAGGGACCGGAAAGCAGCTTGGTTATGGCTTTTAGTGTTTTGGCCTAGGGTTTGGAAAGTCGGGAGCCGTCAGTTTTGGGTTTGTAATTTTGGAAAAAGAAGGAAGGATTCAAAGTATCTGTTAAACACACTTTCAACCGACCGACCGGCCGATCGGCGCTGCATGGTCATCAATTTTATTGGCTTTAAACAGACGGTAAAGTCAGTGCACTATAGAACCTGTTTTGACGGCCGGCGTACCCGGGGGAGGAGGAGTTTTTATAATTTTGAACGCATTTGCATATTTTTTTTGTAATTTCTATCTTACTGTACCTAAAAACAACAGAATCTTGACAATTTGAAGTTTTTTAGGGCAAGCTCCCATTAATCTACCCTCCCACCCAATCCATTTAAGTGGTTTTTTCAATTCAAGTTTTTCTTCTCAACTTTGAACCCTGTCCATTTTTTCCGCGGGTCAATATTTGCCCAGCCCATCACAAGTCCACGCGATTCTAATAACGACGACGTGAGCACGTCCACTTTGGATAAATATTCTACGCGAGTAGCTGCACATAACACACAGCCATGTGAGACGAAACGTTGACGCGTTATAGTTCTAATTTAGGAGCGCGGGGTCACGAGGTTTCTCTCCTCTCTCTCTCTCTCTCTCTCTCTCTCTCTCTCTCTCTCTCTCTCTCTCTATCTATCTCCTTCGTTCTTTCCTCGTCCAGTCATAATTATTCAGTATTATTCTATACTTACGTTGCCAACATTAACCTAATTAGTTTCCTCCTATTTTCCACCTGAAAGTCCCTTATAGATTTTTGCCCAAAGAGTTTGGACCTGGGTTTTCGAACTCTGGCTCTTCGTCTACCCCCCTCCTCCGCCCGCCATCGGCTAAACCCTTTGATGGATGGGGCGGAAGTTGTTCGAATTCCCAAGCAAAAAACGCAGCCGCACAAAAACTATGGACAATGGGTGATGTCTGGGTGGGGTGACAAAGTAGCAGAAAAAAAGAAAGTAAAAATTTTTCAAAGAGTCTACGTTGCCCAAACTATTTTTTTTGGAGTGTCAGTGTGTCAGGAAAATCTTTGATAGCCTGTGCTAGCTAGGCTTGTCTCTAAAACTCCCATTAATGCGCTTTAGATCTCTTTAACCGGACTAAGAAGTCGAGCACTTAATAAATAAACTTTCAGTGAAATAAGTGTCTCTGCTAGATTGCCATCGACTATCCAAATCCCGCTATTAATGGGCGATCTGGGTTCATCAGCCCACACGAAAATCCTCAAGAAACCGGATTCAAAAAGGTTCCGGGGAGAAATTTCCTAAAAACCCCGCTGGAATGCCTTGTAATTTGCATAAAAAATCACGAGCTTGTCCTCAAGAAACTTTGCTATTTTGACTGCCCGACGCGATAACTTGCGTGTTGCCGCCTATTAATGCGACAGTAATATCTCGATCTTTCAGTTTGTCACAAAATATGAACTCTTGTCTGAACTTCTCCAAGTCCAAGTGCACCCATCCCCTGCCCCAAAAATTCCTTTTCTTCCAGAGCCAGTTGAAAAATTTCTACTGGAAAAAGAATCCGGATCCCCAGGGGGGTTCGAGCCCTCGCTAGTCAGCGTCCCCCACCCGTTTCACCCAAAAATGCATGAGCGGCACGCCGGGGGGGATCTCGGCGGGACCCTATAGTGTTTGGCGGGTAACACGTGGAATGGGTTTTGAATGGAAATGGAGACGCCGCGAATTGTCTGCCTTGACCTCCTACACAAACAAACAATAGGAAAAGCCGAGACTGGATCAACTGGAAAATCCGAGGCGGTGCATAGGTTATTTCCGGAATTTTTAAGGTCTTCCACATACTTTTCAAGGTCAACGAAGAGAAGCGTACTTTGCTGTAGGAAGGAAATTTTGCTTCTTAAGATTTTTGCGGTGGACTACCTCCCCAAAAATTGCTCCGAAAGTTAAAAAGGCCAGGGTTACGGTAACTGGTAGAATTTTCAGATGAACAGGACTTCGCCCAGAAAATCAGTATGGGAAAGACCTAGGCTTATTCTTGGCTTGGGCTTAAGAGGCAAAAACCGGAAACCGAGAATCCGGAAACATGCATTAATAGGTTTTTCGACACTATTGGCTAATATTTTTCCCTAGAAAATAATTAACCGATTTTTATGGATTTCCCAATATGCAAATTCCATGCCATCAAATCTCATCTCTTCAAAATGCGGAAAAATGGCTGTTTTTTTGGCCCTTTCCACCGGCTTCCTGCTACCCGCTAGAGATTCTCTAGAGACTTGGCCCGGGCTGCGCAAGTGAACAAATGACGATGTGGCCCTCCACAGGGGGCCCAGAGAATGCCACAAAAAGGAGATGACTGATCGTCTTTAGGGGGGACGACGCTGTTTTTGGGCGCGTTCACCTCGCGATTTTTGGCCGGCTTCTTCTTCGGCTTCTTCTTCTGCTCTCCTTTTCAGATTGCCGTCACAGATTAGGGGCCAGGGAATGGGGAACGTTAGGCAAAAAAATTCCAAAGACGCAAAAAAGCCGAATAGTCGAAAGGCGAGTGAAGTTTTTCGCGGCAATTAAGGGGAGTTTATGGTTTTTGAAATTTTAAATACTTTTATTGGCTCCAGACGGTGCTTTAAAAATGCCTCAATTTAGACAGAAAAGTGTAAATTTGCATATTTTTCACAATTCCAAACAACGAGAATTTCTCCTTTGAAAGAATTCAAAGGCAAGCCAAGATGAAAAGTACATTAAATAATATGAGAAAATATTACCAAAATCCAAAGGATTTGATCTTAAAGGGATGCGCAAGGCAAAAATTAAGCGATTTTCGACTTTTTCAGACTTATAAAGCGACTCGCAAAAAGAATTTACTAAAATTCTCCAATTTGCATAACCTTTTGTTAGTTAATTTAGCGCTTACCACTTCGCCATCGGTCTGATGCTCGTTGACGCCCAACAAAATCGGGAAGCCCACGCTGATCGAAACGCCCCACACGATCGATATCGTCACGATCGCCCGGCCATTTCGGCTACCGTACTGCGCGTACGAGATCGGGTGCGAGATGGCGATGTACCTGAAACAAAAATAAAAATTGGTGACAATTTTTCAGCGCGTCTGAAAATGCTAAAATTGGCCAAAATACGGCATGAAATTTGTGGCCGGTGAAAAAAGCTTTTTTTTTCTATTTCTAGATCCAAACCTGTTTGGCTGAAGAATCTTCGGTTTCGTTGGCAAATCTTGGTTTTTGCTGAGTTTTCGACCTTTTTCGATAAGCCTTTGGGCTTCCCGGTCCCTTTAAAAACCTATATCCTGATCTTTATCCTAATATAAGGCCTATTTTCAGCTAGTACAACGCCTCACTAATAATTCCGTGTTTTTTTTCCGTTCTCGGATTAGTTCAAGGACCCCCAATAAACGACCCGGTTCCGCTAATCCCTTCCGACCCAGGGGGGGGGGGTGGCCGGAAATCCGCAATGATCCGGTTTTTCTCATTTTTTTATGGCCCCCAAACATACGATTTGATTGCTGTAAAATCGTATCCACAAAACGATTCTGCACACCCGGGATTTGACAGCCAATATAATCCAATTTTTGGCATTTTTGGGGACGGATGGGGTGAGATTGGTTTTGTGGAATTGTCATTTCTGTTTTTGGCATTGCTCGGCTGGTTATGACATGAAAAAGCCGAGGGATTAGCTGATCAGCAAACGGGGGACTACTAATAATCTGCCAGAAAAATGAGTCATCAGACGCCAGAAAATATGCAAAAATGCCAAAGATAGACATCCGATTTTTACACGTTTACGTCACGTGCTAAGTTGCAGAAAGTATACATTTCAGAAACCGGATCGTGACCTTTTCTTTCGATAGTTAATTTGCATAGAGTATTTTTAAAATGTACTATAACGACTTACCGATCCAACGAGATCGCCAACAGGTTCAAAATCGATGCGGTTGAGCAGATGACGTCAGCGGCAAGGTAGACGTTGCACACCAACTGCCCGAGGCCCCACTTGAACTCATTCAGCTGAAAATTCAGGATAATACCGAGACTTAATGACCCTACATCCAATACGCTACTGCTTACATACGCATATTTGCACATTAGCCATGTTTTGTAGTTCAAAAATTAGCAAAATCGGTATTAAAATTGTTTAGCTTTTTGCGCGTTTTTAACGTCATTAGCTACGCGTTAAGAGGTGTGCCAGGTACTCGCCTTGCATATTGTAGCGTCAATTTTAGATACAGGTATCTCCCAATTCAAAAGGGATTATGGAGCGTCAAAATATACCCTCTTCGAAGACTAGGCCTCGACAACTACGCGTCGCTACTACATACGAGGGATTTGGCCTTGAAACCCAATTTGCTACGGCCTTTAAAAACGAGTTGCTCGGGATTTGGTGAGTCACGTAGCTGTCGAGACCTAGCCGCTGGCAAGGGTCGATTTTTGCGCCTACCGATCCCTTAAAAACCGAATTTTCGCTCGACGAGAAATTCCCTCCCTAGCTTCCGCAAGTCGATTTCTGCCCCCAGCCATGTTTCGATGAATTCACCCCCCGGGGGGTGAGAAAATAGATAAATTTCGCCCCAAAAGACCCGGGCCCTGCTCACCTCCACGTAGACGCCGAACGACATCACGCACATGGCCACCTGAAAATTGAAGACATTTGCACGCGGCTGGGGAGGATTTATCACTTTTCTCGGATTTTCTGACTTCCAAGGGATCCCCGGAGAAACTCATAATTTTTGCGGAAAGGTCAGGTTTTGCGAAAAATTATTGGAGCAGAGATGAGACATCAGGGAACGTCATTTTTTGAGAATCAGTAATAATCAGTGTAATCAGTAAAGAAAATTTTTAATCAGTAAAGAAACTTTTAATCAGTAAAGAAACAAATCAGTGTAAATTTGTAGTTAGCAATTTAGAGGAAGGGTAGGATATGTTTAATGTAATCTATTGTTTATGGATTTCCTATGGATTTTCCAGAGCTTCCAATTTTTTTGCGGTTCACGTTGCGGTTCACGTTGCGTGTCGCGTTACGTGTCGCATCACGGGTCGCGTTGCTTGTCGCGTTGCATTTCGCGCTGTATTTCGCGTTGCGTATCGCGTTGCGTGTCGCGTTGCATCTCGCGTTGCGTGTCGCGTTGCGTACCGGCTTGTCGCGATACGGGTCGCGTCGTTCTATGGCGCGTTTCGCATTGGTTATTTGAAAGAAATCGACGGAAACAATCGAAATTTTTAGATTTACAGCGTACAATATTTTGTAGCTAGTTTTTGGGCTACTAGGGAATCCAGAGACTTCCCTGCCTTGCCAATCCCTTAAAAAACCCCTGATCCAGTTAAATCTGGATATATTTTTACCCCTGGACACCACGTGTAATGGCCAGCGTGGGGGGATAAGAACCTAGCATTAATATTTTATGCGCTCCCAACACAAACCCCCTCTCTGGTCATACAACCCCCGAGATGTGCACTTCCCGGATTAGTTTCCGATGGATTTCTATAGGCATATGTCCTCCATGTTGAGGCATATTTACCAGAAAAACTCGGAAAAAATCCGACTCTTTCGACCCCTGAATTTTGTTATTCAAATCAGAAAGGAACCCCTTCTTTTGCTAGGGGGATCCAGTCTGGTCACCGGAACAAAACAATATGATCATTGGTAGCAGGATGGGTGGGGTGTATCTTTGGGTTGTAGTTTGTAACCAGGAACTGGAAATAGTTTAAGAAAATTTAAGAATAAAATCTACGTAGTTTTGAATGAAATTAGCATGACCGTATCCAAAAAATGGCTTTTTTTAAAGAAACGGATTACAAAGTTTTCGACTTAATTTGTTAATTAGCCTAAGGCCTAATAAAATATATAATTAGTTTTTAAATAAGGTAAATTAATATAACCTCTAAAAGCTAAAAATCGGAATGCTTTTCGAAAAAGGATTGGCATTTTGTGGCGAATTTTCAATTTTCCCCCAAATTTAATCCGTGTTGATTTTTAATGTTATTTTTGCGGTCCGTATTCCCCCTTGAAATTCCGCCCATCTCCAATTGACGACGTGCATTTTGTGGCTTCCAGAGAAACATTGGATGCAAAATGTGGGGCCCGTCTTGTCCCTTCTTGAAAGTCACTGATGAATGCATGCCGTTTTTGTGGGAGGGCACTTTTTGGAAAAGAAGACCACGAAGATGTGCCCCTTACCCAATTTCTTTCTTTGCCCCCCATTTTGCCACTCCATTTAGGCCATCCCGGGTCCCGGCAGGAAGTTTTTAAGGCAATTTTGGAAAGTCGTGGGCGGGCTGGGGGAGGTGATTAACGGGATGGTCAAGTGTAGTTTAGGGCTGCCAAAAACAGTTTTAAAACACGAATGTATCCTTGTTTTAATTCAAATTAAACCACATAAAAATGTGCTAAATTTTTAACAATTTAGAGGGTTTCGATAGTTTTCAGCGGTTTTTGAACTTTTTCGAGTTTTTGCTTTTGGAGTTTTGAAAGCTATGAAATGACGTAAAGGTATAAATTTTGATGGTATTTGTAATCAATTTGTTTAATTTTTTTTATAACTTTAAGATGTAATCTATCAGACTCTAGCCGCCTCTTAACTTTACTTCTGGAAGCAGACGCGAAGGGAGAAAAGATGCCACCAGCCAAGGAGGCCTGCGGGGAGACGTCTTTCTGCTTTTTCAGCCCTGACTTTTCCTACTAACAAAAACTAAGCCATCAGGAAGATCTCGAAAAGAACGACGTGCCACCCGGGGGGCTTTGGCATTGATTTTGACATGGTGCATCGAGAATTGGGGGACGGGTGTAGTTTGTTTAAAGCAGAAGAATTGAGAAAAGAAAGGTGAAGCAAGCCTAAGCCTAAGCCTAAGCACAAGACCAGGTGTCAGCATTTAGGTAAGTACATTTTCAAGTTAAGGGTTAAAATTTTCAACTTACCAAAAAATCCGACACTGCCAGCGAGACGATGAGCAGATTGGTGACGGTGTGCAGCGACCGCTCGCGGTAGACGGCCAACACGACCAGGGCGTTGCCGAATATCGCTAATAAAGGCACTAATGGTAGGAGGGCCGAGCCCGGTGATGTCCACGACATCTCCACAATCTCGGGGGGCCCTGCAGCCCCGTCCGTTATCTGAATATGCAAATTAGACGGGTGTGGTCATTTCGAAAGCATAGAGTAGGTTGAAAACATCAACAATTGCATTTTAAAGGAGTAGTGAAGCGAAGAAACTTCCAAAAATCTTTAAAGAACAGAAGAAGCCATGCTGTATCTGTTCAGACGGCCAAATAGGGCTGGAACAATCTTTGCAAAATAAAAAAAAGAACTACTTTAAAAGGTACTTGTTATTTTCACTATTTTTCAAGCTGCAAAATTCACTGCACCCACAAAAAATTTTCTATAAAAAGATTTTTGGATAATTGATATTTTGCGTGTTTTAAATAGCTTCAAAAATACAAAAATGGAAGGGAATACTGTAGAAAAGGCGCAATATATTTGAATTTCCGCCTCCTTAAAAAAGATAAAATAAAAAGTCTGTTTTTCGAGGATTTTCAAAGGGTGTCGATCTCTTCAGATCAAGCGTAATCAATTACGCAAGGAAAAAGCTGACGTGCTCGTTGCGTGTTGCGTCCGCGAAAATCCGCAATGAATCCAAAGCGAGAAACTCGACATCACTGACGTTCCCCACCCTTTAAAATCCTCCGAGAACTTGCTAATCTCAGCAAAAACAAAAATTAGCCGTCTGAACCTTTCATTCACCAACCGCCCCAAACCCCGTGCACGGTCAAAATTCCGCGCGAATCCAATTGACGGCCCCGGTGCGCGGGGTGTTGAGTAATCAATCGGAACACGCGCGAATCGAATTGCCATATGTGGGGGCGATCGAAAAATAAATGCAATGATCGCCGAGGGGTACCAAAAAAGCCCAAGTGATTGCGCGGAGGGCCGGAGGATTTGATTTTAAAGGGGGTGGGACAGATGGGGGATTTTGAATGGGTCTCGAGGGGACATTTGTGTCCAAAAATGGGGGAGAAAGAAGTTGAACGAGAGAGGCTCGTCATAATTGGGGCGTGCTCGAGTCGAAATGGGGAAAAGCTGCATGGGCGGAAGGAGCGGAATTTAGAATTTTTGGAACGGTCCCCAGGGGAGAGAGAGGGGAGGGCAAGGTCAAAATTTCCAGGCGCAGAGGTCAAATGGGTTTCGGGTTCAAAAGAGGTTAAAACGTGAAAAAACCGGAGATGGATACGAAGGTTTTTGCTCGAATTGAGAAAACGCAATAGGAACACAAAGCTCTGTGACGATAGGAACGAGGCGTAGTTCAGAGCTAGCAGCGCGAGAAAGAGAGGGCCACCGAGGGAGAGAGAATGAGAGAGCGATAGAGGAGCCATACAGCTTAAGGCTCAAGCTCGGAACTCCCCCAGCCGAGTTTTCATTTTCACCCCCCATTTTTATTTTCGCTACTTAAGAGAGAGAGAGAGAGAGTTATTCGACTAGACTGCAGGATGTAGTCTTACTAAGGAGCCAACAAGAGCATTTTTTGTATACTTTAGAGCTCGCTAGAGAGAGAGGGGCGAGAGATAGCGAGGTTGGTGCTAGGCTGAGGGGGTTTTCTAGACTCTTACCCAACTTAATGCGGATTTTATCACTTCAAAGAAACGCTACAAATCCGGCATTCCAAAAAAATTCTAAGCTGTGGATAAAATTTACAATGTTAACCTTTTTTGTAAAATTTTGAGCTCGGATCACAAGTACATGCTCCCGTGGTCCTCAACACGCATCTACCATTCCGGGCCCACTAATTTGTTTAGATTGCCCCGGATTAACCGGAGCTCACTAGGAGAGGGCCCCAAGAAAGGCCCAAGAAAATGGGGGATCCTTTTCTCTTTTCGGGTAGTGGTAATTATTCGACGCTAGGAGCGAGGTTAATCGGATGCCATCCGCATCACACTACCCCATCAATTCACAAACAATTAATGAGCATTACCGGGCCGAGAAAATAGATGGCTTTGCACTTTCGTGATCATCGGAGTGTTCTTTGGGTTAAAGGAGGAGGCTAAAGGAGGGCGGGGGGTTTGGGTTGTCTAACTCCGAGAGATTTTACGATTTAAAAACTCTATAGTATGGTGACGTAGTTGATACGATAGAAAGATCCGCAAAGCCAATGTCAAAAGGAGCCTGACCTATAATAACAGTTTAAAAGGACGGTGACGGCGGGATTCAAAATTCTTTGTCAACAACCCGGCGACACACAGAATTTTCCTAAATTTTAAAGACGGAGACAATGAATCGACAATGGACAAAACAACGAGTCTGCGTATCGTCGCGTAGTCGATAATTTTGAGGAACGTCGAAAATCGTTTTTTAAAGGGATGTGACAAAAAGAATCGCGAATTTTTCAACGGCATGGGGAACTTGGGAATTTCTCGTTTTACTCAGTTTAAAATCTTTGGATAATGGAATTCAGGAACAAGCTACAAGAGATCTGAATCTGAAAACTGAAATTTTATAGTCGCGCGTGTTTCTCAAGTTTTAATTCCCTTACTTCCAGCGGTTTACTTACTAGTTTTACTGACTTCAGCTTACTAGTTTTACTTCCAGCAATTTTCAAAATGAGCTACTCACGGCAGATAACAATTCTGTCAATGTACTAAATTCGGAACCAATAATGTCAGACAATGACTTTCCCTGTTCCCTGAAGTCTGAAGTTCGCCTGAAGTTCATTCATGATTTCACTGAAATAAACCTGGTCGCCTAAGCTGGTACACCGCTCTTTGGAGTGACGCGTTGCCCTCAAAATTCCTGATCCAAGGTTCGCATAAGGACCTGATGATAATCGCGGGGAGTCGCCCATAAATTGGGTCGCCCATGGCACTTGCCCCCCAAAAACAAGCACCAGCAATTTCCGCATTTTTTTTTGCAACTGCAGGAAATGAGGGCAGGAGGACTCAAAGAGGTTGACTTTTCAAAATTACGTCCATTTTTTGGTGTCACTGTGCCTTTAAACGGGCCGATTCTAGCCTAGGCCTAGACAACCAAGCGCAGATCAAAATGCCACTACGAACATGACTCGTGCTGGCCTTAAGTGGGTTCTATTAAGTGGCTCGGTCTTGCCGAAGAATACGCGGGTGACTGCGTCATCAGGAGCGCTGCGTAGCTGTCTAGACCTAGTCCATTTCGGAGCAGATTCTGGGCCTTTAAAGCAGACTATAAGTGGGTTCAAATTGTCATTCGGATTGCTAAGGCCACTGTCTTGACCTAGTCAACTTTGGCGTCGATTCTAGCCACCTAAAACCATTTAAAAACGGTTTTCAAGGCATGATTTGGTTCTAGGAGTAGTTTTCTAGACCCTGTCAACCAAAGTGTCGATTCTGGCGTTTGCCATTCCCTTAAAAATAGGTTAAAATTGTGTCCGAAGCGTAGTTTGAGCGATAGGTGAATACCTAGACCTAACCAATTGAAGGGGTCGGTCGTGGCAAAACCCAGCGCCTTTAAGAAACCCAGAGCGCCTCCCAGCGCCCTAATTCAAAGCTCAAAAATCAGATCCTGCTCGCGAACGGGTCACGCCCATTCGCAAAACGAACATAAACATAGAGCCAACGGAGCAGGGGAGAAGCCGGAACGATGCCTTGAAATGGGCCCCCCAACGGGTGGGTGGGGGGGTCAGGGCAAGGGAGGGGGTGGGACCCAGCCGGTGGACCCAGCCAGGGCCTTGGGCCTCAAGACTGGCCTTTGTCTTTGGCTTTCCCCATTCTTTCCTATCTTTCCGCTAGCCTCCTGGGTGACAAGAATATCCCAGAATTGTGAACGATCCGCAGGAGATGACCTCTTCCTCCAGGACATTTTGAGAAGGTTGTTCTTTGAAGGAGGGAGGTGGAATTCCATTGTTCGGAACTCAAACTCCCGACTTGTTGCCATTTCCGGGGGAAGAATGCGCTGGGGGCAAACCAGAAAAAGCATGGCCCGGGGTGGGTTCCCGGAAAATGAGCAGGAAATTTGGGGAGTGAGGTTGAACTCAATGGTTAAGTGAAAAGTGGAGTTCAGCGGTTTGCTTAGGCTTAGGCTTTTCCTTAAGGTTTAGGTTTATACATAAGCATAGTCTTCCTAAAAAATTGACGAAGAGCTAACGCCAATACCATTCGGTTTGTGGCAGGCCAATAAGAACCTTTGTGGCTTTTCGTCATCCTCTCTCTCTCTCTCTCTCTCTCTCTCTCTCTCTCTCTCCTCTCTCTCTCTCTCTCTCCCCTCTCTCCCTAGGCTCAAAAGTCGACCGGAAATCACGGGACCAATTAGACACCCCAAGGGCAAAGCGGCTGTTCCCGTTGTTCTGTGTGTGCCTTGAGTGAGGGATGTTCATTTGGGCCCAAAAGAACGAAAGACCCCAAATGACGGTGGGGTGGAGGAGGAAGAGGATGAAAATGAGGTGCGGGTAGGCCGGGGTGGTAATGGAATAGTCAGCCGAAGAAGCGGGGGGTGTAGATCAACACAAGAAAAGTAGTTCAAGAAGTTTGTGGGGTGGCGTACAGAAAAGCGGGAGTGCCGCGTATCGTAAATCCTTATCAAAAGCCTCAGCCTAAGCCTAAGCCCAAGCGTAGGCCTAAGCTTAACCTAAGCCCAAGCGTAAGCCCAAGCCAAGCCAAGCCTAAGTCTATGCCTAAGCCTAAGCCTGACCAGAGCCTAGGCTTAAGCTATTGTCAGATATTCGGCTTGGCCCTAGTGGGCCCCAGCTCCTGCTCACCACACCACCCATAAATCAGTGCTCCCCCCAAATGGCCTCTGCTCGGCTCCTCCACCTCCCAAAAGTGAACACGGAGATTTTTGGCAAAGTTTGACGTGCCGCCCATATTTTCCTGGATGCTGCACCTCTGCCCCTCCCCCTATCCTCGCGGCTTTTCTTTAGCTTCTCCTCAGCACAACTTTCAAAAATAAGATGATGAATGATCTCGGGGGCTAAAGAACGCCTAGAGAGAGGGATGGGTGTTGTTTTTGCGGGGGTTTAAAGGGACAGGAAAGCCACGAGACTTTCGCATTAAGGGCTAGAGACAAGTTTCTTTGGCTTTAAAAGGAATGTGAAGTCAAAACAGATGCTCCGTAGG